ATTCCTCTTCAAATTGTTCTTCACAAGTTTTTAATATGGTTTTTCCTTATTCATCTTTGTCTTCTTTGGTCTCTATTTTGTATTCGCAATTCAATATCTTTGTTTTCGCTATTCTTCGGTTTTATCTTGGTACTCTTCTTCTTTGTGTCTACTTTTTTCTTCATTTTTTTTCTCTTATTTCTGTAGGTTATTCTCGACCCTTAAAATTCTGCATGGTTCCATTCCTCTTGTAAAATTCTGCATGGCTCTATTCCTCTTAAATTTAGAATAAATTATAATTAAATAAAACACAATTTCGTTACCTGAAAAACTGAAAATAAAATCAAGCTAGAATGACTTATTGAACAAAATATATTCAAAACAGGCCCTTTGAATGTCATATGTAAATACTAAAATGAGAAGAATTTATCTTATTCTGTTTTTCATAAATTTACTTTTGTTTATATTCCTTCTCTTTCAAGTGGCATCTTTTAAAAGTACTACTTATAAACACATGAATATGTAAATATTACAAAACATTGAAAAAACAAAAAAGAAAAATAGAAAAGGAACAAAATACAGCCTTCTATTGTGTTTGCCTTTTCCTTTCAATTTGTGTCATGTAATCACTATTCTGATTTTTTTTCTTTCTTCATAATCAATATTATTTTCCCCATCGAAAGCTTACTAATTTAGGAGCAACAATTCACTTTTGATTTAATCTACACTTTGGTAATTTCGATTCCTTGTTCTCTTCATAGTCCTTTGAATTTTTTGTGGTAATGTAACTTATTTATTAATTAATTGGATGTGCTTCCATTATCAAAATACAAAGAAAATCAATTGAACACCATAGACCAGATAATATTCGAAATAAAGCAAGCGAATTTATTTATTTCACAGAAGGACATGTATACCTTCAGTGTGATGCCCATTGTCTTTGTTTCAATCATTCCTTTGCTTCATGATTTTTCATTAATCCACTACATATCCTTTAGAAGAATTGATCGATCTATGTGAACTTTCAATATGTGATGTCAAAGTATCTTGTCTTCAATATATATCCCTCCATCTTGTTTCCAGGTGGTTTCTCGATGTTGGATTTGTTTGATCTTATATCAAGCTCTGACGTGAACATATGTTTATTCATGTAAGCTACATTTGATCAAAATCCAGTTAATACAATTGTAGCTTTTGTAGGTGTTAAAAAGGGAGGAGATGACTCTTGGTATATATAAGAAATAGATGGCAAAAGTGTGTTAGGGTTTTTAATTTTTATTAGCTAAAGGAAAATTTCCTTATTTGTTTCCTTATTTAATTTCCAATAGTATTATTATTTGTTTTCTTTTTTCTTAAAGGAAAATCTCCTTTTTTACAATTCTGCTGATAAAAATAAAAAGTAAATTAATGAAAAAAAATTCAAATATAAATAATTTTAGATGTTGATATATAATGATATTGTTGGTATAATTTTCTTATTTATTACATATCTCTACTAATATTACACTTATAAATTCTGGAAACTTTCCTATTGCTTACCTTTGAATTATGAAACTTTCTTAAAATATAAAAATATAAAAAGGAATTTAACTAATTGAACAAATAGCTAATTTTATGTGATGATGTGGACTGATACTATTGGTTGTTTAAAATTCGGAAACTTTCTTAATCTAGGAAATACTTATGTGGACCAATCATATCGCGTTTTATAATCCTATGTGGACGCTCTTAGAGGCTTATAGCCTCAACTAATATAGATTATAAAAATATCAATAATATTTAGCTTTATTTGTTTGAAAAACGAAGCTTCAACCAAATTCAAATCATGGCTGAAGGAAGCAGTAGTAAACCCATGGCTGAAGGAAGCAGTAGTAAACCGAATGCAACTAAAGATGATGCACATGCATATCTTAGGATTGTGAAGGATACATTTCATAATGAGCATGACAAGTATGACGAATTTATAGCAATTATGAATAATTTTAAAGCTCGAAGGTATGTATATATATATGGTTTTGCAAAAATATGAAAATCTGTTTGGTTTTTCTCTTTAGTTCAATCCTTTTGTGTAACACTCTATAATCTTCTTAGGGGTGTCAAAATGGATAACCCAACCCATCCAACCCATTATCCAAGTGGATTTAGTGCTAATGGATCATGGATTAATCCAATCCATTTAGGAAATGGGTTGGTTTGATCCATTATCCATTTAATTAGATGGTTTTAATGGGTTAATGGATGAATGGGTTAATGGATGATCCACAAACAAATATAACTAAAAATTTATATATATTAAAATAAAGATAACTAAACAAAATCTATAAACATCACAAAAATCTATAACCCATTAAATCTGTAAAATCGTAAAATCATGTCTTTCCGCCAAAATCGTAAATCACATCTTTCCGCCGAAACCGTAAAATCGCAAAACACGATTTTTCATCAAAACCGTAGAACCACGTTTCCGTCAAAAACATAAACTCACTGTTTTTTGCAACGTAAAATTGTGATTTATGCACAAAACAGTAAAATCACGTCTTTCTCCCTAAACTGTAAAATCACGTTTTTCAACCAAAACCGTAAAAATCAGTTTTTCCATCAAAACATAAAATCACAACTTTCCCCAAAAACCATGTTTTGCGGTTATGGCGGAAAACCTTGATTTTGCGGTTTTGATAGAAAACCGTGATTTTGCGGTTTTGGCGGAAAACTGTGATTTTGCGGTTTTGGGGGAAACCCGTGATTTTGCGGTTTTGGCGGGAAAACTGTGATTTTGCGGTTTTGGCGGGAAACCGTGATTTTGCGGTTTTGGCGGGAAACATGATTTTGCAATTTTGGCGGGAAACGTGATTTTGCGATTTTGGCGGGAAATTCGTGATTTTGCGGTTTTGGCGGGAAACTCGTGATTTTGCGGTTTTGGCGGGAAACATGATTTTGCGATTTTGGCGGGAAACCGTGATTTTGCGATTTTGGCGGGAAACTCGTGATTTTGCGATTTTGGCGGGAAACTCGTGATTTTGCGGTTTTGGCGGGAAACTCGTGATTTTGCGGTTTTGGCGGGAAACATATTTTGCATTTTGAAACTCGTGATTGCGATTTTGGCGGGAAACTCGTGATTTTGCGGTTTTGGTGGGAAACTTGGCGGAAAACTGTGATTTTGCGATTTATACCAAAATTGTAAAATCGTTTTTTTGTCAAATTTGTAAGATCATTCTTTTATGGTATTGTATTCAAATCCAACCAAATACAATTTTGGATTTATTATGTGGGAAAAAACATTTGATGTATAATTGTTTTTTTTTCTTTTAATAAAGTGGGTTAACCATTGATCCAACCCATTATAAACCAAACCATTTCAATCCAATCCAATTAATCCATCACCCATGTGAACCATTAACCCATTTGGATCCAAATTTTTAATCCATTTGGATTAATGGATAAGATGGATTGGGTCAACCCATGGATTTGGATCCATTTTGACACCCTTAAGTCTTCTTAAGACTAATGATTTTGAATATGATTTTATTGTAGAATTGATAGGGATGGTTGCATCAAAGAGGTGAAGGAGCTATTTAAAGGACACCAAGACTTAATTTCTGGTTTCAATGTATTCTTGCCAGAGTGTTTGGAGATTGCTGATTGGTATAACATAGAGGGTAGATGATGTAGCCTCTCCATCATACTCTTTATTTGGATCTAAATCGGTTATGTCTGGATTTGTTCTAAGTCGAATATATAATTCCTTATCGTTAAATGTATATAATTTTCTTTGAGGTCGTTATTTAGGAATCATGTTCTGGATTTAGCCATTGTACTCTAATAAATAAGGTGCTAAGATCTTTGATCTTTGTTGTTTCCAACTTTTCTATAATAAATCTCCTCTCAACCCTTAAATCCTATAAATCAACAAACTTAAAAATGTTAAGAATTTCAAATATTAGGAGACTTCAACGAATTTTAAGCATAGTACGACACATCAAGTTTTAGGCATTGAATATATGGTTATACAGTCCATTATGGATCAGACCAGAATCGGACTAATACACCTTTTTTCACCGTTTGCATTTTTATCCGATTTATTTCTGAATCTATGACATTTGGGCTATGTCTAGAATGGTCTGGATAATAACAATAACCAAAGAATCTTACCCGAACCAAACTTGGTTTAGGTGACTGGTTCGGTTTGTTTAAACTTTAAACCAATTAACATTCGATCGGTTTGGGTTAAAGTTAACGAATTTGTCTGTTTTGTTTATTTTTAATTTGTAAGATTTATTTATCTTCCTTCGAAAAGTACGAGTAGAAAAACTTACAATCCCTAGAAGAAATGTCAAAAACACCAAACTCCTATTTGGGATTTGTAAATTTAATAGGAGTTTACTATTTAAAAAAAAAAAAATTATACTTCTATTGACTAAAGTCACCAAGAAACAAACGAAAAGTTACAGAAGATATTAACAAAAAAAAATAAAGAAAATACCTTCTTCTTTTTTTGACCCGTATTTTTTCAGTTTCACAGATTTTCCTTTTTTTTACTGCCCAAAGCATATTTGATGAACTTAAATCTGATATGACCTAGTATTAATAGAGAGATAATACTCGAAACAGTCTCTATAGGTTGCTTTAGGAAATCTTTGAAGTCGGATACTCTGCATTCATAGCCGCTTTAGTCTTCCAAATTCTGTAAGTATACTTCCTCTTTTTCGGTTTAATCCTATTATATCGTAGGATTGTGTCAGGTCACGATCGGAGTTTTCAGGGTTAGCTTCTTTCAAATCGTAATTAAGAAGGGTGATAATCTATGAATCGCATGAAATTCTCGTCGTAGAGATTAAATTAACATGAATCTGATTAAGGTTTCGATTTTGATCAAGTTTACGTGAGGAATAAGATTAGTATTCATGTGTTAGTTTCTATTTCTTAGTAGGATTCTAAAGAGCAATCTCTTCGAGAGAATAGTTTTGAGGGATTGAATGATTTATCTGATCTGTTTTGATGACAAATTAAAGTCTCTTGCTTGGATGATAACAGTGTCAGGCCAATCTCACAGCATGGTTGAAAGAAGAGTACCAACGAAGCAAAATCCGAAACAATACTTGGCTGATCTGAAGGAAGCATTCAACGACGAACCTGAAAAATATGAAGAGTTTGTCCAGCTATTGCCTCATATCGTAAATCCTAGGTATTGATTCTTTATATCCACGCTATACTCCTTTTGCCCTTAATTTCAAGTCTCAATATATCTACACAAGAAACTGATCAGATCACAATGTGAATTGTTTTCTCTTTGTAGAGTTGATATAGCTACTCGCGTAGAGATCTTTGGAAGGGTGAAGGAACTCCTGAAAGATCATCAGGATCTGCTTCTTAGTTTCAGTGACTTCCTTCATCCCGACGCTAAGAGGATCCTTTATCCAGAAGATCCCGAGGCTAAGAGAATCATGCCTCTTGATGATTTCGAAGGGCTAAGCCCATTCCAAACCATGGTTAGTAGAGAAGTACCACAAGAGCCAACGATAGATCATTCACTTTCATACATTGCTGCTGTGAAGGAAGCGTTTCGTGATGAACATGGAAAATATGTCGAGTTTCTAAAGATCTTGAAGGATTTTTATGCTAATAGGTATGAGTTGTTTTCTCCATCCCTCCATTATGTCCGGTTTGCTCTTGGTTCTGATGTGAGTAGTGATCTCTTTGTAGACTTGATCGCACGAGGGCCATTGCAAGGTTGGAGGAATTCATAAAAGAGCACCCGGAGCTGCTTCTTGGCTTCAATTTATTCTTTCCAGATGATGAGCCTAAGAGAACCAGTCCTCCCGAGCCTAGTAGAACCAACCTTTACGAGGCTAAGAGAACCGTCCCTCCTGAGGCTCGTGATCATCATTGTGTTGAGTCTAGTTGTACCAAAAGAAAACATGCGGAGACTGATGGAGAGAGTTTTATGGACAAGCTTAAGGTATAGTAATGCTAAAAAGAACAAATAACCCTATGGGAACACTTCTTGGTACCTCCTCTTTTGATAACTTGTGATAGAAGTAACCATACTTTTGATCTGCAGACAAGGTTTCGGACCCTTGATACTCATGTAGTCGAGTCATTTATCGAGATAATGGAAAAGTTTGAAGAGGGAGAGATTTCGAAAAGGGAGGTGTGCGATGAGGTATGTTCTTGGTGGAGTATTTTGTGTTGCACTTGTGTATACTTCTTGTTTTTTTTGTTTTTTTCTTGGTTTGATTTGGTTATTATTGTAAATCTTGCAGGTTGTTGATCTTCTCTATTATCATGAAGATTTGATCGAGGACTTCCCCAAATATTTTAAACGAAGGAAAACATATAGGAATAGCACCAACATCTCTTACTAGATACTTAACTACATAATGCACTACCTACTTCTTTTAGGATGTTTGAAAAAGAAAGTAGATATATAAAATGTTTAGAGCTTCTTAAAATGTGTAGTTTCTTCTCTATAGGCTTGAGTTTTGTTCAATATTTCTTCTGACAAGCATATATCCTTATTACCGATTTCGTTATTATTGCTAATGACATTGAGTGATCGAGATCCCGAATCAAGTCAAGTACATGATGTTTAGGTATAACGAGAATGGAGTCTATTGTTTCTTACTCTAAAATTGGCATCATGATATGCAATTATGCACATAAGATTCTACTCAAACAAATATATGTCTTCTCGTTCATGAAACACTCTCGTCCAACTAGAGACTCTACACTCACCTGATTTTAATCACCTTAGCAAGCTCGGATTTTTCGATTTATGTAAAATATATAATATAGGATAATGTATAATCAGTAAGAAAGCGTTAGATGTTAAGCAAACAACAATTTGGTGAAATAATTTTGTTATCATCAAAATCCTAAAACCCTACCCTGTTACACAAACAAACCCTTACATAAACGTCACTGTATTTGAGATCTCTCTCCAGACTCCAATCTTCAAACTCGTCTCCGAATTTTCTTCTGCTTTGTGATTGTGTAAGCTTGTTCTCGTAGCCTTCTTCCTCTCTGAAATTTGGTAACTATACGATCGATCTTCTCCCCTTTTTCTTTTTGTTCTGCCGGAATTTGTGATCTTAAGAATTACAATTTAATCGTGTAAGCGCGACTGTTAAATAATCTGTATTCTTTTTTGTAATTGCTAGATTTGTAGCTTATTGTATTTGGATCTTGTTGGTATGAGTTCTTTTTGGTTCTTTGAATTATTGTTTGTATTTGTGATGAAATTTACTTAAACAACCAGGCCCTCAAATTCGAGATGATGTTGTTTTGTTTTGTTCCCATGTGAAGTATCATATAGTATATATTTTATCTCTAAATCCTCTCAGATTTAATCCTCTGTCAAACTCTTAACTGGTGACTTGAGTTCGTCTTGATGGTTTGGGAATGATATTAAAACTTATAATCCAGTATTTGATTGGTTTGACATGTTTGAATTGGCTGCCTCACATGTGGTTCTTAAAAGGAATGTTTTAGTTTTTTGTTGACTTTGAAAGAGCAAATAAAATGAGTTTTTGAGGATGAGCTTATTATGGCTTTTAATTTGGCTTTTTCAAGAATTCAATTTTTTTTTTTTTTTTTTTTTTTTTTTTTTTTTTTGAGAAATGTATATATCGTAATGTCTTTTGAGATGCTATATAATTAGCATTGATATATATGTAAAATTTTGCTGCTATTTTTGTTTCTACATTTTTGATGATTGAAGCTCTGTCCAATAGTTTCAAAACATGGCTGGAAGAGGAAATACAAACAATGTAACAGTCGATGAAGCGCTTGCGTTCACGCAGATTGTAAAGAAAACATTTGAGAACGAACATGAAAAATATGACGAGTTTGTAGACGTCATGAAGAATTGTAAAGCTCACAGGTAGTTTAAACTCAACCCTTTTGTAGATTATATAAAACCTCCCTTGTTTCTAATTAATTTGATTTGTAGTATAGACATATCTACTGCTGTAAAGAAGCTGAAGGAAGTGTTCAAAGGTCACCAAGAGTTGATTTTGGGTTTTGGTGCTTTTTTACCTTCTGGTTATAATAAAACCACCCTCGAGCTCAAAGAGAAGAAACCAATTAAATTCAAAGATGCATATAGTTTTTTTTTTTTTTTTTGATAACCGTGTGTGATCCAAAGGCTTTCTAGGCCCAAGACTAATCCCACGAGGCCCACGGCAGTCCACGTTTTCTTACCATTTAAGGCAGCCTGGGTGGCCGGGGACTCGAACTCGTGATGGCGGGCACCTCAGCTGAGGCTCCATTACCACCAGACCACGAGGACCCGGTTAAGATGCATATAGTATTACTATGAAGATTAAGGTAATTGATTATACACAATGTTTTATTTATATGCTAATTTATACTTGATTTATATATCTGCTAAATATAGAAGTTGCTTCTCTTAAAATGTTTAATTTCACTTGCAGAGAAGGTTTAAGGGCAATAATCGTGTATACGAATCATTTAAACAGAATTTAGAAATGTATAGAAGTGGAAAGAAGTCCCTCATTGATGTCTACCATCTGGTAAAGCTTCATTGTGTTAGCATTTGTATTTTTTCTTCTTCTTGAAATTCTACTTTTTGGCTTTGTTGTTAATATTATGTGTGATCACAGTTTGGCATACTATTCTGGGATCATCCTGATTTGCTTGTGGAGTTGAATTGGTTTCTCCCAGCTTCTTCTAAGGGTCCAATTCGTGAAGGAGGGTTTACTATGTTATTTCAATCGCTTCAACTTTAAGTAGTTTTTATAAACCAGAGGTGTTATTTGGTTTTTGATTTGCTACTCAAAATATGTAACGTTGTTTAATTTTTATTTGTTGGTATAATGTTAAATTTGATACCAATTTTGATTATTGACAAAAAGCTACAAAGATAACACAAGACACAGACCAAAAACCACTGAAACACAACAAGAACTACAAATTACTCCGTAGCTCAGGCCAAGATAATTTGATGGAGTCAAGATTAAAGAATTGGGTTGGAATGTAACATAGCTTGCAGTTTTTCAAAAATGTAACACAATTTGTCTTCTATACTAAAAAACAAAAGATTTATTAACAGAAACCGTTAAGCCACAATGAAAATTCCATGTTCAGTTGTTGTTTAATTAGGCAGAGGAAGATACAAAGATAGCGAAGTAACTCAACTTGTTCGTTCTCTACCTTAACAACAACAAAAAGGTCGCAATTCTCTCTTGTTGACTTCATCGGATAGAGCCAATTTGTATTCTCCTTGTCATGAGAAAGGACTTGGCTCTTTGTTGTCCGAAAAGGAACACATACCAAATATGAAGATTTTACTTGATGAAGATCTTTGTTACATGTGTAACATTCAACGAAGAAAAGGAAAATTTAACTTTTTGGTCCTAGCCAAAATCAAATGAAATATGTATTTGTAAAACTGGCCACTAAAAAAGGTTGACATTTTATATTGACATGACATTTAACATGAACGTATGTTTGTACTTTGTAACATTTAATACAAATTTCATATTTTTTTTGTTTTTTTTGGTATGTTTTGTAGAAATGATCATATAAAGAGGGTTTGACTTTTTCCGTAGAAGACGACGCCCTCCTTCTTCTTATATAACTTTCCCTCACTTACCAAAGATTCGATTTTTCGACTGCAAATTTTCGCAAAGGAAAGAAGAAATTTTCCAGAGTAAATCGGAGATGGCGTTATCACGACTTTCTCTCCGATCCAACAGCTTCCTGAAACCGTTGGCCGCCACCGCCTTACCTACCTCCATTCGCCGCCACGTCTCCACAGACACAACCCCGATCACGATCGAGACCGCCGTCCCTTTCACGTCGCATCTATGCGAGGCGCCGTCACGCTCCGTCGAGACCTCCTCGGAGGAGATCCTCGCCTTCTTCCGCGACATGGCCCGGATGCGGAGGATGGAGATCGCAGCCGATTCTCTCTACAAGGCGAAGCTGATCCGCGGATTCTGCCACCTGTACGACGGCCAGGAGGCTCTAGCCGTCGGGATGGAGGCGGCGATTACCAGGAAAGACGCGATTATCACGTCGTATCGAGATCACTGCACTTTCCTGGGTCGCGGCGGAGAGCTCGTCGATGCGTTCTCAGAGCTGATGGGGAGGAAGAGGGGATGCTCGAATGGTAAAGGAGGATCTATGCATTTCTACAAGAAGGATGCTTCGTTTTACGGCGGGCATGGGATCGTCGGTGCTCAGATTCCGTTGGGATGTGGTTTGGCTTTCGCTCAGAAGTATTCCAAGGAAGAGAATGTGACTTTTACCTTGTATGGTGATGGTGCTGCGAATCAGGGACAGTTGTTTGAGGCTTTGAATATTGCAGCTCTTTGGGATTTGCCTGCGATTCTCGTTTGCGAGAATAACCATTGTGAGTGCTTGTTTTCTTCTACTTGTTGTCTCTCTGTTTGATTGGAATTTTGTGTATTTAATTTGATAACTTTGATGTGTTAGATGGAATGGGAACGGCGACATGGAGGTCGGCTAAATCTCCAGCCTATTTCAAGCGTGGAGACTATGTTCCTGGTTTGAAGGTGAGACTGGAATTTGTCTAATGTCATCATCTTGAGTGAGAAATGACGAACCTTTATATGATAATTTAAATCTGTTATGCGTTTGGATGTGATTTGAGAGTAACTTTTATAACCACTGCCAATGTTATTGTCTCTTAAAGCCTGTGTCTTTGTTGAATCGTTTGTGTTTTTTGATTGGTGAGAGTGTGAACTTAAAAGGCAACTAGTGATCATGTTATGCGTTTGTGTATTAGGTGGATGGTATGGACGCATTGGCTGTGAAACAGGCGTGTAAATTCGCTAAAGAGCATGCACTCAAGAATGGACCTATTGTAAGTTTATCTGTAATCAAGTATTACAGTTTCAATTCTTTGTTTTGCAGTCTTAGCAGCTCATCTTGTTTATTCGAAAATCGAACCTAATCAAGTAATCAGTATCAGTCTCTGAGCATTTAGTCTTTGATTGAAACGAGAGGTTTATTTGGTAAATTGTTTGTAGAAAAGTAAATTTTATAAGTCCCTCTGTCTGATAAACAATCTAGATGTTGAGTTCATCTTCCAACTAGTTTTTTCATTTCTTGCATTTGCATTTATGTCACCAATCACATCTGGGACAAGCATTTTGGATCTCATGAATTTAATCACATAGTGTTGTTGACATATATTGGATTCTAATAAGCCATTCTCTACTTGGTGATATGACCAACATAGCATTTCCATTATCTGTGCAGATCCTTGAGATGGACACATACAGATACCACGGCCACTCTATGTCTGACCCAGGAAGCACCTACCGTACACGTGACGAAATCTCCGGCGTGAGACAGGTTAGTTAGCTCTTTCCTCAGCTGTAAGAATACTGCTCAAAACGTTACAAAACTTGAATAAAATTGTTAATGATGATGAACTATCATAAATCTCTGTGACCTTTAGGTGCGTGATCCAATTGAAAGGGTGCGGAAGTTGCTCCTATCTCATGACATAGCTACAGAAAAAGAGCTTAAGGTACTTGGTTATATCTATAACTCATCCGAACACAAATCTCTAAAAAAAACTGATACATACAAATACAATCATCATTTGCCTATACAAATGACTATTTGCTCTTGACTTGAAGGACATGGAGAAAGAAGTGAGGAAAGAAGTAGATGACGCCGTAGCTCAGGCCAAGGTAATTAAATGAATCTTGGACTGTTTCTATCTTTGTCTTTTGGTATCTATATCGAACCATTTACTAATTACTTCCCGTTTAACTTGTTTACAGGAGAGCCCTGTACCAGAACCATCTGAGCTATTCACAAACATGTACGTGAAAGACTGCGGAGTTGAGGTAACTATATGTTTCACACTCTCTCATATCCTTTTAACACTACATCTCTTGGGAACCTTGTGGCATTTGTAGTTATCTGCATATTTCGTAATATGATGAATATTTAGAGATTTATGCATTTTTCTTCTTTGCAATTTGCAGTCGTTTGGAGCAGACAGAAAAGAACTCAAAGTAACACTTCCATAAATCTAGCTCCACAGGAGATGATGATGTTTTAATAAAGGCACACAAAAGCAAGTCACACAAAGTCTTTAATCTTGCTACCAAATTGTTTCTGGCTTTTTGTTTTCATTTCATGTGTAACATTTCTTTAGTTTGCAATCTTATTTCCCCTTTTTTATATGCACTCTAACATTGTTACCTTCTGAGAGCAAAACAAAAACGAAATCTTATATATGCGTATAAAAAATCTTGAAGAATCTGAATATATTAATAATATATATATATATATACTAGATTAAGGCCCGCGTATACGCGGGTATATTTTAAGATTTTATAATAAAAGCATGGAAAATATTAAACAAAATTTGATCATTTTTAAACGTAAACAAAATAATATTGAAAACCCGATAAAAATATTTAAATAAAATAAGATTGGTAATACTTTTACATTTTTATTGTAATTGATTTTTCTTTTGAATTTATGATATGACAAAATGAATTAATTTGTTTTACTATTATTTTTATCCAATACAGAAAGACTTACACATGTCTAAATCTGATCAACTGATTAATTAATCAAACTTTTATTATTCCATTCAAGAGATTTTAATTGATGAAATCTTTATTTCAATTTTTTTACCTAACAAAAATTGAAAATCAAACTATTTAAAATTAGAATATCAATTATAATTTTTTAATATTAGTTAATTGCTTGATAATTATTTTGTTAGTTTTCTATTTATATTTTTTCTTTCTCAATTTTGTTTTTGCCTCAGACCATTATAAATACTATATATTGGTATTTTTCCTTTTCGAAATGGATTTTTTTTCCTTTTCTTAATAGATGTAACAAAAGAATTTAAATTATTTGTTTCCTGTTTTTTTATTACTTTTAATGGATGTATTATTTTTTTTCATTTTAATTATTTGTTATCTGTTTTTCTAATTTTTAGTTAGTCTTATACATATTAATTTTTTTTTTATTCCATGACACATGTTACGATCTTCATACTTCCAGAATTTTTTTTTTCTAAAACACATGTCGCAATTTTGTCAGTTATAAAAATCCTATGTATCGCAAAACTTTCAAAAACATGATTTTTAAATTGGAGAAATATAATCAAAGGGATTTGATGAATTTTCTTTGATGAATTTATGATTGAGAAATCTTGACTCTCTTTTATAGGGTTCAAGTAACCTATTACATGCAGTTATAGGAAATTTAGTTTACATAACATATTCCATGTACAAATAGGATTTTATTTATTACATTATTTTGATTTTATTATTTGTTTGGATAATATTAATTTGATGAATGGAAACCTTTCTCTATTAGGATATGACAAATATATTTTTATTTCTTTTAACTGTAATGGATTAATTTTTTAAAAAAATTTCCTTTATCTAAATTTTTTTATTATTATTTTTTTTTCTCTAAGACATGTGTCACGATCTTAACGGACGTAACATTAAAAGTGACACATGTCGCGATCTTATAAATTATAAAAATCTATGTGTCGCAACCACGTCGTGCGCATCCAACTTTATATAATAAAAAATTGATGAATGGAAACCTTTTTCTGTTTGGATATAACAAATATTATTTTTTCCTTTTTGATATAATATAAATTAAATTTCGTTTTTTTAATTAACATTTTTCTGGAATTTTTTTTTTTAAGTTCTCTTTTTTCCTAAGACACGTGTCACGATCTTAACGGACATAAACTTAAAAGTGACACATGTCGCGATCCTGAATTTTATAAAAATCCTACGTGTCGCAACCATCGTGCGCATCCAGCTTTATATAATAAGATATATATATATATATATATATATATATATATATTATGGTTTGAAGAATCTGATATAAAAAAAACTTGATGCAAGTGTAAACAAATTCCAAAATGAAATTCCTAGTATAGCGTACATATATACATATGAAATTCCAAAATTGTCACTTTGGGGGGCTTATTGAACTAATCATTTGGGAGGATTTCAAATACAAAGAATTTAAGGAACTTTTAAGGGATTTTAAGGATTTGAGTTGATTTACAAATTTTCTGTTTAAAAATTTGCAAAGCGATTAGGTGGGATTTCATGGTATTCAAAAAACAAAACAAAAAATTCAGTTTTAATTGTTGTCCAATATATTTCGTCAATGTTATAAGAGAAAAGGGAAAAATAATTTAATCATTAATTTATTCAAATCCCATCTTATAAAGTGGTATTTGGATATATTTGTTTTTCACTACAAAATCTCTCACAAATTACTCATAACAGTTTTTCACTCATAACAGTTTTTGATAGATTTTGTTGATGAAATCCTGATTTTCCAATAAGATGGGATTTAAAAGAATTTGTAAATCATTAGTCCAATAATCTTGGATTTTGAATTATTTTTATAAATACTAGATCCAATAAGAGAGAATTTGGAAAAAAATTGAAATCCTCCCAAATCATTAGTTCAATAAGCCTGTCTCTCTACAAAAAGACACCATATTCAAAACATATGATATAAGGTGTGAGTTGTGCATGTTTTGTGTAACTGATTTTGTGTTTATTTTGTCTCCACACCAAAGACGATGTTACTAAAAGGAGACCTCACAAAGAAAGATTTTCTCAACAGAGTGAAAAAGAATGTGAAGAAATTGGAGGAGGAGAAGGTGTTAAGCATTCATCAAGAAGAAAACTCTTCTCCTAGTTATGAGTTGTTACATGATCCAACTCCAAACCACCATTGGGACAAGCTAGGTAAGGAAGTATGAAACTCTAGATATGTACTCTTGAGAACATCATTAGGAGGATCCCAAAACCGTGACAATCCATATGAAGATATTTTTTGTGAAGATCAAAGATATATTTTTTGTTTGTTGTTCCGTTTATTTTTCTGTTTTTTGCATTAACAACTTTTTCTTTTTTAGAGGTTTGAGTTGGATATGCTTTTAGCATATACCAAATCCACTATAAAAACGGTCACAAAGATATACTCGAAGGAAGTTAGGCCTAGCGATCTTAAAGGTATAATTCACATAATTCTATAAGTGTGGAATATAATTTACATTTGATTCCTTATTCCTTTGTTAATGGTTTTTGCAGCTCAAGGTAGAAGACTAGTAGAAATGCTCTACAATGGTCATGGAATGAAAGTCCTAGAGATGCTAAATAAGTGGAGTGTCACGTCTTCTCTTGGGTCGCTTGTACGAGAAGCAAGAAATGTCTCCATGAGTTCAACATAAAATGGAGAGAATTGTATGCCAAAAACCACAAAAAATCACTTGCTTACTCAAAGGCCAAGGCTAAGGCTTAGAGGTACTAAATTTCCAACTTTCATTCCTTGACAATGATAGTTTATTCACTAAGCTATTTGCTCTTCAGCTCATTCCTTGACTGCGCTGACTTATTTTCATATAGGTTCTTCATTAAGCTCTTTACTCGGCTGATTCACAATTGAGAAGCAATGTCAGTCACATGCCTTATCTTCTTCACAAGCGAATTGCTCATTAGATCCACACTCTTGTCACCGAGTTCCCTTTTTCGCATTCCATACTCCCCTGATCTGCATGATGCGTTTTTGTCCATTTGTTATCTCAGCTTTTTCAAAAAATAGTGACAAATTATGCAGAAAACTCTGAAAGAAAACATGGACAATACCTTGTCATCAATATTGGCAACACCAACTTGCATATCCCCCATGAATCCTAATTCACACAAAACTAGCAAATTTGTATCAACCATAATCGTTTCATCATAAGTAAAGAAGGATCTACGTGCTACTTTCACGTTTGGTCTAACTCTTTAACACAACCGAAAACCCTCTTAGTGAGCAAACTCAGTTTCTTGTGGAAAAGTGTACTATAAAATGAATAGCCGCCAAAGTGAAACTGGGAAAACGTATTTGGGCTTCACAGCCTTGCTCATTAGTAATCTCACACGACGTTGTGTTTATTCATGTATAGTATAGTAGGGCTGGCAAAATTTAGATCCGATTCGAAAATTTTAAATAACCATCATACAAAAAAGTACTAAATTTTGAATATCCGTTGAAAACAGAGTAGACCACTTAATCTAGAACCTTGAGGTATTAGCTTTCCACTCTTCATTATCTTTTAAGAGATCATCTCATGATATTTTGTAGTTCTCTCCATATTTTGTAATAAAATGACATGTGAGTATAAAATCATCAAGAACCCGTGTTTTATTCGTTATCTACAACTACAAATGACACATTCAAAATTAAAATAAATAGAAAGAAGAAAAGCAAAAACCAACTTCTTCGTCGGTAGCAATAAAAACCACAAGAAGTTCCATGTCCCTACCACCTAACTTCAATTATCTTTGCTTCTACTACAAGTCCCTTTCTCATTCCCCCACATAAACACCAAATCCTGTTGATCAGGTAAACTCTATGACGCACTCAAAACTCCTTTCTTTTTTCTTAATATATAATTTAGCTTTCTTGTAACTACTAATCACTAAAAAGAACTTTGATTCATTCTTCCTTTTCTTAACCAAACATTTGGTACTTCACAGGCCATTAGAACCAAACCTTGCTTAATTCATAGTGTTCAGTGTCTAACTATTTAAGAATATCCTCCATGTTAAATAAAAACGTATCAAATCAAAATATGTTCAACGAAAATCTTTGATCGTGTTCTCTTCTCATCACTGTGAGAAAAGTATGTAGTACACATCACAATAGAAAGTGTTTAATAAACACATCACAATACGACTGGGTCTTATTTAAATTTGTTTTCTTATATCATATGTTACGTCGAGAGCATGAGCTGCACTACCCCAAAACGAGAATATTCGATATAATTGGCTCGGTAGTCGCTACCAACAGGCCAATAATATACGAACAAGAGAACAAAACTAAATTTAATATCCAAATGAAACCTGCCGACAAGGAAAAATATACTAATATCCTAATAAAAGTTCGATTTATATTTTTCCTTTCTTTACTACATTTAAATTGTTAAACTTATGTGAGAATCGTATTAACCTGGAGATTCGTGGAAACAAATCATCAACGATAGACACATTTGTGTCGGTGTAAGTGTAACGCATGAATGATGAAATCATCGTAGCGATAAATACGTAGTAACATTTGATGTATGATCGAATATATAACTTCCTTTTTTCTTTAACCAATTTGAAATGTTTCTACAAATTGCATTCACTTTATAAATCATTGTTACATGATTGAGGCATGTGAGAATCTATTGTTACCTTGTTTGGTTGTACAGAATCCAATTGCTTTGTTTTCACTGTTTTGTAATATAAAAGGAAATCTTTCACTTTTTTCCCTTCTCATTCTTTTGGGACCAAATACCTTGATTGTCTGTACACAATCTGATATTTTTAGCATTTTTGTAAAGCAAAGGGAGAATTATTTTATTTCGAAAAAACATTCTTAGGAAATATTTTCCTGGTTAGTATAGTATTGCATGCCAGTGCAATAATCTAGACATTATTTTTGTAAAATAAATTCAACTGGCAAAACAACATTTATTGGCAAACATTTTCTGGTTTGCCAATGCCATTTTTCGTTAAAGAGCATTATTTACTGTGTGCAGAGCACGTGACAAGTTGTGTTCTCAACTTCTCATCCTTTTAATCTCGTCCGTCCATTTGAACAACTGTGGACCCCAATTTCCAAAAAGCGAATCATCCAGCTGTTTTCCTCGAGCTACACAGCTGGCACCGTCTTAATGGGTCAAGTCAAGTTTCCAAAAACCTACTGTACATCTTCCCGCAGAGGAACACAGCCCTAACTCACCGAAATCTTGGTTTTTAACATTTTTGTTAATACAGGTAAATTAATTTTGCTCTTGGAAAGCTTTCCCTTAACGACTAAGCCAGATCGCCGTCTCACGCGTTTCCGAGTGGCGCGTGTTTCGTAATCTCCCAAATGAGGAAATACAAATCAATGAGGATCCAAAGTAAAAGCAATGAGAAGAAACATCTCTTTTATAACCAATCTTTCCTTCTTCTTCTTCCTCTTTCCTTATCTCTCCATCTCTGTGGAGAGAGACCAAAATTCAACAGAAAAAGAAACATTTTTGAAAAATCTTTTAAAGAAGCTTCTTCAATCTTGCACAATGCTAAATCATTAGTTGCCGATTATACGAAAAAAGCTCAAATCTTTCTTTTCATTCTTTGATTTTAAACGCGTTTTTATGATAATGCCGTTGAACACCGTCGTTTTAGCGGCGGTTGCGTGTTTGCTTGTTATATCGTCACCGTTTGCCGTCGGAATACGGACGGGTCCGGGGAGGATCACGACCAACGGCGGCGGCGGAGGTAATGGGTTTAGCAAACTGGGTCCGTTCATGGAAGCTCCGGAATACAGAAACGGCAAGGAGTGCGCATCGTCATCAGTTAATAGAGAGAACTTCGTGTCGTCTTCTTCCAATGATCCTTCGCTTGTCCACATCGCTATGACGTTGGACTCAGAGTATCTCCGTGGCTCAATCGCAGCCGTACATTCCGTTCTCCGCCACGCGTCGTGTCCCGAGAACGTTTTCTTCCACTTCATCGCCGCCGAGTTCGACTCGGCGAGCCCTCGCGTCCTGAGTCAGCTCGTACGGTCGACTTTCCCGTCGCTGAACTTCAAAGTCTACATTTTCCGGGAAGACACGGTGATCAACCTCATATCGTCGTCGATACGACAAGCCCTCGAGAATCCGTTGAACTACGCCCGGAACTACCTCGGAGACATACTCGATCGGAGCGTTGACCGAGTCATATACCTCGACTCGGATATCATAGTGGTCGACGACATCACCAAGCTCTGGAACACGGCGTTGACCGGATCGCGAGTCATCGGAGCTCCGGAGTATTGCCACGCGAACTTCACGCAGTACTTCACTCCCGGGTTCTGGTCAGACCCGGCTTTACCGGGTCTAATCTCGGGTCGAAACCCGTGCTATTTCAACACGGGAGTGATGGTGATGGACATGGTTAGGTGGAGAGAAAGGAACTACAGAGAGAAGCTAGAGGTTTGGATGCAGCTGCAGAAGAAGAAGAGAATCTACGATCTCGGATCTTTGCCGCCGTTTCTGCTCGTGTTCGCCGGAGACGTGGAGGCGATTGATCATAGATGGAACCAGCACGGTCTAGGAGGAGACAACATACGAGGAAGCTGTCGGTCTTTGCATCCTGGTCCTGTGAGTTTGTTGCATTGGAGTGGGAAAGGGAAGCCATGGGTGAGACTTGATGAGAAGAGGCCTTGTCCGTTGGATCATCTTTGGGAGCCGTATGATCTGTTTAAGCATAATAAGATTGAGAGAGCTAAGGACCAGTCTCTGCTTGGGTTTGCTTCGTTGTCGGAGTTGACTGACGATTCAAGCTTCTTGTGAGAGTTTTATTTTTACATTCTTTTTGGATAAAAAACACATTTGTTATGGTGATTCTTTGATTTTGTTGTGTACAAAAATGGATTTAGTGAGGTGAGAGTTAATAGAAGCCATTGATGACCCTTTTTTGAGAATTCTGTTTTCATTTTGGTGGTCTTGTTTTATCAATCTCTTTTGTTCCTAATAAAAACTCATCTTCAAGCTATTGAGATACTTAATCATTCTGATCATTCAGGTAGTCTGGTTAGCAAAAATGTATGATCAATGCCAAGGTTTGTGATGACATAAATGGCTTTGGGCTAATTGGGAACCCAAGTCTTGGTATTGGAGAAGCAATTATGGTTGTTCTCAGTATCTATTCAAGTCTACTGGCAATGCTAATAAATCTGGTCAAGGATCATAAATGTTTTGTGTTGGGATTACTAATGGGCTTGGGCTATTAAAGCCCAAATGCGTTTTTCAGTGTCTGTCAATAACTTTTTCGTTGTAGATGTCACCGATGACTTGAGGAGAATCTACGGCCGGGCCCGCAGATTCACAGGTGTCCTGAGAAGAGGAGGCAAACATTTATTAGGCAAGATTAGTCTTTTTAATTTATTACAATTAAAGAAACCAAACTCGTGATTAGTACGAACTTAGTTCGCAAGTAGCATAGTGTTTATTGTCTCTTGATCTCTCACTTTAAAGTTATCACTTCCATATTACTGGTCCCACCGACTCTTTGTCTTCATTGCCGATCTGAGTCTGATCTCATCTCTTCTTCTTCTTCCAATTGCTTTTCTCATCTTGTTGAAATCTGCATTTAAGATTTTTCAGTTGAGTGCTAAATTTTTTAAAATTAATTTATTCTTTTGAAAGGTCTTCCCTTTTTTGCTTAAAGTCTTCAACTTTGAAAGACTTTTACTTTTTAGAGAAACTGTTTGTTTTTCCAACTTTTGTGTGTGTCCACTCGAAGCAGAAATCTAAACTTAAAAAAGGTGGATCATCATTGAGAGCTAACAACAATTTTGTTCTGTGGTTTGTCTTCACTTTTTTCTGGTAAGATTTATAGATCTCTCTTTCTCTTAGATTCTCTCTCTTTCAATCATTGATTAAAGATTTGGGGTCTCTTTCTTTTAATTCTTCAATTATTTGAATGCTTAAGTACACTTTTTCTCAAGAATCTGAGTTTGCTTACTAAGTGGGGTTTTTGCAAGAAAAGTGAAAGTAGCAAGTAGATCCTTCTTTACTTGTGATGAAACGACTATGGCTGATACAAATTTGTGTGAATTAGGGATCTTCTACTGAGCATTCATGGGAGATATGCAAGTCGGTGTTGCCAATATTGACGATAAGGTATTTGTCTCTGTTTTTGTGAGATCTTCCAAGTTCTGGACTTGATTTGTTGACGGAAGGATCTTGAATTGATCCATGGTTATTTAGGGGTTTTATGGATTGATGGAGGATAAACCGGTGGCTTCACCGAATCCGAGCCTGCAAGTGTCGGTTTCGTTTGGTAGGTTTGAGAACGATTCACTCTCATGGGAGAAGTTTTCAGCTTTCTCTCCAAACAAGTACTTGGAGGAAGTTGGGAAATGTGCTACTCCAGGATCAGTAGCTCAGAAGAAGGCTTACTTTGAAGCTCATTACAAGAAGATCGCTGAGAGGAAAGCTGAGATCATGATGGATCAGGAGAAAGAAATGGACAAGAACGGATCTTTCAGGTCGATTGTTACAGATCAAGGCGGCTCGGTGACAGAGTGTGGGGTTGTTGAAGAATCTAATGAGCAATTCGCTTGTGAAGAAGATAAGCATGTGACTGACATTGCTTCTGATGAAGTGAAAGAGCTTAGTGAAGAAGAAAGTATCATTGTCAAGGAATGTCAAAGCTCGTTTGTTCAAGTTAAAGAAGAAGTCAAGAACAGTGTGGATAGTCCAAAACTTCAGAAATTTGAAGAGGTTGCTCTGGTGGAGGAGAAACCGGAAGTTGTCGTCCATGTGCAAGAGAAACCAGAAGAGAATGAAGTAAGAGAAGAAGTGAGAGACGAAATTCTGTCAAATGATACTACTGGAGATACGGAAGAGACGCCAATGAAGGAGATGAGAAAAGAGAAAACCCTGAAACCAACCAAGAAGGAAGGAAATGTTGGGATCAATCGTACAAGAATCTCTCCAAAGGTAAACACTTTTTCAAGTTCTTGATATGTTTTTAAACAGAGAAAGCTTTGTTCTTTGTGTCTAAAACATCTCTATTGCTTTTCTTGTCTCTAGCCTAATCAGGTGAAGACAAAACCGACAACTAACAAGACTGTAACAAGTAGGAAAACTCCACCGAGCAAGGAGATCAAAAACATGATCAAGGCAACAAAGAAACCACCAGCAGCAGCACCTCTCGCAAAAGCCACACCAAGGTTGTCAACAACACCAAGAGTGTACAAGCCAGCTCCGTCACAAACCGCTTCACTGTCTACGTCCCATTCTTCTTTGAAGAAGGAAACAAAGGTCTCTTCTTTGCTGAGAAACAAACAAACCGCTCCAAAGTCATTGCACAACTCTATGAATCTTGCTCCAGCGGCCTCCTCCGATCCTACTGCTCTTACAAGCACCAGAAAATCGTTGATTATGGAGCGAATGGGAGATAAAGACATTGTGAAACGAGCTTTCAAATCGTTTCAAAAGAGTTTCGACTTCAAAACCTCTGTCGATGAGGAAACAACAACTAAGCAGGTATATTAGTACCTAGTAATGTTTTGTATGTCACATGTTATGCAAAGATTATCCACTGATCAGCTGCTTAAACATCAGAATCCTGCAAAGGCAACTAATATTCCATCACTAGCTACTCGGCCGAAGGAAAATGGCAGGTATACACTCAAGGGTTTTGTGGTTTTTCTTGCTTAGGTTATTGAAATTCATCACTTTAATGTTACGAGTTTTAAAGTTCTGTTCTTTTCCTTAAAAGCAGGCCTACAAAAGCTAGTAGCATGGAGAAGAGAAGCAACATGACCGCGCAGAAACAACACAAGGAGGTAATATATCTCTCTCTCTCTCACTTCACAACCAACAACATGGAGGTTAGTCGCTTACCTGCGCTTAACACTTTCTTACACTTTCTTGTTCAGCCTGCCAAGACTGGTGCAAGACCTGTAGAGAAGACACGCTTGCAGAAGAGCCCAAAGGTTTACACAGTTTTACACTTTTATAAAATCGTTGAAGATGTATTATTCTTGGTCTCATTTGCTTTCTGTGTTTTTGCAGACAGGAGTGATGGATGCCAAAACCGGGAGGGACTCTCTTAATGCGAAAGCAAAACCGGTGCAGGGCTCTCTTCAAGTACGGACCTTACCAAAAGCAGGGACTTTGAAAAATTAGAAAGCCTACCTCCACATTTTCTTAAAAGTTAGCATAATGTATTTTGATAGTTTGTAAACAAAGTTATGTGTATGTACATATATTTGCAGCATCGCTGCATGCTTTGTTTTTTTTTAATATATATAAATCTGATCGAAACTAAAAAAAAAAATTAAATAATTATAGTTAATAATGCTGCTTGGTTTTAGATTTAATCTTCAAATTATTTACGGTAACACTGCATTTTGCGAAAAGCATTTTTCCAAGTCTTACACATTTTAATTGGTAAATCTTATTCATGTTCACCAGATTAACTACACAGTACAGAAGAATTATTTCACATTGCAAATTCAAATATTCTACGGTTATTTCTATTTCATAGCTATGATAAGCAAACATTTTCTCTTAAATTATGAAATTATCATTTTTTATTGTTAAGGAAATGTGACATCTTCTTAATTCAACATATATAATATATTTGCATATACCTAATTTTTTTATATTTAAATGCTGAAATTATGGTAATACTTTTTTAAAAAATGTTAATAATTGTATGGAGTTTTCATTCTTAAGCATATTAATTTTTTTTTTTAAAAATAATAGCAAAATAAAATAATATTATCATGATGTTTTGCTTATGGTTCACATACATTTTGCTTATAATTTGCTTTTTTTTTACTTGTTTTTGTAAAACAAATTTCTAACAACCGGAGAATAAGCAGATCGAGCACACATGAGTAACTCATTCATTTCAAGTCCAACGTTGTTGTTGACATCAAAATTCTTCAAGATTCGTTCACCTTCTTGGTTGTAGATCTTGATGTGCATGATCTAGAAAGCGATCTTCATATTTCAATGCTTCCGGTGGAAGTTGCTTCCCTCGGTTACTAGTGCTGTCAAAGACAGATTTTACTCTTTTCATCATCATATTATCCAATGCATCAGAAGAACTCATTGTGATAGGGCTTCTTTTGTTCTGAGAAAGAGTATAACAAAACAAACAAACAAAACTCACAAACTTTTTTTTTAACTTCAGAGAGAAATAGATTATGAGGCGCAACTATGCATAGATTGTTAGGACTCCAGAGACTGTTGGTATATGAAGAAGTTAATTAATTACGACGTGTTTCTCAGATATTGTACAAATCCGTATTTTTAGAAAAAGAAAACTAGTTCTCACATATATATCATATAAGGAAACCCCGCGTTAATTATAGACTAAGTTAGTATCCATGTTACTGAATTATGTTCACCTTCGCTCAATTTACTTTTTAAGATACTTTTATCTTGTCAATCTGTATACTGTACTTGATTGATTGTAATTTTTTTTGTTAAAGTTATAGTGACGTGGTGACAGGTGAGTTATGCCTTTAATTTTCTCTTAAACTTTCTATTTTTGGCCTTCACTTTTCCAAAATGCACAAATTTCTGTTACTTTCTGAAAATGAATACCACTTTTATATGTTAGAAAAATGGAGTGAGACCTTCTTTGTATGGTGACGCAGTGATGTTTTTTTTTGTTAAACTTTCGATTTTTGGTGAGCCATTTTCATTGTTACTGTACCTGCTGTTAAAATAAGGTCCACCTGTCTAGGACTATGCACAACAGTTGTTGCTGTGTGAAGCATGTATGGAGATAGTGAGGAACGGCCTGCGAACTACCGTAGCTTCAGTATTCAGTAAGCCAGGAAGGAAGTGTGCATTCAGCTGGAGATTTTTTTTTTGTTAAACTTTCCATTTTTGGTGACATGTGAATAATGGCTATATAGTAGAAACTCTATATATTGATACTCGATAAACTAATAAACTCTATAAAATAATAATTTTCTTTGGTCCCAAGTCGGGCATGTGTAAAAATTACCAAAATTCGATAAAATAATAAGATAATAATATTTTTGAAACTCCTATGTAAATATATGGTCCCATTAATATCATAAATTAATAATTACCATAAATAATTTTATGTAAATACATATCTATGATAATATACTAAAATATAAGTATAATTTTCACTTCTTTTCTACTAAAACTCAAATATATTTAGATTAGAATGAATCTATACAAAATATAAAAAAACTTTTAAAATTTCATATTTTTATTTAATTTAATATTTATTTTAATTATTTTAAATAAAACAGGGGAAATTTCAAAACTACACCTCTTGAGGTGTCAATTTTCAAAAATACACCTCTATGGTACCAATTTTCAAAACTACACTTTTTTCATTGAGTAAAAGAACTCTAAACCCTAAAATATAAATCCAAAACCCTAAAATCTAACATTGAACCCGTAAATCTAAACCCTAAATCTCAAAATCTAAACCCTAATCTAGGAATAGTGAACCCAAACATATATATTAAAATTGGAGAAAAGTGTATTTTTGAAAATTTCCACACTATAGGTGTAGTTTTGAAAATTTGCACCTTAAGAGGTGTATTTCATAAAATTTCTCAATAAAACAGCTATTTTATTCAAGATCGATAATTTAATAACTCTATAAATTAATAAAATATCAAAGTCCCAACTTTATTAATTTATAGAGTTTATACTGTATGTCCATATGGTCAAATTAGATAAACCTCTTTTCAAGATACAGTAAAACCTCTATAAAACAATAATGTTAGGACTTTGAAATTTATTATCTTATAGAGTTATTATTTTATCGATAAAACAATAATTATTATTTTATAGAAATATTCTATCAAAAACAGAAACTTTATAGAAATATATTTTTTTAGTTTTTTTATTCAAAATTTCCTTATATTTTGACTTCGAGAACGCTTCACCACCAAAAATTGTTGATGCAATAAGAAAAATTCAAGATGAGCTCCAACGAGAATCCAACTTTCAGAAAAGACAAACTACATTGGAGTCATATTTTACTAAATTGCCTTAGATATATATGCCTTAGTTTTATAATTATTATCTTAGCCTATTGTTGGGACTATATTTTTACATAGGAGTTTCAAAAATATTATTGTCTTATCATCTTATCGCATTATGCTATTTTTTACATTGACCCGAGTTGGGACCGGAAAAATTTATTATCTTATAGTATTTATTGTTTTATCGAGTATTGTTTTATAGAGGTTCTACCGTATTCAAATTGGTCCAAAGCAAAGACCAGATAAATCTAGTAATTCTACACTTACGGAAATAAATCTTTGACTTAGATCACCACAATTTGCTTTTAAGTCATTCTCTCGTAGTTTCCATAGTTGATTCAGGATTAAAATGCCTTAAGGCTTTCTACGAGTCTCTTCAGATTCTAGTTTTTTGTAATCATAATCTTTGTTTTCGTTTTGCAAAGCCCTAAATTTTGTGACGGCTGATGGATTTCAAGAACCTGAACGACGGAAGTGTTGTTCTCAGAAAACTCAAAGCGATATTGAGAATAAGGTTCGCTTTCTCTATCGATTTTCCCCTTTCATTTTTTTTTGTTATTTAAAAATCATCTGTTAGATTTTGTGGTGTTTGGGAAATGTGTTATGATTTTTGTTTGGATTGATTTTTTTCAGGCGTGCTTCGATTGCAGTGCGAATGATTCAACATGGGCATCGGTTACGTACGGGATTTTTCTCTGCATCGATTGTTCATCAGCCCATCGAAATCTCGGTGTTCATATCAGCTTCGTCAGGTAAACCTTGAACACAAATTTTCATCCGATTCAGCATCTGATTTGATTCTCTCGAATCGTACCATTACGTTGATTTGACTATATAACAACATTTATGATGATGTTGCACCAAAAAAAAAACATTTATGATGATGCCCCGTTTTATTTATTTTTTGTTTATTTTTATTTTATTTTTTGAAAAGGTCAACGAGTTTAGACTCATGGAGCCCTAAGCAGCTCATGACGATGATGTTTGGTGGCAACAACCGTGCTCACCTGTTCTTCAAGGAACATGGATGCCCCGTTGATGACAAAGTCAGATTCGAGAGTAAGTACACTTCAAGAGCTGCTAATTCCTATAGGAGGATTCTTGCTAAGGAAGTTGCTGAAGCCATGGCGGAAGAAGCTACTACTGGTCCACCGTCGTCTCCCGTTCTAGTAAGCCTTGTGAGTCTGGAAGCATCCAGTTACACTATAATAAATCTTCTAACTAATTTTTGTTACTAGGTTGAAGAATCAGATGCAGCAAGAAGGTTGTTCTCAAAGGAAAAGTCCATATCCTCTGCTCAGTTTTTCGGGGATCCGCATGAATCTTCTCATCTTGAACCAAAAACAAGGCTTGAGAAGCTCACAACATTGGCCTCCACTATCTTTGGCGATTCGTAAGAAATGAGCCTTTAGCTTTTGTTTGGATTTTTTTTTTATAACTTAATAATAGGATTCTCTATGTAATTGTTTGTTTTCATTGCGCAGTACTACGTTCCCCAAGAAACAAAGCATTCCTCCCGTTTTTTATGCTCTCCGTAGGGATGTGACAGACTTAATGCAGATATTGTATAGCGAAGATGTTGATAACGCTCATGCCATGCCTTATCTCACCCGTTTGGGCTTGATCAACCATTTGCGTGACCGAGTATGTTCCACCACACTTGAATCTTCTTGAGCTATTAATAAACCCTAATCGCTCTAATGAACACAGTTTGTTTGTTGTTCTAACAGCTCACCACGGCTTCAAACGGTGTTAAAGTTTGGGACAAAGACAAAAAAAAACTAGTTTGGGACGAAGACAAAAAACTAGTACGCATGATTTCTGCTCTTGAACGGGATTTGTGGATTTTACTGTTGGAATCTGTAGGACCTTGTCCTGATCTTCAAGACTATATAGTCCATGCTTAAGCTTCTCTTTCTTTATCTTCCTTATCAACCAATATAACCATAATAACACAATATTAAACTTCTTTCCCATGTCTATTTTTGCAGATTCTGTCTTCTTCTTTATGTTTGTTTGTTTGATTACAGTATATATATATGTCTGTGAATTTAAGTTTGTTACATTTTAATTGATGGTTTAAGATTCTTAGTTTGTCTAGTATTGAGCTTGGATCCTGCAGTGCATTAGAGAGGAAGGAAAACAGATTCCCTAGCACTTTAAAATACTCCATTCGTTTCATAATAAGTGTCGTTTTGACTCTCCACTTACCCAATGTATTTAGATATTAATGAATATATTAAGACTCAAAACACATCCAAATACATCGTTAAATAGTCCAGATTCATTTTGTCAAAAAGACACTTATTATGAAACGGAAAGAGTAATACTTTATGTGTATTTATTTTAAAATAGAGGATGAGAGATATAGAAGCCATTGGCATTGATGACCCATTTTAGAGAATTCTGTATTTTTTCTTTCATTGTGGTGGTCTTGTTTTCAATCTCTTTGTTCCTAATAAAAACTCATCTTCAAGTGCCTGTTGAGATACTTTTAGCATTATTGACCATTCAACTAGTCTGGTTAGCAAAACACTACAATGTGTACATACTTTATGTCTTTTATATCTAACAACAGTAAGTATGAATATGATCAATACCATATAGTTTGTGATGACATTAATATCTTTTGGCTATTGGAGAATCAATTGTACTTGTTCTCGGTATCACTTTTTAAGTCTTCTCAGTTTTTTACACAGAAGAAAATATTAAAAAGAAACACTGGTTCGTAATCTTGAACTAAAAACTCTGTACTTATAATTTGGGATGAACACTAATAGTAAAACCTCTGACTCTCATCCTAAATCAACACTTGAAATAAATTATTCAGCCAAAAAAAATGTAATCCATACCCAAAAGATTCTATTATTTACAGCCAAACAAATCTCAGGCTCTTCGATCTTCACCTCTAAACAAATAATGATCAGACTCACATATCATACTGATCCACCAGAATCACTCTTCGATCTATCCGACATGAAATTCGGAGGCAAAACCGGAAACTTAACCGCATTCCTCTGCTGCGGACTCACCACCATCGTCCTCCTCTGCATATTCCTCGTAATCTCTAAGCAAACTTTATCAACCATTCCAAGAAAATCTCTAACGATGACAAACAAATGAAGCTGATTCTTCCCTTTCACACCAGTAGCTCCCGCTTGGTAATACTCCGTCGTCCTCTTCACAAGCTCCATCACTTTCTTCTCTTCCTCTCTCGCTAACTTCACTTCCTCCTCAACCGAATCAAGAAACTCCACCATCTTCTTCACAAACCTCTCTCCTCCTCTGTTCTCTCCTCCTTCACCGCATTGCTCCAACACTCGTCTCGCGTCTTTCCCTCTCGACGCGAGAGCCAAACACGTCGCCGAAACCGCCTCGTAGTCTATCGCCGCAGCTTTCTTGACGTTTGAGAACTCGGTGCTTAGCCCTCCGACGACGGTTAAACCGAGTCTCATATACTCTTTCTCTTGCTCCTCCTTCGATATAACCTCCTCTGAGATCGAATTACTACTTCTACTGCTACTGCTTCGGCTTAAGCTTCTTCTGTTAACAACGCATCGCTTCCCTTCCGATCTAACCACTTCCTCCACCACGAAGTTGAGCAGAGTCGTCCTCCCGTCGACGCTCTTCACGTCGGAGAGTTTCAGCAACGCGGTGAGGTTAAAAGCCTGAGCGTCTCCTCTAGCTGTTCCCGCATTCATTCTGTTCCCGGATTTCAGTATCGCTTCGAGGAGCTTGACGAACAATCCTCGTGATCGGAGCTCGTTGCAGGCTGAGTTTAGCGTCTGGAGAGATCTCTTGTGGTGAGCCATCTCCGGGTAGTAGTTAGCTCTGAAGAGCAGCGCGTCGAGGCGTGTGAAGGCGCTAGGCACGGCCTTGAGGAGATGGAACAGGAACGATTCGGCGTCGGCGAGTTTCGCTGTGTCGCCTCCGTCGAATTGGAGGATCGCTGTTTGTTCTTCTTTCGTCGGAGCTATTCTCGCGAGCCTCTCGAGTGTGTCTGGGTGGAAATCGTTGCCTTCCGTTAGCGATTCCGTCAGCGATTTCGCGAGCTCCTCTCGCGTCATTCCTAGGGATTTGAGCACGATCGCTGTGTTCTGCGATTTTCTCGGGTCGAGGATGAAGATCTGCGTCGGAGCGCTGGCTTTATTGTTATCGCCGTCTGGAGATTTCTTCCCGACGGCTACGTAACCGAAGAGAGCCTCCATTAGATCGCCATCGAAACTGGAGGAAATGTAATTAGGGATTTGAAAAATTTGGGGATTTTGATTGATTGAAATTTAAAACCCTAAAATCGAATGTAGAGATGATAAGTACCTGAATGAGCCACGGTCGATTTTGTCCCAAACCATGGAATGATCGGAATCAGGGTTGACTTTATCCCAATGAAGAGGCTTGAGCTTCACCGGAACATTTCCACCGGTTGAAGCTTCCCCTGACGATGGTCCTCTAGGAGCAGGCGGCGGTCTTGCAACCGACGACGAAAGAGCCGCCGATTTCTTCAACGGCGGAGGTGGCGGCGGAGAAGGACCACTCTTAGCAGAAACAGGCTTAGGTGGAGGTGGAGGAGGAGGCGTCGGTGCTGGTGCAATCTGCTTAACCGGAATCGGAGGTGGCGGCGGCGGAGACAAAGACGGAGACGGATCTAATTGGGCGAATTCGAAGGAATCGGACTTGACATGAGGAGGAGGAGGAGCATTCCGGTAACTATCGTTGTGAATTACACTGTGAGAAGTCGATGATCTTCCTCTGAGAAGAGGTCTCTCCGTCACAGGTCCCGATTTCTTCTTGCTCTTGGAATAAGAAGTCACATTCTTCTCTCTGTCGTCTACGTGGACGATCTCTTTCCTGAAACTTCCGCTTTTGTTGTCTCTCTGACTCTGCAGCTTTCTCCAATACAAGACATCGAGGCCGTTCTCGTCCAAGATCAGACCTTTCACGTTTCCGCCGAATCGGGTAAACCCCTCGCGAGCCAACGCGGATTCCGCCAGCGGAGGAGGCGTTGGACCGGTGTTACCGACGTCGACTCTATCTCTCCGTCGCCGCCGCCGCGAGACGACGCACAATTGGACGAAGAAGAAGAATACGGCTGCTGCAAGTAAGGTGCTTGCGGCTGTTATGAGAATAGCCCTCGTGATCTTTTGTCTGTCCGACGAAGAAGGCGGTGGTGGTGGATTTTTCTGCGGCAGAGGAACCGGCGATGGAGTCGGAGTCGGAGCCGGAGCCGGAGCGGAGAGGGATTCATCTGGGAAAAAAGTTTCGATGTTTTGAGGAGAATCAGCTTGAGAAAAGGAATGATAAGGGAAAAGGAGAATGAGCACAATTAGGGTTAATTGGGGAAGAAGAAGAAACGGCGGCCATGGCTGCTTGAACATGGCAGCCATATGGAGAATTAACTCATTTGCATTTGAGAGATCAATGAGAGGGTGAGAAAAAAACTCGCAAAAAGGTAACGACTTTTTGTTATCTTGTTAACGTTTCTTTGTTTCGATTTCAGTTTCAGAAACAAAGAAAAACAAATTTCTTCTCTGTTGGGGTTTTTGAGCAATGAGTTGTTAACGTCGTCGTCTTCTTCAAAGCAGAGTAGTTGATCTGTTTCTTGAAGGAATTTGTACGTGTGTAGATTACGATAATACCCTTGGTAGTGGGAATAACGGATGTATTAATACAAGGGATGTTTTGGTCATTTCATTCGATTGTTTGTGAAATTTTCGTTTGAAAGACTTGTTGTGCCGTGAACGAAGTTTTGGCTGGTGGGGGGTTGACCTTATCTTTGACTTGGTCTGAACGAGTGCTCGGTCTTTTGATTTTATTTGTTTAAATTATGAATTATTTGTGGTTTTTGGTGTCAAAATATTTTAGATTTCTTTCCCATTGTTGCCAATCACATTTTTCATTTTTGTGATACAAATGAAATGGAATCACATTTGAATACAAAGAGAAAGGTTAAACTACGCTGTGGAACTTCAGAACATGTTCGTTGTTTTCTGTTATTTTTTTCAACAAGACAACAACTACTTAACTTTATTTAAACATAAATAACATGCGTGAAAGTAGCATGCTCTTTTTTTATTTTTGGTATTAGAGAAAGGAGTTTAAGGATTGGAAGAATATTGTATAAGTTTATATAAGGAAGAGAATACTGTATATGATTAATCTAGTTTCCATATATAAGCACAAATATTAGTAATTAATCACAATGATATTAACATATCTTCAAGATATTCTAGATCTTGGTATGCTGAATTGTTGATATCAGCAATTTTTATAGGAAAAATCTAATTTAAGAATTATAAACTTAATGTTTTTGGTTTACGAAAAAGTGTTTTGAATTAGTATCCTCTTCAAACGTAAGGGTTTATACTTTATATGACAAAGATCCTGACAATATATTAATCTTTTCACACCAAACCAGTTGTGATATGGTCGTTTGACTCAACCAGAAATAGGACAACGTGATCTGGTTTTATATTTTTCTTGCTTTAGGAGCATATTCCATGCACACTAGCTATCTTCAAGAAGAAGAAAAAGTTGATATGATGAGTGAAGCCAAGCATTGGTTACGCTTGACCTCGAAATCATATGATGATGTTGCTTTTTTCTGCTGAATCCGCCGGATATATTGCTTGTTATTAACGTGGCTATGATACCATATTAAATGTGTGATTAACATTTCTCATTAATCTGAAAAAGAGTTTACAATGTTGTTTATATACAAGGATTATTAGCTAAAGGAAACTAATCAACCCAATAACAATTAACCGGAAAGTGTGAGACGTAATGGAGAGAACGGCGACGTCGGGCGATTCTAGAGTTTTGAGTGGGAGAGTGCAAGACGCGCATATGGAGGACGTAGGTGAGAAGGGGAGACCACCGGGGGAACCACCGGACGCTCCTGTGTCGTGAGCACAAAAGGTGACGGGGAGTAACCTAGGAGGCAGATTGGTCCCGGAGGATGTGGTCGACGATGCGTTCATAGCGTCGAGGTTGTGCTTAGAGTTTCCGGACGGAGAGAATGGAGAGCCAGTCATCACGATTGGGGAGGAGGTGCTGACGGCTATGAACGGGTTGTGGAAGAGGTGCATGATCGTGAAGGTCCTGGGTCGGAGTGTGTCGATTGCGGTGTTGAGTCGAAAACTTAGAGAGATGTGGAAGCCTAAGGGAGCGATGTATGTTATGGATCTTCCCCGTCACTTTTTCATGATTCGTTTTGAATTGGAGGATGAGTATATGGAGACTCTGACGGGAGGACCTTGGAAAGCGTTTGGAAGTTATTTGATGGTGCAAGTTTGGTCTCCATGTTTTGACCCATTGAAGAGTGAGATTGAAACAACACCGGATTGGGTGAGGCTGTCAAACATCCCGGTGAATTTCTATCACAAGGCCATTCTTATGGGCATTGCGAAGGGGATCGGGACACCAGTGAAGGTCGATGATACAACGCTAAACTTTGAAAGGGCACGCTTTGCTAGGATTTGCGTGGAGGTTAATCTAAAGAAGCCCTTGAAAGGCACAGTGGTGATCAATGGTGAGAGATATTTCGTATCGTATGAAGGTCTTTCCACTATATGCTCGTTATGTGGTATGTATGGGCATTTAGTATATACGTGCTCGAAGAGAGTGCAAGAAACAAGGAACGTAGTGGAGACACGAGTCACGGCAAGGCAAACGAGTGCCACAGAAACGGGCCCGGTAGAGGATGGATTCACACAAGTTCGACGAGGTAGGAGACAGCAGGTGGCGGAGTCGAACCAGAGAGGAATGGGAGAGATGGGAGAGATGGAAAGGAACTTGAATAAGGAAAGTGGTACACCGAATATTCTGCTTGAGAACAGATTTGGAAACCTTGAGGCTAACATGGAAGATGGGGAGATTGGGGAAGTTAATGCTGCCAAAGAAGGAAGTGAGAATATTTCTCCCGACGGGAATGGAAACTTGGCGGAGGCTGTAGATGGGTTGACGAATAAGGAAAATCTTGACTCAAAATTGGGACAGAAAGGAATGAAGAGTGTGGTGCAAGGAGCTGAGGTTGTGTTCGGAGCTAATTTGGGCCGCAACCCCCAAACGAATGAAAAGGCCCATAAGGGGAGGAAAGCTGGGAATGGTAAAAGTGTGGTGATTCGGCCCAAACGTAGCAATATTGGCAGGCCCACACAGGGACTAGTCTTCGGCTCAGTGACTGGAACATCTGAATCGTCACCGAGTGGGAAGAGACTCAGAGTTGAGCAGACGAGTCCGGGCCGGTCCGAAGGCTTCGCCGTCGTCGAGAGTAATGTAGCGGAGAGAAATGAAAGCGTGGGTCACTCCGGAGTCGTCTCTATGGAGGAGAGTCATGTGGAGACGAATATCGAGAGTCCCCTTGGAGGAACTGAAATCGCCAGTTTGTCGTCGGGTCTATTGGTGGAGACGACGGCGCGGAATGGAGCATAACATCTTGCCCCGGTATTTCTACGGATTATATACTCAGTTGGAATGAATTGTCTTTTCTGAAATTGCCGGGAGGCAAATAAACCTAATTTCAGACGATCGCTTCGTTATATGTTGAAGAAATGGTCTACTGATGTTTTGGCCATCTTTGAGACGCATGCTAGTGCAGAGAAAGCAGGAAAAATTTGCCAGGGGCTAGGGTTTGAAGGCTCGTTTCGAGTGGATGCAGTGGGACAGAGTGGAGGTTTGTGGCTCTTATGGAGACAGGGAATTGGGGATGTGGTAGTCATCAGTGCGACGGTACAATTCATCCATGTCAGGATACAGAAGGAGTCGGAAGTTTTGCACATCATTGCAGTGTATGCAGCACCAACAGTAAGCCGGAGGAGTGGGCTTTGGGCGGAATTGAAGGAAGAGATTCAAGCGATCTCTGAGCCGTTCATCATTGGCGGTGACTTTAATACGATAGTGCGGATTGATGAGAGATCTGGTGGAAATGGTAGACTGTCCCCGGACTCGTTGGCTTTTGGAGATTGGATCAATGAGATGATGCTCATTGATATGGGTTTTCGAGGGAATCAGTTTACATGGAAACGTGGAAAGTAGGAGAGATTCTTTGTGGCAAAACGATTAGATCGGGTACTTTGTTGCGCTCAGACAAGACTGAAATGGCAAGAGGCGACTGTAACTCACTTACCGTTCCTCTCATCGGATCACGCGGCTATGCACTTACAGTTAACACCGACATTAAGTGGGAATGTAAAGAGAAGACCTTTCCGCTTTGAAGCAGCTTGGTTGAGCCATGAAAGTTTCAAAGATCTAATCTCGGCGTCTTGGGATAAGAATATTGATACTAGACAGGCCCTCAGAAAGTTGGAGAGTGTGTTGCGAAAATGGAATAGAGAGGTGTTTGGGGATGTTCAGAGGAGGAAGGAAGCAATTTTAAAACGGATACAGGAAGTCCAAGAGGAACTAGAGCATCACCAGCCAGATGTGTTGCTACGCAGGGAGGATGAGCTAGTCAAAGAGTTAGATGCAGTGCTGGAGCAAGAGGAGATGATTTGGTTCCAAAAGTCAAGGGAGAAGTGGATGGCCCATGGTGATAGGAACACTACCTTTTTCCACACGTCTACTATTGTGCGCAGAAGGAGGAATAGGATTGAGATGTTGAAAAATGAGGAGGGTGTGTGGCTCTCGGATGCATTGGAGTTGAAGAGGCTAGCGATTGAGTACTTTCAACGCCTGTATTCACTACATGACGTTGACTTGGTGGTGGACACACTAACCAACGAAGGCTTCGTAGATTTGACGAGCGAGGATCTTCAAGGGGTTGAGACTCGATTTAGTGAAGAGGAGGTGGTAAGAGCAGTCAGGTCCATGGGTCGTTTCAAGGCTCCAGGCCCGGATGGATATCAACCAGTATTCTATCAACAGTGTTGGGATGAGGTGGGTGAGTCTGTTGTGAGATTTGTGATGGAGTTCTTCCGCAGCGGAGAGTTACCACCAGATACGAATGACGCGATTGTGGTTCTGATACCCAAGGTCGAGAGTCCGGAGAAGATTCAACAGTTTCGCCCTATTAGCTTGTGTAATGTTCTCTTCAAGATCATCACAAAGACTATGGTGGGACGGATGAAGCGAGTCATGACGAAGTTGATTGGCCCTGCACAGTCTAGTTTCATACCAGGGAGACTTAGTACTGACAACGTGGTCATCGTACAAGAAGCAGTACACTCAATGAGAAGGAAAAAGGGAAAGAAAGGGTGGATGCTTCTCAAATTGGATCTTGAGAAAGCTTATGACCAGATTAGGTGGGACTTTCTGGAGGGTACTATCAGAGCAGCCGGCCTCTCAGAGAAGTGGGTAAAGTGGATTATGCAATGTGTTGCCGGTCCATCTATGAGTTTGCTTTGGAATGGAGAGAAGACGGAATCTTTTAAGCCATTGAGAGGGCTTCGTCAGGGAGATCCATTGTCTCCATACCTATTTGTACTGTGTATGGAGAGACTTTGTCATTTGATAGAACAGGCTATGGATACGAAGCAATGGAAGCCAATAAGCCTATCGCGAGGAGGCCCGAAGCTAACTCACATATGCTTTGCAGATGATTTGATTCTTTTTGCTGAGGCATCTGTGCAGCAGATTCGAGTAATAAGGCGCGTGTTGGAGAGATTTTGTCAAGCGTCAGGTCAGAAAGTGAGTCTTGAGAAATCTAAGATTTTCTTCTCGGACAATGTTTCCAGGGAGCTGAGTGAGGTGATAAGTCTTGAAAGTTGTATTCAAGCTACAAGGGAGTTGGGCAAATACCTGGGAATGCCAATCCTGCAGAAGAGGATAAATAAAGAAACGTTTGGCCCCGTGCTGGAACGAGTCTCTTCGAAATTGGCGGGTTGGAAAAGTAGAATGTTGAGCACAGCCGGTCGAATCACACTAACCAAGGCGGTTCTGAGTTCAGTTCCTATCCATACTATGGGTGAAATTAAGATGCCGGAGTCAACAGTCAAGAGCCTGGACAGAGTATCTCGTGATTTTGTGTGGGGATCCACGCCGGAGAAAAGGAAGCAGCATCTCGTGAGTTGGGATAAAGTATGTTTGCCACGATCTGAAGGCGGGTTAGGAATCCGAAAGTCAGGAATTATGAACGTTGCTTTAGTCGCAAAAGTCGGATGGCGAGTTCTTCATGACAAGACCAGTCTTTGGGCACAGGTGCTTCGAAGTAAATACAAAATTGGAGACTTACAGAATAGAAACTGGCTGAGGGTAAAGGGGACATGGTCTTCTACCTGGAGAAGTATTGCGTTGGGAATCAGGGAGGTGATCTGTCCAGCGCATGGATGGGTGATAGGTAATGGAAGAAACATTAACTTTTGGACTGATAGGTGGCTTATGGGCAAATCTCTGATAGACACGGTGAGTACTAGGGTCCCAGAGTCGGCTCTTGCCTTGAAAGTAGGAGATCTGTGGGTTAACGGCAGTGGGTGGGATTTCAACTAGATTACGCCATTTGTAACGAATGATATCAGGTTGGAACTGAGTGCGATGGTGGTAAACATATCAGGGAAAGATGATAGGCTCTCGTGGAGTGAGACGGCAGATGGGCGATTCACCGTGGCTTCGGCATATAAGTTCCTAACTCGTGACTATACGCCGAGACCGGATATGGCTTCACTATTTCAACGGGTCTGGCGAGTCACTGCGCCAGAGAGAGTCCGAGTGTTCTTGTGGCTGGTGGTAAACAAAGCGATCATGACGAATCAGACTAGATTCCGAAGGCACTTTGGACACACAGAAATATGTCAGGTGTGTAAGAGTGGGGTTGAGTCTACCCTCCATGTTCTTAGAGATTGCCCGGCAATGGAGGGCATATGGAGACGCATTGTACAGCAGAGGAAACAACATGCTTTCTTTGCCATGTCGTTACTAGAATGGCTATTCGAGAATCTGAGTGAGGACACTGAGTTGGTTAATGGTTCGTGGCCTACTCTATTTTCTGTCTCGGTGTGGTGGGCGTGGAAATGGCGATGCGGGAATGTGTTTGGAGAGACCCGCTTGTGGAGAGATAGAGTGAAATTCGTGAAAGACTATGCTAAAGAAGTAAGGTCAGCTATGTTGGCGAGTGTACAAGCGGGTGTGGTGATTAGAGAGGATCGTATGATCTCGTGGCTACCTCCGTTGGCGGGTTGGATGAAACTTAATACGAATGGTGCATCACATGGTAATCCGGGCGAAGCAACGGCTGGTGGAGTTATCCGAGATGGAGATGGGAAATGGTGTGGTTGGTTTGCGTTGAACATTGGGCGATGCACGGCGCAGATGGCAGAGTTATGGGGTCTATACTATGGCCTTTGCTTTGCCTGGGATAAAGGGATTCGCCAGCTGGAAGTGGAGGTGGATTCTGCGACGGTGGTGGGGTTTGTTCAGGCAGGGATATGTGATACGCATCCTCTGTCATTCCTGGTACAGCTGTGCCATGGCTTCTTATCGAAGGACTGGGAGGTCCGAGTCACTCACGTGTATAGGGAGGCTAACCGTCTTGCTGACGGGTTAGCAAACTATGCTTTTTCATTAGCTTTAGGTCTGCATTACTTTGATTGTGTGCCTCCGGATGTTTTGACTGTATTGCGGGAGGACGAGTGTGGAGTCTCGCAAGTACGGCGAATCCGTGTGTAATACGTTTTATGTCTGAATAAATTTGGGAGCTTGCTCCCGATGCTTTACCAAAAAAAAAAAAAACAATTAACCGGAACATTAACCGGACTATATACTCAATAATTTCCATAGATTAATCACTATTTTATAAATTGCTTATTGTCAATGCATTTCTTTTTAGAAACTAAACCGATGTACTTTTGCCTTTTTCCACTTTTGGTTTCCGTTTCATGTTAGTAATATAAGACAATTCCGTAATGATCAAGACATATATGATATAACATATAGTAGTTTGTATTGGTGTCATTGTTACATCACCACCTAGATTCAAATACATATATAACTTGTTGTGATAAACTAATAAAAATCAATTCCTTCACGATATTGATAGAATGTTTGTGTAAAATACTCTTCATTCATCCAAAACTGATTACAAATCATATTTATTAACCTCAACATACTGAGATAGTGAGATATGCAATTTGGCAGCAAAAGAGAAAAACTTGAGAACATAATTCATAAATGAAATAGATTTCTTTGCTACTCGATCTTCCATCGAGCAGAACACCACTTTAAACTCATCAAAGGTAGAGAACAAACCTTCTTTAACATCTTGAAGCTGTGGTTTAAGAATGGGCAGCACATTCTCATCTGCAAAAGCCTCGACTAGCTAGTTTAAGAATGGGCAACGTGTATAGTGTTTCGGTTGACCAAATAATATAGTTTATCATCTTTTTAAAATGTATTATTTTGTCAAACTTAACCGCTACCGGATCTTTCGGGCAATATATAAATATAATAGTGGCTTACCAAAATGGTGGTGAAAATTGTAGATAATACAATGTATGAGAAAGAAGACACGAACGGGATGTTTTTCTTAAGACAAAGGTAGGTGAGGATGTGTAAACCTAAGGTATTATCAAATTTTCAGAGAACTTTAAATTTTTGTCTTTTTTCATTAGTTAAGGTGACATGCAAACAACCCTAACATTATGAATTAATAGGTAATAATGTCCCGCGTCAGCTTATTGCACGACGCAGGTAATGTATCACAGTCGTCGAACGAAACTAAACTTTCTTTTGGAACGTTATTTAGCAAGTATGTACCTCCATTGAGTTGATATTACAAGATTGACACGCTTTGTTTTCGTTGTTCTCCCGCAAAACTGGCCTACCGGTCAACTCCATCATTACCAACCAAACCGTTTTCTTCGTCAAACTTGTAGACTTTTGTTTATTACAGTTCTAAAATCAGGAAGACTATATATACATTTTTTATGTTTTCATAAGCTATATACCGTATTATAGTTTATACTTTAGGCACACCAACTCTAAATTCGATCAAATTTTTATAAAGAAGTTCTCTCTGGTTCTTTGTTTGCAATTTTCTCTATGAAAAAACAATGTTAGGTCGGAACAAAAAAACAATGTTAGGTAAAATGTCCTGAAAATGTGTTTGATAAATTTCTCAGAAGTTAAAGCATTTAAAAAAGGCACTTGAATGGTCTTGAGTCGTTAAGGAAAATAATCGGTCATGCATAATTGGAGTCATGAAATCAAAAGTTTCAGAGCCCTATTTGGAGTCGAGGGTTCCACAGCGACCAAATTTTTTTTTTCTCAGTTTCAACACCAATTTCATTTGTAATCAGTTTCCTCTTAACTTCTTTTTGTATCCTACGGTCCAACATGGCCATTTTATGTATACATGGCAGGTTATACTAGTTGTCCTACGTTCAGTATTACATGCTTTTAGGGGAGCAAAGTGAAAAATATTTGAATTGTCTGATTGTACACATAAATGATTGGGCCACAACAACAAGCTAGCTCATTATACAATTTGAATGTAAGCCCAAACAGGCTCCTCGCACATTCTTGACAAAACGTTCCAAATTCCAAATGATTCCTTTAGTCTTTGAGTTTGACTGTATTTAGATCCATTAATACTTTCCAACTCACGAGACGATCGACTCTCAACAGTTGATAACATTTATGCTTGGTTCAACTATAAATCAATCACCCATGCAAGCGTTTCACTCTCACTTGAGATAAGAAAGCTACTTTGTATCAAGTTTAATTTTTTCGTTGATTTAGTTAGTATTGCAAAGATGTTCGGGTTTGGATGCTTCATCACGATCGAATTTTTTTTGGCAGAGATGATTCAGGCTGCCATTGGAATCGCAACTGTTTAGGATTTATTTAGGAGGTTGATAATGTTTACCTCTTAATTACTATTTGGAGTTATGAATGAATTATCATATGAGTTAATCGATCAGGCTTATAAGTCAGATCACAATGGATTATTAAATAAAATATTGCTTCTTATTTCCTATCCCTTATATATTAAAAGAGAAGACATTTATAAAAATCCCCTTTTGTTTTCAACTTAATTTCAAGTATGCCATGCTGAGGTGTCGCAATTTGCCACACTCTCAGAATATTCTAAAAATAACCTCTCTTTATTAGGCAAGTGCTGAAATATTTATTATTAATTTAATCAGAAATACTATTATTATTAAAATTTATTTTTTTCTATTTCCTTATCTGGTAGTGACGAAAATTATAAATAAATTTAAAAGTATTTATTAGTCAATCAATCAGTAAAATATGAAAAGTTTTATTCAATTGTATTATATTAATTGTTTAAAAATTAATTTATTATCTTATCATTTTTTAACTTTACTTTTTCAAAAATAAATTATATCATTACATCAAAATATTTCATAAAACAAAATTAGTTTTTTCTGCATATGCTATGATTTGAAAATTTTAAAATGAAGCAAATCTCTAAAATTGTTAAAAGTCTCATATCGATTATATTTTGGGATGATAGTTCAAAAACCTATTATAAAAAAAGATCCAAATAATGATCAACCATAGTAAAAAAACTGATTTATTAGGTTTCCAAACTTTTTTTTTTAATTTGATTTAATTTTGTTCTTTAATTGAACTAAATAAATAAATCATAATAAAATCTAATAACTTAATATATAAGTTAAACTATTTTAGTTATTTAAAATTGATCAAAAATATTAAATATATATGCCATATAAAACTATTTCAAACTTATTAAAAGATATATATGTGGATTCAACTGTGTCACTTAATATTTCGTCATGTTCCAATCCAGGCTAAAAAAATATACATCACTCAAAAAAATTTCTAATGTAAACTGACATATTTTTTATTGTCTAACACCCTATTTTTCTAGAATGATACTTATGTAAAAAGATATCTAAAAATAAAACTAAATCAAGAAAATATCACCCCGTGCAGGGCGCGGGTCCAACCCTAGTATCTATTTACTTTTGTTTCATATATATTTTTGCGTGATTGAGGTTGCCACATTCTGAATCATGTTGCGTTTTGTGTAATATTGTCCAGTACGCTCTTCCAGACTTTAAAACTATAAATCCTAGATACACATCAGTTATATTACGTACAAGGATTGTTTAGGTTTCTCTGGTGTTTTGCACATTATATTGTTTTAACTCTCTACATTAGTTTTGAGTTGTTGCATCTTTTCTTTTCTTGAATGGTTCTTCATGTTGTCTGCAAAAAAAAACAATACAATGATCTATTATTATTTTGTCAAAATAGTTTCGTACTGATCCTGTAAAAGAATAGTGAGATATATATAGTATTCAGTTTCAGTTTCATGCTTCATACTTACCCGGATACGCTTCCTGCATCTCTCTACCTCCATCAAGCTATCTCCACATTCTTCACCTTGTTCAGTCTCATGGCATTCATCATTAACCATATTGTCTTCATCGGCTTCACAAACATGTGGAAGAAGAGTATTTGGTTTGCCAAGTCCGTATAAGAGGCGTACACCCCATCTCTTTAATCTGAAGGACTCCTCGCCATAGTTTACTTCACCTAGATAAACAAGATTCCTCGGATGAAGTTGTATATCCACGTGGTCGTAGTTCAGTTCAGCTAGAGGAGCATTGTCTTTGTTTAGAGGGAAACAACAGTTGAATATAAACAGATGACTATCCTTGTGCCTTGACAAAAAGCTATGTGAGTTGCCAAAGGATTCAAAGATGTTCCCTAATCCGCCTCTGAACCGACACTTCACACGGATATCTACTGCGTTGACACCAAGGCTGGGCATAGAGTCGAAAATAACAACAGCGCAAACTCTAAATCTGAAGAACGGTTGCAAAAGAAAGCTAGGAGACAGAGGGATGGTCAGAGACGAGGAGAAGAATCCAGAAGTTTGATGAGTGAAATATGAAGGCAACTCTTCCCCTGACAAAATTAGTTGTTCCTGTAAAACTGTTTGTTTTTCAATTAGAGCTTCTTGATTCAAGTTGAAGCAGTTTGTGAAATGGAGACTGATGTTGTTTCGTATACAATTATCTTCTTGAAGAGTTGGAGAAGCCTCGTCAAGTATTGGACTATCATTCAAGCTAACTTCAGTCAATGCCCCACAATCTGAAAAACCAACCTCCTCGAGACGTTTCAGTTTATATATGTTGAGGGAAACATGCTTCAAATGTTTGCATTTCAACATGCTTATCGAGATTAGATTACTGAAGTTCTCGATCCACCAAGGAACCTCTTCAATTCCTGTTTCGTCTAGACGGAGATTTGAGATGTTGGTTGAGATATCAGGAAAACTCGTCAACTTTGAGCATCTAGTCAGAAAGAGTATCTCAAGAGACTTGAGGTTGATGCCATTTGGAAGAGTCTCCAGATTTATGCAGTCTGTAATGCTCAACCTTTCTAGTTTATTGAGATTCTCAAATGAAGAAAGAAGCTCCACCAAAGTTGGGATATCCGAGAGAAACAACCTCGTCAGAGAGGGAGATAGCATGGCCATGAGCGGTGTAAGCGGCTGAACAAAACAACAACAACAACAAAAAAAACTAGAAGATGTCAAACGTTATCAATTTTCATTTTTATTGACATTCAATTTAAAACAACATTCACTTTCTCAAAATAAAACTAGCCACTGTAATTTCTTATACTACAAATAGTTTTTTTTTCCTCAAGGAAATTAGTTTCACAACGATTTATGAAATTCGGCATAGCCACAATAATTGAGAGAGAGCCGTTGGAGATATTTGAGGTTAATTCCGGTTGGAAGAATCTCCAAATTTTCACAATATGACATGTCTAACTTCTTCAATTTGCTGAGATGCTGAATAAAAGAAGGAAGCTCCACCAAACTCGAGCAATGCTAGATTGAAAGTCTCGAGATTAGTGGCCATTGAAAGATCTGGTATCACTTTTAGATTTGTAGATTCGTGTAAATCCATATTCTTGAGCCCTGTAAGTGACTAGAGTATAACAGATTGTTTATATGCAAGCAAAAGGCATAAAAGCATCCTTAGTTCTAGCTCAATATATAGTAATTATAAGGTTATTAAAAACTTACATGAGTTCCTTCCCACAATTTCTCGAACAAACATGTTTCTTTAAACAAAAGCGAAATATTTCTTTGCAAAATCATGATAAAATCTCTCACTATGTCACATAATGATATCCAAGGAGATTTGCTACAATCTTCAAAGCTTCTTTCCACTGAATCTTCACTTCCTCTGTGCTCTTGAGGCATGTCTCGTCAAAGATCTTTCCAAAATAACCGGTTTGTTTCCTTACATGTGAAGGATCTAAACCGTAGAAAACTGGTATCACCATTTGACCAAACTCTTCCTTGCAATTGGTGATCTCCAGTAATTCGTTAAGGCACCAGCTCGAAGAGGCGTAGTTTCTGGAGGATATGACCACAGCGATTCTCGAATCCCTAATTGCATTCTTGAGCTCGGCTTCTCTCGATCAAGCGATCGGCTTCTCTCGATCTCGCTGTCTTTGAAAGCAGAGATCAGTTTCGGATCAAGCTCCTTGAGAAAGTGGCTCAGGAAAGTTACGCGGACGTCTTCTCCGCGAAAGCTCGGGAAGACATCATATAACCAATTGCGAGAAGATGAAGCAGCCATTAAGAGAGATTGAAACTAATTTTGGAGACGAAGAACGATTTGGTGATTAAATTCTGAGAAAATCTAAAGAGAAGTGAGGTCTCAAACTCGTCGTTTAGAGACTATAATTTCGCCATTGTTTCTTAAATCTTTCTGACGCAATTTCACGGGACTTGATCACGTCAAAAACGTTTTTGTTTTTTGTCGGCAACTTGTTACAAACACATGCTTTATTATTTATTTATTTTTTATTTTTCCCATCTTTACAATTACTTTCCGATTAATCTTTTTCTTTTTGTCAAGATGTAACTCTTTTTGTGCTGAGTGTGTTTTTTAGTTTTTTCAATTTTCAATTTTTTTCTTTTTATGTCGGCAACATATTTTATTAGCCAAGAGTATTAACCAATCTCCACCCATAATTTGCAAAAACAAAGCAAACTTCAAACTTTTTTGGTTTTAATGTTAAGCAAACTACAAACTCGATATGTAGCAACAATGAGTTTTGCCATAAAATTTTTAGGTTGCTATATATATACTACTAATACATTGGTGACCTTCAATTTGCCAACAACACTTATAGTTTTTCTCATCATTAGCAAAATGCAACGCCATGCATCGTCAATGTATATGTGACCGTCGAAATTATTTTCAAGTTTAACTATGATCATATTCGAATTCTCAACCATTAATTACCCATTAATCCGATCAGGGATTGAAAGGTGATAATAATAATGTATATATGACCAGGCTCATTTGTTACTTATTGCTACTTAATAGGGTTTTGGCATACTCTATATACGAACTGGCATGTACGAAATTTTAACGATACCAGTTTCGTACACATCAATTTCATTAACATAATAATTACACTAGACGATACATGGTTGACTGAATATAGTCGCAATTTCTTTGTTACGGCCGGGTTACTGCTACCAATGCTGGATGAGTGAGTGGATGATCCTTCTCCTCTCATGTTACTACTTTATTTAGCCTTGTTCAGAAAATTGCAAAAGCCACTTAGCCTAATAATCTTGGTGCTTCATAGCAAATTAATGACTACGGCCATGTTCTTTTCATAATCGATGCGGCAGCGACTGCGATTAAAATAATTAACATAGAATTAGGTATAACTGTGGAAAAGAGTCGCAGCTATGTTCAAAAAGAGTCGATTTTACTGTTGAGTTGCAGCTGCGATAGTGGTGTAGCTCTCGCTACGATATTGCAGTGATCTTTATTTAGTCTGAGAATTCCTAAAGATCAAAGCCTTCTTATTCCGTTGAGAACAAGAGTTCTATCCGTAATAAGGAGAGAAAGATGCTTGAAATCTCTGTTTATTAAATCAATCAAAGGTGTCTTACAATAGAAGAGATCGATCTCTATTTATAGAGTTGATCTTAAAAGCTTTAAGAAAAACTACTACATGTAATTAGGAAAATTGCTAGAAAAACCAAGCTTAACTATAAAAAGGAAAACCATACGAGAAAAGGAAAAGAAGCTTTAAATTCGAGAAGCTTCAGGAACGATGCCCCTGCATCAGGTCACCCGGGGTTGGAAAAGATTCGACCCCGAATCTTCAACTTCATCTTGAGAAACATATGGACATAGATGTTTGACATTAAAGACATTGAAGAACGAACGTGAGGTGGAAGCTTCAGACGGTACGCATTGGCATTTATCTTCTCCACCACCTCCACTGGTCCAATCTTTCGTGACTTTAGCTTGTTGTATTCTCGTGGAGGAAACCTATCCTTGGTTAAAATGGCCCAAACCAAATCTCCCACTTTAAACTGAACATCACGACGGTGACGATCCGCAGCTTCTTTGTACTTAGCTGAAGCGACCTGCAGATTCTCATGAACTTGAGAATGAATGAATGATAAGTCAGCGACAAAATCAACAGCCTGTCCATGATCACGAGTAGCATCAGGAACGACACCAAGATCAATAGGACCTCGTGGAACCAACCCATAGACAACACGAAAAGGACTGAAAGAAGTGCTTCTGTTTACGGCATGGTTATACGCAAACTCTGCTTTGCACAAAACTGAATCCCAAGACTTGATGTTTTCACCCACCAAACAGCGTAGTAAATTTCCCAACGAACGATTAGTGACTTCGGTTTGACCATCAGATGGGATGATATGCCGACTCATATCAAGCTTGTTCGAAGAAGTTTCCACAGTGATCTCCAAAAATGACTCAAGAACCGAGAATCTCGATCAGAAACAATAGAAAGAGGCAAACCGTGAATACGATACACGTCGCGAAAGAACAATTGTGCCACTTGAACTGCATCTGTTGTCTTTTTGCATGGAATAAAATGTGCCATTTTGGAGAATCGATCCACTACGACAAAGATAGAATCATGTCCTCGCTGAGTCCTAGGTAAGCCCAAGACAAAATCCATGCTTATATCTGTCCAAGGTTGCGTCGGAACCGGCAGCGGCATGTATAAGCCTCCATTGTTAGCTGTACCCTTTGACAATTGGCAAACAACACATCTCTCAACAAATCTAGCCACATCTCGACGCACAGACGGCCAGAAATATGACTCTGTTACGAGCTGGAGAGTTCTGTCACGACCCATGTGCCCTTCTCCATGTAACTCTTGGATAATCTTCAAACGCCAACTACAAGAAGGTATGCAGAAGCTTTGTATCACGAAATATGAATCCATCTTGTAACAGAAAATCAGGATGACGTTCTTGTTGCAGGAGATTCCAAATGGGTCCAAAAAAAGGATCAACTGGATATAACTCTGCAAACGTAGAGAATCCTGTTACTGAAGCTGCAGATGTAGCCAGTAAAGTATGACGCCTGCTGAGAGCATCTGCAACTTTATTTGTACGACCCGATTGATGCTTTATGACGAAAGTGAATTGCTGTAAATAGGCAATCCATGAAGCATGTCTAGCAGAAATCTTCTCTTGGCTGCCTAGATGTTTTAAGGCATCATGATCAGTATAGAGAATAAACTCTTGATGAAAGAGATAGTGACGCCAATGTTTGATAGCTTGAATGATAGCATAGAATTCAACATCATAAGTGCTATAACGAGCTCGAGATCCAGCGATCTTCTCGCTAAAGAATGCGACCGGACGTCCGTGTTGACTTAAGACAGCTCCAATTCCTAGCTTGCAAGCATCACAGTGTAACTCAAAAACCACAGAAAAATCAGGTAAAGCTAGAATTTGAGCTGAAACCAGTTTCTGTTTGATAGTTTCAAAGGCGAGGGCAGCTTCTGGAGTCCACTTAAATGAAGAACCCTTCATGCAATCAGTTAATGGTGCAGTAATATCACTAAAGTGATGGACAAACCGTCGATAAAAAGAGGCCAAACCATGGAAACTTCGCACCTCAGTGATAGAACGCGGAGTCGGCCAAGATTTAATTGCTTCCACTTTGCTAGGATCCACTTGGAGGCCTTTATCGGAGATGATATAGCCCAGAAAGAGAACCTGTGACGCACCAAAAAGACACTTCTTCCTAGCTGCAAACAGCTTATCACGGCGCAAGACATGAAGGACCTCAGCCAAGTGTTGTAAATGACTCTGCAAATCCGCACTAAAAATAAGAATGTCGTCAAAATAGACAACAACAAATTTGCCTATAAACGGACGTAGAGCTTGATTCATAACACGCATGAACGTGCTTGGGGCATTGGAGAGACCAAACGGCATAACCATCCATTCAAGAGACCTTCACGGGTTTTAAACGCTGTCTTCCATTCATCACCAGGTCGAATACGGATTTGATGATAACCGCTTTTTAAATCCAGTTTGGTAAAGATAGAAGCACGTCCAATCTGGTCCAAGAGATCATCCAAGCGAGGAATCGGGAAACGATATCGGACCGTAATTTTGTTAATAGCACGACTATCAACACACATTCTCCAAGAACCATCTTTCTTTGGAATCAACAAAGCGGGAACAGCGGTAGGGCTCAAACTCTCTCGGATATGCCCTTTGTGGAGAAGTTCTTCAACTTGACGACGTAACTCATCATGCTCTTGTGGGCTCATACGGTAGTGCGGTCGATTCGGCAAAACTGCATTAGGCACCAAATCAATATGGTGTTGAATATCACGGAGTGGAGGTAATTCACGAGGAAGATCATCGGGAAAGACGTCTGCAAATTGATCAAATAAAGGCTGAAAAGCTTCGGGTATGCTAGGAGAAGCCTCACTTGTTGTTGGAGAAGAGATCAATGCCCATACTACGTCTGATGTCTTCAATTCTGTCTCAAAAGCAGCTTTAGGTAAGAGCAAAAGAGATTGAGAAGAACTCACTTTGGGTTTTGTGATGGACTCATGTTGAGAAAGCACACAAGACTCTGGTTGTTCTTTGGAGGGAAGTAACGTGATAGTTCGATCCCCCATAACAAAGCTGTAAGTGTTGGTACGCCCTTTATGAGTAGCATCACGATCGAACTGCCATGGACGTCCTAACAGAAGGTGACAAGCGTCCATAGGAACAACATCACAACAAACACTATCTTTGTAGTTGCCAATAGAAAACGCCACCATCACTTGCTGAGTAACACGCATCTCGGTGTTGTTGTTTAGCCACGCTAATGGGTAAGGCGAAGGATGTGGTGTTGTTTTGAGGCCGAGTTTGACAACTGCATCCTTAGCTATCACGTTTGTGCAACTTCCAGAATCAATGATTAATTTGCAAATTTTTCCATTGATAGTGCAAGTGGAGCGAAACAATGTAGATCGCAGCCAAGACTCTTGTGAAGCTCGAGGAAGCAAACAGTTGCGTCGAAGAACCAAATTGAGACCAGTATCTCCATGAATAACTTCTTCGATGGTGTCATCCTTGGAGTCAGAATCATACTCATCAAAACGTGGCTCCAATTCATCGGTCTCTTGGAGCAGTAAGCCTCGCTTGTTGTTTCTTGGACAAGAAGTTTGAATGTGACCTCTTTCACCACACGAAAAGCATCGTAATGCATTGGGACGAGCAGGTCGTGAATTTGCAATCGTCTCTGTAATTGGATTTGATTTGGTAACTTCAGACGAGTTGCCGCGAGATCAGACGGTGACCCGAGAGAAGCATCACCAATCGCTTGGGGAGTAAAACGGGAGCGGGCAGAAGATGCAGACCATGTCGAACGAAGCTGTGTTTCCATGGCTATGGCACGTTGATGAACTTCTGAAACAGAGACTGGGTTAAATTGCTGAAGAGCTACCTGTAATTGGGAACGCAAACCGCCAATAAAACGAGAGATCAGTTGGTCTTCTGATTCGATGGAAGGCATGCGTGCAGTCATATGGAAGAAATCAGAGGCATAATCGTCGACAGTTCGTGTCCCTTGTCGTAAGTTCTGCAACTTGTTATACAATGTTCGCTCGTAGTTAAAAGGAAGAAAGCTTCTACGCATATGTTTCTTCATTTGTTCCCATGAGTCGATTCGATCTTTATTGGCACGCCGTCTCGATTCTTTAAGTTGTTGCCACCAAGCCATAGCACGGCTTTTGAAACGAGTAGCAACCAAGGCAACTCGCATCTCATCAGGAACCTGTTTAAACTCCAATAACTCTTCCACCATGTGCAGCCAATCAATGAACTCTTCAGGGTTAAGAGATCCCGAAAACTCTGGAATATCAAGCCTGAATCCTGTTTCCCAGCGGGACGCAGAGTTGTTGCGGACAGTATCGAGACGAGTATCTTGACGAGTGTGTTCTCCTTGATTATCTCGATGAATATCATGACGATGGTTGATTCTCTGCAATTGGGTCTGCAAACAGGTTTTCAGCCAAGCCCTCATCTTCTGGTGTGTCGTAATGTTGCTGTTGTTGATGACCTCGTCGATCGTGTTGTTGGTTTTGAAGAACCGTAGTTAACGCACGTTCCACGGCGTGGAGGAGTGCATCATGTAGACCACTAGTAAACGTTTCCAACATCTGGCGTAATTCTTCTTGTTGCTCTTCGGAGGTGGGTTTTCGTGGAGCCATCGGAACCACAAAAAGCTTGGATCTGCTTTAATTGAGAAATTAAAGCTGCTGGAGTCTGATACCAACTGGTGTAGCACTCGCTACGATAGTGCAGAGATCTTTATTTAGTCTGAGAATTCCTAAAGATCAAAGCCTTCTTATTCCGTTGAGAACCAAAGTTCTATCCGTAATAAGGAGAGAAAGATGCTTGAAACGCTCTGTTTATTAAATCAATCAAAGGTGTCTTACAATAGAAGAGATCGATCTCTATTTATAGAGTTGATCTTAAAAGCTTTAAGGAAAACTACTACATGTAATTAGGAAAATTGCTAGAAAAACCAAGCTTAACTATAAAAAGGAAAACCATACGAGAAAAGGAAAAAAAATTTAAATTCGAGAAGCTTCAGGAACGATGCCCCTGCATCAGATAGTCGCTGCAATATTCCAGCGACAGTTTCCCTCTCTCCTGCGACTCTTTATCTCTCCTGCGGCTCTTCCGTGATCATCGTTTTGGCTCTGCTGTTGTCGTTTTGCAATGTTGCTCACCTTCGTCCTTGTCGTTTTGATTTGTCGCAGTCGCAGCCCGACTCTTAAAAGAACAGGTACTTGTCTTCAAAATTCTTGGATCGATTTCATGATTAGGAAAATATTACTGGTGGAGTGGTTACTATGCTTATTATATGATAAAAAATGCTTTGAAATCATTTGTCTTTTATTTGAAAGTTTTTTTTCCATTTTCTATCGAAGCAACTTTTATTGTTCTAATGAATTAACAATTATGCAGTTATTGTTTAAATTTTATTACTTGTCTTGTGCATTTAGCATCAAAGTCGATTGAAGCAGCTATTCACAAACGAAGATGATTGAAAAGTACGTGGAAGCAAATTATATATAAAAGACTTAGCTATGACGACTTTCACAAAACACATGAATAACTAACGGTGAGATGGTTGTAGACGGTGTTACTAGGGAAGAAAACCGAAGACATGACAGGATCCATCGATAATTTCTCGACCATCGTCTTCCTCCAAACCTCGTCGCTTGTTTCTACAATTTATTTCATCTCTTTCAATTTTGTATTTTGACAATACAATTATATATAAGAAATATTTGTTGTTAATTTGACTATCCACTGACGCTTTTTACCACGCCATAGACCACCGTACTAAGAGTACGCCGGAGAACAACCAAATCTAATACGTGGATCTAAATTTTAATACCAAATTTTGAAAAAAGTCCCTCAAAAATAGAGGAACCGGTCAGAGAGGAGGACAAGAACTATAAAGTCATAACATGTTGACATGTTGTTCAAACACGCACAAGGCATAAGACTCATACTACAATAAAAAAATATCCAAAATACATAAGATAACAAACATACTTTTAGTTGACCAGTAAATTTAGGAAATATAATATACTAGATTAAGTCCCGCGTATACAGATTTTAATTTATAAAATTAATCACAAAAATATCAAAAAAATCGGATCATTTTGGTAAATAAAATAGTATTAGAAATCAATAATAAATATCTAAATTAAATAAAATTGGTAATCCTTTTACATTTTAATTATAACTCACATTTTGTTTCTGAATTCATAATATAAAAAATGATTTTTTTTATCTAATATTAGAAAGAATTACATGTGTCTAAATTTGATCAATTAATTAATTCGTAAATTTTTGATTATTCGATTTAAAACTTGAAAATTATCTTATTAAAAATTATAAAATGGGTCTATTATAAATTTTTCTTTTTAATATTAGTTAGTTGCTTGATAATTATTCTGTCTGTTTTCTATTTATATTGTTTCTTTTTCAATATTTTTTTAGCCTCTCTCCATTATTAATTTCCCTTTCCAATATCAATTAGGTTTTTTACAATGTTACTTTTCTTTTTCTGTTAATACATTTTTCCAATGTTCTTGTGTTAACACAACTCATCACCTGATCAATTATTAGACACATGTTGCGACAATAAATTCAATTTTGATCCAACTGATCTAAAATTAAATATTCTTCATTGATATCTAACTTTCATATTTATATAATAAGATATAAATATAAAATGTTACTAACTTTTTCATCAAGTAATAGAAGGTCAACTCCCATAAGAATATTGTTTTCTTTAGGATTTCTAGCTTCCCACTTTCGAATAACACGTACTATAGTACGGCGATAATTTCGATTTCGATCCAATTGACCTAGAGTCAAATAATCTCCACTGTTCTTTTGAACTTTCAAAGACATAATTTTAAAATTAGAGAAAGAGAATCAAAGAGATTTGCTGAATTTGCTTTGATGAGTTTGTGAATGAGAAAAAGAGATTACAGTAGCTCTCTTTTTATAGGGGGTTCATGTAACCTATTCCATACAGTTTTAGGATATTTAGTTTACATACATATTCCATATACTAATAGAATTTTTTTAAACATGGGTTTATGTAACCTATTCCATACCGTTTTAGGATATTTAGTTTATATACATATTCGATGTATTAATAGAAATTTTTTATAGCATTATTTTCAATTTATTTATAAATTTTCGTTTTTATTATAAAATATTAAAATTTTCCCTTTAAAAAAAGTTTTCTTTTTTCCTAAGACACGTGTCACGATCTTAACGGACCTAACCTTAAAAGTGACACATGTCATGATCCTATATTTTATAAAAATCTATGTGTCGCAACCACGTCGCGCGCATCCAGCTTTATATAATAAGATCTTTGAACAACATTAAACTCTTTTAATTTATGCATTTAGCAACTTCAGTAATATTTAAACTATCTTCAATAATATGCTAACGGTTTTGGTTATAAATAGATTTGACATGGACTCGTGTTATTTTAAAATCAAAGTCAAAAGTGAGAGGAAAAAGAAAAAGAATAATAATAAAGAAAGATGAAGCTCATTGCTGTCTTTGTTGTATTCAGTTTGTTATTTTCTGCTCAGTTTTAAAATGTAAGAAAATTCACAAAGTTGTTATTCTTGTTTTTGTGTATGAATTCATTAAAAAATGTATAGTTTTTTTATATCCATATATTTGTTTTTGTACAGGCTGAGGAACTAGAAGGTCAATCCGAAGCACCTGCAATGGTACATTTTTAATAAAAATTTCAATTATTATAAACACTCTTAATAAAATTTCATCGATTATATATATATATATATATATATATACCTGCAATGGTACATTTTTAATAAAAATTTCAATTATTATAAACACTATTAATAAAATTTCATCGATTGTATATATATATATATATATATAATTTTGATGTATCTAATTTGTATCATCAATAAACTTATATGTGTCATCCAAAATTTTACAGAATGGAAGAGAAGGTTCACTGACTCTAGGAGGTAATATTGCTCAAAATACTATTTATTCTCTAGTTTATATAATCGATGAATGGATTAAGCGGAATTATATCACTGACAATATAATTTATTCAATGTTTTATATGTATGTGAAGAATGTCCAAAGGCATGTGGTATCCGATGTTCAGCGACATCTCACAAGAAGCCATGTTTGTTTTACTGCTATTGTTTTAATGTTCTATTGTTGTAAGAAATGTTTGTGTGTTCTGGCCGGAACATATGGACACAAAGAAGAATGTCCTTGCTATAACAATTGGCATACCAAAGAAGGTGGACCGAAATGTCCTTAAACACATAAAATGAAAGAGAACATGATCTAATTTTGTTTTGTTTTAGTAAGATATATGTAATTGGCCTTAGTTATTAATATTTTATTATATAAGCTGGATGCGCGCGACGTGGTTGCGATACGTAGGATTTTTATAAAATATAGGATCGTGACATGTGTCACTTTTAAGTTTATGTCCGTTAAGATCGTGACACGTGTATTAAGGGAAAAAAGTTTTTTTTTAAATACTAGAAAAAGGGTAATTAAAAAAAACGAAAAGAGATAATTAAAAAAAAACGAAATTTAATTTATTATATTAAAAAAGGAAAATTAATATTTGCATATCCTAACAGAAAAAGGTTTTCTCATTCATCAAATTTATATTATCCAAACACATATAAATTTATAAAATAAGATTGAAAATAATGTAATAAATAAAATCCTATTAGTACATGGAATAGGTATGTAAACTAAATTCCTATATCTGCATGGAATATGTTATATGAACACCTATAAATACAAAGTTACAGTAGTCTCTTTTTTCTCATTCACAAACTCATCAAAGCAAATTCATCAAATTTCTCTGATTCTCTTTCTCTAATTTAAAAATCATGTCTTTGAAAGTTCAAGAAAACAAGTGAAGATTATTTGACTCTAGGTCAATTGGATCGAAATCGATCGACGTACTATAGTACGTGTTATTCGAAAGTGGGAAGCTAGAAATCCATAAAGAAAATAATATTCTTATGGGAGTTGAGCTTCTACTACTTGATGATGAAAATGTTAGTAACATATTATATAGTCATAACATTGATTAACACTAAATTTTTGTTTTTGTTTCAAACACGAAAACACAATTCAAATTTTTGTGCATCAATCACTGCTTCAAAATTTCGGAGATCAAATCGCCGAATGAAACATCGTCGAAATTCAAGATTTTAGTGTGCAGTCTGCTGTCAAATAGACTTATAAAGTTTCCAGCCATCAGTCTTTCATAAGAGTAACAGAAAGAACGAAAATCAAAATCATCAGCCAAAGTGCCTGCCAAATTCCTTTGGAAATTTTTTGGCTTCGGACATACGAAGATTTTGTCTAACCTTGAGTATAAGATAATTATGTATTTCTATCTTTTGTTTAAATGTTCACTCATTAAAAAATAAAAAATATTATCTTTGAAAGTTCAAGATATTAATGAATAATATTTAACATACATAACATACATGAAAAACTAACAAAATAATTGTAAAACACTAATTAATGATGAAAAGGAAAATTTATAATAGTCTGAGGTAAAAACAAAATTGAAAAAGTTTACATAAATAGAAAACTAACACAATAATTATCAAACAACTTATTAATATTATGATGGACCGATATTCAAAGTTTTCAGTTGATGAAATCTCTTGAATGCAATGATAAATGTTTCACAAATTGATCAGTCGATCAGATTTATACACATATAAATCTTTCTGTTTTAGATTAAAAAAAAAAATCATGTTCATATAATAAATGTTTTTTAAGTCAGTTATAATAAAAATATAACAAGAAATGTTTTATCGGGTTTATAATATTATTTTACTTACTTTAAAAGTGATCAGATTTTGTTTAAATTTTTTCCGTAATTTATTTCAAAAATTTTAAAATAAACCCGCGTATACGCGGGGCCTTATCTAGTATACAATAAAGTATGAACTCTTATTCCATCTCTAAACCGATCAGAATCAGGACGGAACCAAACCAAACCCGAACCAAAAATGAAAAACACATTAGTAAATCTTAAACCCTAGTACCAAAAAAACCTGAAAATTTTATCTGAATTCAAACGGTACATAACCCTTCTTAAACTTGCAAATTAAAACAAAAATTATCAAAGCATTCTGTTTTTTCTTTTTCTTTTCTTGTCTTTTGTTCCCTTCCACAATTCTTATTTCTTCCAAACTAGTGTTAGGACTACTTTTCTTGATAAAAATTGAGAAACTTTCCTCCCAATTACACAATTCATCCAACACCATTTAAGGTCTGAATAATGCAGCTTCTGTAACAAAGAAAATTCTCCATACGCAAACAATGCGTCACGACGCTAACGCAGAGCTGACCTCAGCTTTCTCCACATCACAGTCGCCTGAAAAAAACCAAAAACTCACTCTCTTCCTATTAATACTATTAGAAATCAGCTTTTGTCACAAAGAAAATTTTCCAAACGTAAACAATGGGTAACGACGCTAACGCAGACCTCACCTCAGCTTTCTCCAAATCAAAACCGCCTGAAAAAAACCAAAAACTCATTCTCTTCGTTTTAGAATTATTTACAAACCAGTTTCTGTAACAAAGAAATTTCTCCGAACGTATACAATGGTTAACGAGGCTAATGCAGACTTGACCTCATCTTTCTCCAAATCAAAGTCGCCTAAAAAAAACAGAAAACTCACTCTCTTCTTTTGAAAATTATTACAAATCAGCTTCACTGGCACTACCCGTGTTAGCTTATTTAAGCCCTCTCTCGTTAACCTCAATCCATCCCAACATTCCCATGATGATAAACATGAGCTTTTGCGTTTTTGGGGTTTTTTTGTTGTTCCTCGTTCCTTCTCCAGTCTCCGCTGGTTTCTATCCCAACTCCTCAGCTATTCCGCCAGAACACCGCCACGGAAACGCCTGGGACTCGTTCTTGAATTTCACCGGCTGCCATGCCGGCATGAAAGTCGATGGTCTCTGCAAGATTAAACAATACTTCCAACATTTTGGCTACATCCCACAAACTCTCTCCGGAAACTTCACCGACGACTTCGACGATATCCTCAAGAACGCCGTCGAAATGTACCAGAGAAACTTCCAGCTAAAGGTCACCGGAGAACTCGACGAGCCCACTCTCAAACACGTCGTGGTCCCGCGTTGCGGCGTCGGCGACGTGGTGAACGGCAAGTCAAATATGCATAGCGGTAGAAGAGCCTACGAGGTCTCCTTTTCCGGGCGGGGCCCACGTTTTCACACCGTCAAACACTATACGTTTTTTCAGGGAATGCCACGGTGGCCGGAGAGCCACCGAGATTTAACCTACTCTTTCGACCCGCAGAACACGTTCTTGACGGAAAAGGTCAAGAGCGTATTCTCAAGCGCGTTCGTTCGTTGGGCGAAGGTGATTCCACTGACGTTCAGGCGTGTGGAGACGTTTCCGAAATCCGACATCACCATCGGATTCTACACCGGCGAGCACGGCGACGGATATCCATTCGATGGTCAACGGGGAGTACTGGCGCACGCTTTTGCGCCGACGAACGGACGTTGCCACTTCGACAGAGACGAGAACTGGATCATCTCAAGCAACGGAGGCAACGGCCGCTTCCAGCCGACGGCCCATGATCTGGAATCGGTTGCTGTTCATGAGATCGGACATCTTCTAGGGTTAGACCATTCCTTGGATGAACGGGCGATCATGTATCCAAGCATCCCGCCCGGGACGCGTAAGGTTGACTTGGCGAGAGATGACGTGGAAGGAGTCCAGACTCTGTACGGTGCGAAACGTAACTTCATCGGCTCTACATCTCGTCCACAACCCTAGTCACTGGCGATTCCAGTGCTGGTGGTAGAATCGACGGCGCTTCATAGAAAATTCCTACAAGTTTTCAAAATCTTCAAATCGATTAATTGTGGATTTGGGAATCTTTGGCGGTGGTATATGGTTCATCTCATCAACACTAGATATGAAGCACCTATAGTTCTTATTTTCTTATGTTAAAAATAAATTCTATATGAATCAGCAGTTGTTGTTTTATCCATATATATTAAAAAATATAATGGATTATCGTTTTGTGTTTTAATGTAATTCAGTAGTATACTCGTTTGTTTCAATAGTGTCGTTGTCACCGTTCATATTTCGTCCAAATCAGAGTCCATACTACATTTGCTTCCAGTTGACTGAAACTAGTGATTTTCTTGATAAAGGAAGAAAAATAAAACACATAGAGGCCATGAAAGTTGCAAGGAGATGGTGATAGAAATAATGGTGGAAAAATGTGGTAACCGATGATGGAACGAAAGCGTATCTTATTTTTCTTGAAGAAATAGAGGCCACGTAATTTACTCATATATGTACACACAGGAAAGAGTGCAGAAACTCACCAAACATGGTCATAGTTCAGTCTCTGATTGGGAATATTAGGCAATTAATAGTTGCAAACTCGAGTATGATCATAATTAAACTCAAAGAATATTAACGGTGACATACATATTAGTTAATGACGATGCATGGCATGCATGCACAACCATATAAAAAGAACCACTCATCACCCTTTTCCCTCACAACTTTTTACCAAATTTCAATCATATAATCAAAGTAGGAGATCAAATGTTTTGGGGAAATATGTTTTCGAGAGTTTCTAAATGGTTTGATTTGGTTCATATAACTTTTTCTCCCAAAAGGTTACTCAGGTCCGAGACTCATTCTCCTCTGCAATTGCCAAGCTTCGGAGCTTCTTTGCTCGAATTATTGCTAAGCTCCGCAGTTTCTTTGCTGCGGTTATATCTAGGATTCGTGGTTTCAGGCAGTTGCTAAAATTAGCAATTTCTTTGAAAAGGTTGTTGCCAACGTTCGCAGTTTCTTTTTTTTTTCTTTTTTTTTGATAACCGTGGGGATCCTAAAGGCTTTCTAGGCCCAAAGACTAATTCCACGAGGTCCACGGCAGTCCGCGTATTCTTACCATTTAAGGCAGCTCCGGTGGCCACTCGAACCCAAGTGGCGGAAGTCACAGCTGTGACCCCTTTACCACTGGGCCACGAGACCTTGATTTCGCAGTTTATTCTCTGCTTTGAAAACATTATTATTTCGTCTTGCGCAGAAATTACAAAAGCTGCTCAGCTCGGCTGATATATAGACGATGCCAAAAAAAATTTAGTTGCTATATACATACTACTAATACATTGGTGAACTTCAATTTGCCAACAACACTTATAGTTTTTCTCATCATTAGCAAAATGCAACGCCATGCATCGTCAATGTATATGTGACCGTCGAAATTATTTTTCTAGTTTAACTATGATCATATTCGAATTCTCAACCATTAATCGCCCATTAATCCAATCAGAGATTGAAAGGTGATAATGTATATATGACCAGGTTCATTTGTTCCTTATTACTACTTAATAGGGTTTTGGCATACTCTGTATACGAACGGACTGGCATGTACGAAATTTTAGCGATACCAATTACGTACACATCAATTTCATTAACATAAAATAACTATCACTAGACGATACATGGTTGACTGAATATGGTCGCAATTTCTTTGTGATGCTGGATATGAGTGAGTGGATACGATGATTCATGTGATGTCCTCATCAATTCTCCTCTCATGTGACCACTTTATTTCGCCTTGTTCAGAAAATTGCAAAAGCCGCTCAGCCTAATAATCCTGGACAGTGAGGTGGTGCTTCATAGCAAATTACTACTTATCTTCAAAATTCTTGGATCGATTTCAAGATTAGGGAATTATCATTGGTGGAGTGGTTACTATTCTTATTAATATGATAAGAATACTTTGAAATCATTTGTCTTTTAATTTAAATTGAAAGTTTTTTTCATTTTCTATGGAAGCAACTATTATATTGTTCTAATGAATTAACAATTATGCAGGTATTTTTAAAATTTTACTACTTGTCTTTGCATTTGCATTTAACGTCAAAGTCCATCGAAGCAGCTATTACCTATGACGATTGACGACTTTCACGAAACACATGAATAACTAACGGTGAGATGGTTGTAGACGGTGTTATTAGGGAAGAAAACCGAAGACATGAAAGGATCCATCAATGATTTCTCGACCATCTTCTTCCTCCAAATCTCGTTGCTTGTTTCTACGATTTATTTCATTTCTTTAAGTTTTTTGTTTTGACAAAACAATTGCATATAAGATTTTTTTTTTTTTTTTTTAATTTGACTATCCACGGCCGCTTTTTACCACGCCATATATACAAACGCTGTACGAGTACGCTGGAGAACAACTCCATATGCAAAAGAGAAAAAACGAAAACCAAATATAATAACTATATCCATATTCTGTAGATCTAAACTTTAATACCAAATTTGGAAAAAAATCCTCAAAAATAGAGGAACTGGTCAGAGAGGAGAGGACATAAACAAAACTAAACTAAAAAAAGTAACATGTTGTTATAACATAATAAAAAAATATCCAAAATACGTAAGATAACAAACATACTTTTAGTTGACCAGTAAATTTAGGAAAGGTAATATATCTTTGAACAACATTAAACTCCTTCAATTTATGCATTTAGCAACTTTATTAATATTTAAATTATCTTCCGTAATATGCTGAAGGTTTTGGCTATAAATAGATTTGACATGGACTCGTGAAATACATAAAAATCAAAATCAAAAGTGAGAGGAAAAAGAAAAGGAACAATAATAAAGAAAGATGAAGCTCATTGCTGTCTTTGTGGTATTCAGTTTGTTATTGGCTGCTCAGTTTTTAAATGTAAGAAAATTCACAAATTTGTTTTCTTGTTTGTGTTTATGAATTCATTTGTTTTTTTTTAATTCACCAACGGAATTTTTGTAAGGAATTTACAACAGTTTTTGTAAGGAATTTTCAACAATTTTTGTAAGGAATTTTTGTATTTATGGTGTAGCCCCCTGTTCAAGTATTGGTCTTTGTCTCTAACATTTATTTATTCTTTTATCAATATTTTATTATTAGTTCTTATCATGATGATACACCTTCTACATATTATATGTGACAACAAAAATAATCCCGTCTTTTTTTTTGAGATTTGAAGTTATCAATACACAGGGACTATTTTAAAAAATAAAAATAATTACACCTTCTACATATTATGTAAAATTTTTAGCTAAAAAATGAAATACTCTAAAGAATCACTAGCTGTTGTTCACCAATTTCTAAATTATTTTTGAAATGATTTTTGTTTTAACTGATTTCGGTGTATGATTGATGATTCAACTCAAGTCAACAACTCTATAGATACCAAACGATTTAACATATATACCACATACTGATCGCTTAATATATTTTCTTGTTCTTTAGCCCAAAAAAAAAACTGTGTTGTAGAGAATTAACATTAAGAAGACTTCACGTATCATTAAACCCAATTAAAAGTAGTTTTGTATCTTTAATATACATGACTTGTAAATTAACAAACATCATGTATGTTAGATGTAAGCCATTTATTTCTCTGACTTAAAATTTGCTCTTGACCATCAAAATCCTGATGGACTTTAACCCTATCCTTCATACTCCCTTCCACTGCTCTCTCCTCCGGCACCACCTCTTTAACTTTTCTTCTATATGTTCCTTGTCCTTGGAAGGTCACCCAAGGGTTCTGCAAATTATTTCTCACTCAAATCAGCTGTGTAACAAAGAGAAAATTCTCCAAACGTAAACAATGTGTAACGACCCCATGAGGGGTTCTCCCATTAATCATGCTCTTAATGCAGACCTCACCTCCAGCTTTCACCTAACCCAACGTAAACAATGGGCAACGACGCTAACGCAGACTTTGACCTCAGCTTTCTCCAAATCAAAGTCGCCTAAAAAAACTCACTCTCTTCTTTTTATGGACTTTAACCCTATCCTTCATACTCCCTTCCACTGCTCTCTCCTCCGGCACCACCTCTTTAACTTTTCTTCTATATGTTCCTTGTCCTTGGAAGGTCACCCAAGGGTTCTGCAAATTATTTCTCACTCAAATCAGCTGTGTAACAAAGAGAAAATTCTCCAAACGTAAACAATGTGTAACGACCCCATGAGGGGTTCTCCCATTAATCATGCTCTTAATGCAGACCTCACCTCCAGCTTTCACCTAACCCAACGTAAACAATGGGCAACGACGCTAACGCAGACTTTGACCTCAGCTTTCTCCAAATCAAAGTCGCCTAAAAAAACTCACTCTCTTCTTTTTTTAAATTATTACAAATCAGCTTCACGACACTACTCGTGTTAGCTTATTTATATATGTCCTCTCGTCAACCTCAAGCCATCCTAACATTCCCATGATGATGAGCGAAGGTTTTGCGTTTTTGGGGTTTTTTTGTTGTTCCTTGTTCCTTCTCCAGTCTCCGCTGGTTTCTATCCCAACTCCTCAGCTATTCCGCCAGACCACCGCCACGGAAACGCCTGGGACTCGTTCTTGAATTTCACCGGCTGCCATGCCGGCATGAAAGTCGATGGCCTATGCAAGATTAAACAATACTTCCAACATTTTGGCTACATCCCCCAAACTCTCTCCGGAAACTTCACGACGACTTCGACGATACCCTCAAGAACGCCGTCGAAATGTACCAGAGAAACTTCCAGCTAAAAGTCACCGGAGAACTCGACGAGCCTACTCTCAAACACGTCGTGGTCCCGCGTTGCAGCGTCGCCGACGTAGTTAACGGCAAGTCAAATATGCATAGCGGTAGAAGAACCTACGAGGTCTCCTTTGCCGGGCGGGGCCCACGTTTTCACGCCGTCAAACACTATATGTTTTTCCCGGGAAGGCCACGGTGGCCGGAGGGCCGCCGTGATTTAACCTACGCGTTCGGGAACGCGTTGAGTGATGAAGTCAAGAGCGTGTTCTCAAGCGCGCTCGTTCGTTGGGCGGAGGTGATTCCACTGACGTTCAGGCAAGTGGAGACGTTCTCGACCGCCGACATCACCATCGGATTCTACTCCGGCGAGCACGGCGACGGATCACCATTCGATGGTCGAGGGGGAGTACTGGCGCACGCTTTCCCGCCGACGAACGGACGTTGCCACTTCGACAGAGACGAGAACTGGATCATCTCAGGGAACGGAGGCAACGGCCGCTTCGAGCCGTCGGCCCATGATCTGGAATCGGTGGCTGTTCATGAGATCGGACATCTTCTAGGGTTGCACCATTCCACGGTTGAAGGGTCGATCATGAATCCAAGAATCGCGGCCGGGACGCGTAAGGTTATTCTGACGAGAGATGACGTGGAAGGAGTCCAGTATTTGTACGGTGCGAACCCTAACTTCATCGGCTCTACATCTCGTCCACGACCATCCACTCAACATTGAGTTACTTGCGATTCTGGTGCTGCTGGTAGAATCGACGGCGCTTCATAGAAAATTCCTACAAGTTTTCAAAATCTTCAAATCGATTAATTGTGGATTTGGGAATCTTTGGCGGTGGTATATGGTTCATCTCATCAACACTAGATATGAAGCAGCTTTTGTTCTTACGTATTTTGTTATTTAAAAAAAATAAATTCGACATGAGTCAGCAGTTATCGTTTTATCCATATAAAAATATAACGGATTATCGTTTTCTGTTTTAATGTAATTCATTACTCTTTTCTTTCAATAGTGTCGTTCTCTCCGTTCTTATTTCGTCCAAATCAAATTAAAGTCCATACTACACTTGCTTCCAATTGACTTAAACTAGTGATTTTCTTGATAAACGAAGAAAATTAAAACACATAGGCTATGAAAGTTTCAAAGAGATGGTGATGAAAATAACCGGCTAAACCGAGGATGGAGATGAAAATAATGGTGAAAAAATGTGATGGAATGAGAACGTATCTTATTCCTTTTAAAAGAAAAAAAAAAAGAGCATGTAATATATTTAGACTCGAAAGAGTGCGGAAACTCACCAAACCTGGTCACCGATCAATCTCTGATTGGGAATACAGGCACTTAATAGTTGCAAACTCGAGTATGATCATAATTAAACTCAAATAATATTAACGGTGACATACATATTAATTAATGACGATGCATGGCATGCATGCACAACCATAGAAAAGAACTAGTCATCACCCTTTTTACCAAAATAAATTCAATCATATAATCAAAGTGGGAGATTAAATGTTTTGGGGAAATATGTTTTCTGAGAGTTTCTAAATGGTTTGATTTGGTTCATAACTTCTTCTCCCTAAAGGTTACTCAGGTCCGAGATTCATTCTCCTCTGCAATTGCCAAGCTTCGGAGCTTCTATTTATATTGCTAAGCTCCGCATTTTCTTGTTGCGATTATATCTAAGATTCGTAATTTCATTGCTGCGGCAGTTGCTAATATTAGCAAGTTTTTTGAAGAGGTTGTTGCCAACGTTCGCAGTTTCTTCTCTGATTTGAAAACATTATTTCGTCTTGCTCAGAAATTACAAAAACTGCTCAGCTAGCCTAATATATAGACGATGTCTTGAAGATTTTGGTATATGACATACCTATATCAATTTTGTATCCGATAAATCTAAAAAAATAATACATGGCAACACACATGCGTATGAAACGAAGAATAATAGAAATAGCAAACCAACCACAACGTTCGTATATAACAATATTTATAGATGCTAAAAAAAAAATTAATAATCCTATACTATAAAAGTTGCCCATCTCTCTCCAGCTGACCGCCACGTCAGCGCGGGAGAGATGGCCACGTGGCGTTTCCACAGATTTTCTGGTTTTTTTAAATTACTGTGCTTTATGTTTTTTTTTCTTTGCTTCGCCTCTTGCGCTTCTCTCTCTCCTCCGCCAAATCAGATCTTCTCACCCAAATCTCGCCCCGAAACCTAATACAGATATCGCCTGCAATCGCCTTGACAGGTCCATCGTCCCTCTGTTTACATCGTATGAGGCCACCGGCTCACCCACATATCACCTGAAATCTCGGGCAAATCAAAGCCGAGAAGAAGAAGATTCAGGTGCTCGGAAAGATGAAACACCACCATAAGCTCACGGTGGCTTTATGTCTTATCTGGGCTGCGACGATCCTCTGCGGCGAAATGTTCGCCTTCTGGCTTCCTTACCTTTTCATTTGTTCTTCGCTTCTCTCTCTCTCTCTCTCCTCGTAACCGATGATCAATTTTCGGGATTCAGTGACATTGTTTTCGACTTCCATTTTGTAATTTGCTTACTTCTGTGTGAAATGAAGATAAAATTTCATGCAATCGTTCTGAGGTTACTCGAAATGATTTAAAAAAAGCATTTTTTTTTAATCGAAGTCCGATTAATCTTGATTAGAAGGTCAATGTATACGAATCTCGAATACTCTTAATTCGTCAGTACTGAAATCACTGTTCTTGATGAAGAAAACGAAGTGTCATTGACTTCTTCCTTTTGTTTCTCAACAGACTAATGGAGTGGAGAGTGATGGGAAGTTTACTAAAGTAGCCATTGTTACTGATCCAGAGGTGAACAACTCTTCAGATGCATTTTCATTTCGCTGTGTGTTAAATGTGGACTAGATTATCTGAATTGTGTTGCTGTTGTGTTTAGGCAGTTGATGGATAAAACATCGTTTCGTTTGTCGTCAAAGACGCTAGCTTTGGAAGTAGCTCAGTTTTATACTTCTTTCAATCGATATTGCCTTTCAAACGGGACGCTGTTTTGATCAACCAGAGTACTCCTCCACCAACAAAAAGTCTTTACGGGATTTTCCAGACACGAGCATATGATTCCAAGATGTGTAAGCATCGTTTCCCTTATTCCCATGTCTTAACCTGCCAACTAATTTTGTTTATCCTAAGTTTTTTCCCCTTCAATATTATGTGCAGGATTTTGAGACAATTAATGATGATTCAGATATCAGAATTGTCTTCCTAAAGAAGAGAGTTCTCGCTGTTGTGGAATGCCACTTAGGAAGGTGGGAAGTACTGATGCTTCTTTAACGCAAACACATGAATCAGATGATCTCTTCAGAGGCAATATGGTTGGTCCAGGCTTTATTCTTGACGATGTGACAAACGATGTAACCTCAGATGCTCACCTATCAGCTACAATTGTCCCTCATCTAAATAGTGAGTCAGACTATCAACAAAAATCTTACACAATGGGGGAAACGATGACAATTTCTGCTCATGAAGGGGCACACACTTTCTTTTTGTCATCTTTTATCAGACGTAAGGGTTTAGTTTCAGGTTCCTCTCTCTGGTCTATTGTCATATTGCAGGACAAGTCCAACAAATGCAGATATACCGATGAATCATTCACTGATGCTCCGATGGTTGAGACTGATGGTTGAGACTGAAGCTGGAATCAATGGCTTACAAATAATACACAAGACTTATCTTCAAGCCTTAGACATCTACGATTGGCTGCATTTGGATCTGTTTATTATGGTAAGTAGAGAGAAGCCATGATTTTCAAACTGTTTTTGATGACTTTCTGTTTCTTAGGTTGTATGGGTTCTGTGCTATTACACTAACATACATTACATATCATAGCATCCCGTTGGTTTGTTCAAAATAAATGCTCATTACTTTTCATGTATCATTTTATTTATATTGATTGGCGTTGATTACATTGAACTACATCTCGATTTTACAAATTTGGTGTTAGATATACGAGGAGAAAGCGGACTACCTGCAGAGAATTAACCATCCTCCTTATTCGTCCTGCCATGGAGGAGAGCGCAATATGTAAAATCCAAGTGGCTGGGTATGTCAAGGTTGCATATTTTAAGTGCATCTCTTCACCTCGAACGGGTAAACATATGATTTTGATGTAAAGAATGTAGCTTATATCTGAATCAAATTCCATATAATTTTTTTTTTGGAAGAAGTTTGATCAAATTCCATATATTTCTGATTTTATTTATGGTTAATGAACATAATTATGTCCTGCAAGCATAAACTCATGTACAAAATGATGAAATTAACCACTCTGATTGAATCAACATGTAAATATAAACAAAGTTATTCAATATTGAGTTTAACGTTGTAGTTAGTCGAGGGCTAATGGGATGCCGTTTTGATGTTTGAAGCCTGAGAGCCTTGCCTATAGAGAGGTCGCAGACTGAAATGTTTTCTCCCCCCTGTCGACTTTTCTAAGACGGAACAGTTATGATTAGCCCAAACCATGTACGTCTTCCCTAACTACTCTGGAATTTTTAAATTTCCAACCTTAGTTCTAACCCATCTATTTTCCTCATCTCTTTAGCCTGGTTCCCCTGAAATATACATGTACGATATGGAAAATAGATGGGTTAGTTGGCCATTGGACTCATAGTCTTTGTGTTCATACGGGTGAAATATTCTACATGTGTTAAAGAATTGGCCTAATAGGAACATACATACATGTTATCGGCGAAATAATTTTCGGATTAGGAGAGCTTGGTTGTCAGGTAATTTCTTCCTAGATTGCTTCGTTTCGGTTTTGATCTGGTCTGAATAAGTTCCTGAACAGGGTTGTTTTGACCTTTAGGGGATGGGTATACCGGTTGGAACTTATGGGCGTGTCTCTAGGTTTTGACTTATGGCTTATGCATCTTCGTTGGATGTGATCGGTTGCTTTGGCTCTACGGTTGCTGATGTTGGGATGCTTCTTCATGATATTTCCGGGTATGATAGGTTCGACTCCACGAGTAGCAAACAAGTGAGGCCTCTTGTGGTTGGTTTCTTGAATTCTACTGAGACAGAAAGAACGATGTTTACGTTTAATGTAAAAATGGTGTTTTTGCTTTTGTTTAGGATGTGCCTGAGTTCCAATCACAGTTTCTTTGGATGGATCATTGTGGATCTAAGCCATTGAAAGGAGTGAAAGTTGGTGTAATCTGCGAGACGCTTGAAGAAGGTGTTGATTCTGGAGTGAGATCTGCAACTCAAGAAGCTGCTTCTCACTTAGAAGCGTTGGGTTGTGTATTCACAGAGGTACATTTTTCTTTCGAACTCCTTCTCTGTTTTGTTATTTGTGTACAGCAGTTGGAGGTGTTCGTCCTTCAGCGGTAATGGTTTAAGATTACTAAAGGTTTTTTGCAAGTCGCGAATTTGAGACTACGTTTCTTTTTCTTGCAGTGTTTACCTCTCACCATTGATGTGAACAAACAATGAGAAACTGTTAATGGTGAGGACGGCAAGAAGAGTATCCAGTCTCGGCTCGAGAAGATGAAGAAATACGGAAGCGCCCTGTTCCGTCCTCTCAACTTTCATTTTCTCCTAAAAGTTGTTTCAGGGTGTTGTTCTATGGCTCGCGCATACGTGCGCTGAAAAAACTGACACCCGAATAACATATTGAGCTTCTCGCTATCATAGGTAATATCTGACCATTTACTACTTAATATAACCAAAATTGTGGTCTCACCTTAATCATGATATGAGTATATGAACTCTTATTCGGACCTCGCTCAACCAATTAGTAATTTTTTCATGCTCAAGAAGTAAAGTAAGAAGCATCATAGTTATAATTAAGTTTGGTTATGTATTTGTTTGACTTTCAATATTTTGGTATCAATCCGAAGTAGATAACTAAAAAGTAGTCTTTAACCGAGCATGGGTTTGGTGGTGGGAGTGTTCTGGTTTAGAGGTTCAGCTTTAGTTTTTTTAGTTCATTGGGTTTTCTCCTTCGTTTCAACCGTTTTTTTTTTTGTGTTTGTTATGAGTTCCTTCGAGTTATTTCAATGGTTCAGTTATGTGTTGGTTCCAGGGATATCTATGTCTTCGGCTAGCTTATGTAACTTGAGAAAGTTGTTTTCACCTCTACTAAATGACCAAAAAGGAAAAACATAGCAACGAAAACTATAATCGAGTGTCTTTGTCTGATGTGGCACCTTTTGATGTTAGTACAAGGTTAATTGTATTCAATACACAAATTTTGCAAACACCCTTTCTTTCAAATTGATTTTGAGATTTGAAGAAACAATTTATCTGTTTGAATGTATGAGTTTAAAGAGTAAATTTTCATTTCTGACTACTCCAAATCTTTGGCGGATTAGTGACCCCATTTAGATTTGAAATTGGGACCAACTGTCTGATAGAAGATGAGGAATATGAGGAAGGTTGCTCTTTTTTTAACAAAAGGGGTTATATATTGCAGAAATTCAAAGGAAAATTGCAACTGCGTTTCAGTGTAATATTATAAAACATGATATATGTCTCAAAATGATTTTTATTCTTCTTGCTAGATTTGGTTGTCACAAAGGCTTCAGCAGCTGCACATAAGAGATGGAAATTAAAGTTCACATAGGAAAGCCTTATGGAAAAGTAAAATGACTAAAATTCGGTCAGGTCCTATCTACCTTGACAAAGTCGGGTTAGTATGTCTTTGGTTTGTTTTAATCTTTTGACGACCAAGTTTTAGATTCAAGAACCAGTTTCAACAATCTCAAGTAAATAGAAATTAAATTCTTGATGAATGGGTCATAATTGTATATGTATCCCACCTGATTCTAATTAATCTCTTCCAAGCTGCTTTAGTGAATCTTTTATTTGTTGTAGATTTGGGCAACGTCAGAAACCAGGATTTCCAGTATTTCTCCTCCATGCCAAAACTAAATGTAGTATTTACGTTTCCTTCATCTTAATTTTGTGCTTCTGCAAATCACGTCCTCCTACTTGATTATTATTATTTGAAGGTCTTCACCAACCTAACTCAGGTCTTTTGCTTGTGTTTTTCGATTCTTTCCGATTATATTCGGAGCTTTAAATTTTGAGGAGGCTGCGAAACAGAGAATAAGGAAAAGAGATGGAATGTGTGGGCATTCAGCTTGGAAGAAAACGTATATTTCTCATATGTAAACCTTTGTTTTGCTTTGACATGATCATAGTTGAGAGAATACGGCGATGTAAATTTTGATCTACAAACATAAGAAACGAAATAGTTAAACAACAATGTTACATTTTCAAATTTTGTTTTATCACTGTTATTATCTTCACTTTCACTAATCTCACAAAGATGATCAATCAAATTCAACTCCCAAGTATTCATTTGGTTGATTTCATGTATAACATAAAACTCACATATAGTACAATGATAACACTCCAATGACAAGAATCTAAAGCATGAAACTCTTTAAAATACAAGTTAAATGCAGACAAAATTATGAAAATGTACATGCCTGAAAATAATTAAATGGTTGGTGTGGGATAGCCTTACACTATGAGTGAAGAAGTAAGCCCAAATAAGCTTTGCTTTTATGATTTTATATGAAACAGTATGGCTGTTGATAGTTCAGGTTGTTTGTTTTCTCCTTTGTCATCTAGAAAATTTGTATGCACTTTAGAAGATGCTTTTCTATGGGATCCAATGGTTGAGTTCTATAAAGGACGGATGCCTAAGTGGCTACATACTGGAAGCGACTGGATTTAAGTATGAACTCTGTTAAACACATACAACTAAACCTTCCTGCAACTTACTTTAGATGTTTTAAAATGCAGGTGAAGGAATTAAATTTGCAAGAGATGAATGATAGATTTCTAGGTAAGAGGTGACACACTGGACAAGAGAAGCCTAAGGTGGAGCAACAACAAATTGCAAAGAAGTTAAGGGTACGGTTTATAATGTTTACTTTTGGCTTCGATTTAGTTACATCAGTTGACATTTGTATATGATCAATTCATTATGACTTTATAACAGATTTCCTTTAGTATCAATGACTTGATAATAGTTTATTACTCAGAAGTTTGAGATTAGGACCAAATTTGATATATATATATTTTCTTCTTGTGTGAATGTTTGAATGATATGATGACGTTGCTAGAAAATTAATTGAACACCAACGATAGCTGATGATATGGTTTAGCTTCATACATTGGTGAACTGGCTCCCTGAACAAAACTTTAATTATATTTGCTTATTGTTATAACAGGTATTGCTGAGAGGAAAACAAGTGGATGAATTCTACAAAGCCAAAGAATTATTTTCTGAGGAGAACTAAGTAAAGGAACAGTACATGAACCTAAACCGAACAGAGGTGAGCATCTGGGAATGTTGCTAGCTTGTGAATGATATTTTCAAAGAGATTTATCATGATTAGAAGTACCAACCCCAGATCGAACATTTGCTCTACTTAGTTTACAGGACTTAAAAGCTTTCTTAACGTTGTAGCTTTAATTTTTAAACGGAGAGTCTCAAGGCGAGATTTTGGGGCTAAATAGGGAGAGCGAGACACGTTCTTCTTAATTTATTCTCAGGAATCATGATAAACATAACATATTTTAAAAACCAATTAACTTTTAACAAAAGTTTATGAGACCGCTGGGAAAGAAACTCGTGGGATTGTTTTTGTTTTTGGTATTGTTTTTCCAGTACATTAATATGTTTCTCCTTCATGTTGCATGGAAGCTTCGTTTAACTAATAACTTATAAAACAATATATGTTTGTTTATTCCATGTTTGAACTCACAAATATTCATGCTTCTTAGTTTCATGCAGCAACCACCTTTTTGTCTTCGTTATACGTACCTCACATACGTATTCCAAATAATTAACGATTAGAATTAACTTACATCTAGGTGCGGAGAAAGGTATCTATAAACCTAGCTAGAGAGGCAACATTATTGAATTAGGCATCATATGTTAAACTTCAACATTTTAAACTATACGAAAGCTCAGAGAACCAATGTAAAAAAAAATTAAAACAGGAAAAAAAGTAACTAAAGATTTGACGACATGGGGAGAATATGAGAAAGAAAACGATATCCAGAAAGCGATTACGGCCCATAAATTATAAAAGAGAAAGAATACTTCGATTTAATTTATGTGAGATTCAATTGCGGCCAAATCTATGTATGATGTTGCAATTGCGGCCCATAAATTATAAAAGAGAGGAAATGACTCTATAATGAAGTCGTCGCATTATATAAGTGGTGGAAAAAAACTCGAGAAACTAAAGAAATATTGCTCGGAAAGACTATCAATTTTTTTTTAAATGAGTTTTATAAACATAATAAAAAAAATTAATAAGAATAAATAACAAAACCACCCGCGCATAGCGCGGGCTTATACCTAGTGTTAATAATATTATAGATGAGTTAATAACTCGATCGATCAGAGGCCAGGTATGGTTTCACAGCGCTCCGAGGTGGTGCACGTCAAGGGTGTGCCTTGAATCCCCGAGCAGACTTCGGTGATTACGCACCTTACACAGAGGGACAACTCGCCGCCTTTTGGAAGAGGACTGAGCTGATCATGTGGACTATAAGTGGTCGCCATGTTATTAAAAGTTTTGCGGTTGCCTCCGCATTTGTTCGATGCGCTCGGTGCAGTGTTGATTTTGGAGCTTCTGTGCTCGTCGCCTTCCAAGTTCTTTCTCAGCTTGATTGTCTCTTCTACATCACCCATACATTTCACACTTCAATATATATTGTATAGCGTCAAGCCCGCCCTTGATAGATTCAACTAATTAATTGATTAACTATACAGCTTAAAACCTTAGCTTGTTAAAAAAAAAAAAAAAAAAAAACTAAATAGCATATTAATCACCAAAATAGTTTTTTTTTTAAATATACCGCACTCCAGTCGCTACTTATAATTTTTTTTAATTTAATTATATGAAAATTGAAACAACTATAAAAATATGGTTATATATATATATATATATAAAAAAAAAAGATGTAGTATATGATTTCTAAAATAATAAAAATGAAGTAGAACATTGTGAAAAAATGTAAGTGGATCAAAAATTTCAATATTATCAACATATCTTTACTATAGTAATTAAACATGAATATCAGATAAGCAAACCAAACAAACCAACAAAAACTAACTGAGTTTGCGGATTTCAGTTTGAGCACCGAGAGCTTCATCCATATGAAGCGAAAACAGTAGGAGGAGAAGAAATAGGATGGAAGAGAGTATTGTAGAAGATGCCATCTTAATAATTCTCTGTGATACTTGTCAACTCTCTCTTATCTCAGTTTAATTGATGCATTTATATAAAATAGAGAGATAGAGATAGTTGGGCCTAGGCCCAATTGGTTTACCTGGTAATTATAAATGCAGGTGGCCTGATTACCCCCTGGCATTAGTCGGAAGGCATTCCAAACTCGGAATAGGCGGTGTAGTAGTTCTTAGGATGAGTCCACTTTGTAACACCTTGGTGCGTTCCTCCCGGGGCTAATCGGAAGCCGATAGGATCTATAAAAAAAAAGAGAGATAGAGATAAGAGAGATAGAGATAAGAGAGAGTTGTACACATATGGTAGAGACTTAATCCAAACAAGTAAGAAAAAGGTGGTCGAGATAAGAAAGAGAGAGCTGAAGTTTTAGGCGACTTGTTAGTTTGTCACTTGTGATCGTGGACTTTGGGGTTTAATGGTCTAGGCACACCATGTTTTGGTCTACGCGTGAATGTTTGTTGCATTGCATATACTTATTAATTAATTTACGTGAGGCAGCTTTAATTTGTTGACACTTGACTTGAGAGATTTATGACTAATGAGTAATGAGTATTGTATAGTGTTTCTTTTCATTTCAATAATGAGTTTAGTCTTTAAGAGGGGCTCGAAAATTTTCCGTGGTCTAAACGAGTGTTTTAAAATGTGGTATTTTTTTGTCACATGTCATATATAAAACGTTTTAGATCATGATAAGAATATTGGGGGGAAAATCTAATTACTGTAACTGAAGGAGACAAAGATGAAAGACCAATACTCGAACAGGCGGCTATATATGTATGAAGCAGTGAACCGTACGAACGTAACTGTTGAAAATTCTTGTTTTTCTTGTAACAAACTGTTGAAAATTCTTTAGAAAAAATCCAATATTGTTTGGCTTCTGGCACTGTTTCTACAGAAAAAGATGTCTCATTGTGATTTTCCTGAATAAAATTTTCTCTATTAATAAGTACTCCTGTGACCAAAAAAAAAGTAGTTGTTTTGTAGTGTTTGATTCTATGCTTGAATTTCTAGATCAAAGAGAACCTTGCAGAATGTGTTTTAATGATCTTTTTGGATACACATGACTTCCTACTGTGGAATTTTCTATGATTTTTAAGACTTTTGTCTGGTTCACAAAATGAGATACAAAACAAACGTTGGAAGAGTCGAGGAATTGGTGATGAAAATCAAATAATTAAATAATGGTGAAAAATGTTAAAACCAATGATGGAATGAAAACGTATTTTATTTTTTTTAAAGAAATAAAGGCCACGTAATTTAGAAATATATTTATACACACGAAAGAGCTAGTGTGGAAACTCACCAAACCTGGTCAAAGATCAATCTCTGATTGGATCATTGGGCAATTAATAGTTGGAAACTCGAATATGATCATAACTAAACTGAAAGAATTTTGATGGTCACATACACATTAATTAATGATGATGCATGGCACGCAATCACAACCATATAAAAAGAACCAGTCATCACCCTTTTCCCTCACAACTTTTTCCCAAATTTCAATCATATAATCAAAGTGGGAGATCAAATGTTTTGGAAAAATATGTTTTCGAGAGTTTCTAAATGGTTTGATTCGATCCATAACTTCTTCTCTCGAACGGTTACTCAAGTCCAAGACTCATTGTCCTGTGCAATTGCCAAGCTTCAGAGCTTCTTTGCTCGCATTATTGCTAAGTTCCGCAGTTTCGTTGCTGCGGTTATATCTTGGATGTGTGGTTTTTTTGCTGCGGCAGTTGCTAAACTCACCAATTTCTTTGTTGCGGTTATATCAAAGATTCGTGGTTTCTTTGCTGCGATCATTGCTAAAATTCACAATTTCTTTGTTACGATTAGTGATAATGTTCGCAGCTTCTTCTCTACTGTGAAAACATTATTTCGCCTTATTCAGAAATTACAAATGCTGCTCAGGCTAATCAGCGAAGTATTGGATACCTGGGATCGTCAGGTGGCGCTTCATAGAAAATTCCTTCAAGTCTTCAAAATCCTTAATCGATTTGTGGATTTGGGAACTATCTTTGGTGGTATGGTTCATCAACACTAGATATGAATCAGCTATTGCTCTTATTCTAGTTTACATGATCTAATTATCGTTTGTTTATTTATATATTATTTCAAAAATTAATTCGAATATGAAGCATTTTTATTGTTTTATCCAATTAACAATATAATGAATTATCGTTTTCTAGTTTAATGTAATTCACTACTTTTCTCTTTCTATGGTACTGTGACTGACTGATGTCGTTCTCGCCGTTATTATTTCGTCCAAATCAAAGTTCATAGAACCATTCTTCCTGTCTTTCTAATGCTAATTACTTGAAATTTACTTGAAACTAATGGATTATTTTGATAAACGAAGAAAATTAAATCACAGAGGCAAAGAAAATTTTCAAGAGATGAATTAGTAATATAAATATCTAACTTTCAAATATAATTATACAAGATATTATAAATTCCACTGAGTCTATTACCGCACATTATATTTATCGCACATTCGTTTCACATTTTATTGGCTAGTTCAACTGTCTGCACCACTACCCAAACCCGAGTTCCCGAGCCAACACGAGCCAACTGTCGACAATATCTGTGAACCAACATGATATAATATATATATATATATATATGTTGAGAATAAAATAATGAATAATAATAAACGTATTTTATTTCAATACATTGATTCTTTTTTTTTTAAATCCATACATTAATTTAGGAAAGGAAACATATCTTTGAATGATAATCAATGCTTTCAATTCTGTGTATTTAGCAGTATCATTAATATTTAAACTACCTTCTATAATATGCTAATGTTTTTGGTTATAAATAGATTTATCATCGACCATGAAATACATAAGAAATAAAAAGGAAGTCAACAGTGAAAAGATATAACGAAATAAGAATGGTGAAGCTCATCGCTGTCCTTACTGTATTATGTTTGTTGTTTGCTACTAAATTTTCTAATGTAAGAGTTTAAATACTTTTTTTTTATGAATTCATTAAAAATAGTGTTATTATATGAAATTTAAATAAATAAAAAATTGCAGGGTGAGGAACTAGGAAGTACATCTATTGCACCTGCACCTTATAAGGTATATTTCAATAAATTAAAAAAAAAAAAAAAACATCTTTAATATATGTGTGTACATCTTAACGTATCAATTTGTGTCATCAAAAAACTTATGTGTGTTACCCAAATAATTTCAGGGAGGAGGAGAAGGTTCACTTACTCCTGCAGGTAATATTACTCAATTTTTTTAACTTATTCTCTAGTATATATAATCGATGAATTCATCGAGTGATTTCTTATCTCTAAATTTTTCATTTATTCAACATTGTTCTTTGCTGTAGAATGTCCCAAGGCATGTGATTTCCGATGTTCGGCAACATCTCACACAAAGCCATGTTTGTTTTACTGTAACCTATGTTGTAAAAAATGTTTATGTGTACCGTCGGGAACTTATGGACACAAAGAAGAATGTCCATGTTATAATAACTGGCATACTAAAGGAGGCAAACCAAAATGTCCATGATAACCAAAAAAAAAAAAAGAGTAAAGACTATAAATTATCTATTTTCTTTTCTCTTAATTAATATTATCTATGTAATTGATCATGGTTATTTATTTAATATATGAAGTCTTATTCTAAGACAAGACTTAAATTTGAAGATAATTGCTCCTATAGTCCCATAAGTCTCCAGTAATCCCATAAACCATATATACATACAGTAGAAACTCTATAAATTGATACTCGATAAATTAATAAACTCTATAAAATGATAATTTTCTCCGGTCCCAAGTCGGGCCAGTGTAAAAATTAGCAAAATTCGATAAAATAATAAGATAATAATAATTTTGAAACTCTATGTAAATATATGGTCCCATTAATATCATAAATTAATAATTACCATAAATAATTTTATGTAAATATATATATATCTATAATAATATACTAAAATATAAGTATAATTTTCACTTCTTTTTTAATAGAACTCAAATATATTTTAAATTTATCCATAATTTTAGAATGAACCTATACAAAATATAATAAACTTTTAAAACTTAATTATTTTTATTTAATTTAATATTTATTTTATTTATTTTGTAATAAAAAAACTATTTTACTCAAGATCGATAATTTAATAACTCTGTAAATTAATAAAATATCAAAGTCCCAACTTTATTAATTTATAGAGTTTTTACTGTATCTCGATTCTAACATGTTATTGTTTTCTCCGAAATAAAACTAGACATTTCAAGTCATTTACATCTTACTAAGAAAATTTACTTAATTTATTTGAGTAAGAATCTTTTCATAGTTTAACAAAAAGTATGTAACTAAAAACTGAAGAAGTACGTAAGTTTTTTTTTTTTAACGCTGGATATATTAATCGAGAAAAGAAGTAACGAGATCTGGTACGATGACAAAAGTCATCTAACAGGGACCAGACCAAAGTATGCAAAACAGAAAAAAAGGAAAAAACAGAGTAAAGACCAGAGGACAACCATATGCCAGTAGGCGAAAGAGACCTCAAGGAAAACAAAAGAAGCAAACATAGCATAACCACGAGGAAAACCACAGGAGGTCCAGGCTTATGTCGCCAAAGCTTCAGCAGAGGTGATGTTGTTCAGCCAAACCGGACCATTTCTGGCGATGTAGGACTGATACTGATACCAGTAGCCTGTGATCACACTGTGAGCAATAGCATTAGCAACCATGTTAGCTGAGAAGGCAATGTGTTCAAGACTCCAAGAGTCAAAGGTACGGAGGAAGGAGAAGATAGCGTCCACCAGCGGCCGGAGCTGCGGATATAGGTGAGGTTCAAGGAGGACCTTCCTAGCCTGGAGAAGGGGGGATTCAAATAGCATTCTTCCAAACCGCAGGCCCTGTGTAGATTCGATGGCCCAGATGAAACTGAGCAGCTCAGCTTCAGCCAAAGATGAGATCCTCGAATAGGAACGCCGACTGTGAAAGAGAACCGATCCAGCGTGATCACGTATCCGCCAGGAGGCACCAACATTACCACTGACAGGGTCCCAACAGCATCCAATATTACACTTCAGGGAATGAGGCATAGGTTTCTTCCATTGGGGGCCTACGGACCTTTCTTCTCGAGATGGAACATCAGACTGAGTAACAGGGGCATCCACCTTAAACCAGGTCTCTGAATCTTCGGTAGCACGCTGCATGATTGATGATGGATCAGACTGTGTCAGCTCAAAGGTAAGGGCATTACGTGCTTTCCACAGGTGCCATAAGATCCAAAGAAATTTTTGACGGATATTACTGGCTATGTTCGGTGACCTGTTGCATCTCAGAAGGTAATGCAGGTTTAAGAGGACTGAGGAAGGAGAGAAACCTGCCGGTGGTAAAGGGATTTGGGAGAGGTCCCATGTCTCTTTCGCTTTAGGGCAAGTAAACAAAACATGGCATATACTCTCAACTCCTGTCTGACAGAAACCACAATTAGCATTAATCATGATACCTCGAGAACGTAATCTTTCTTTGACAGCGAGGGCACCAGATAAAGATCTCCAAAGGAAGTGGCGGATCTTAGGAGAGGTCTTCGTCTTCCAGAGGTTGGACCACAGTTGTTTCTCCAGAGGAGGCAGGACATTGGGGAGGTCGATGTCTTGTATGGTTTTCAGGAGTTGGTAACCACTTTGGGAAGTGTATACTCCATCCTTCAAGAGACACCACGAGAAGGTATCTTGAATAGTTAAGGAGGGTTGAATCTTCAAAACACGAAGCGCATCTTCAGGAGAGAAGGTGTCCCTCACACGATCACGTTCCCAACGGCCTGAATTTGGGTTAATAAGGTCCGATACGTGAAGAGTCAGGTCAACAATGCTGTCTGCCCTATAGGTAGGTGCACGAGGTACTCTATCAAGTATCCATTTATCTCCCCAGACATGTGTGCTACGTCCATCCCCAATGGATTTTATGAGACCTTGTTTCAGGAGCTCTCTACCGTGAATAACACTTCGCCAAGCAAAGGAGGGTCTAGTGCCTATAACACAATCCAGGAAGTTACCATTCTTGAAATAACGGTGTTGTAGGATCTGAGCAAGAAGAGATTCAGGCCGCTTCCAAATACGCCACGCTTGTTTCCCTAAGAGAGATTGGTTGAAATCCCCTATATCATGAAACCCCAAACCTCCTTTATCCTTATCTCTACACAACTTTTTCCAGGCAACCCATGGGATCTTGTTCCTTTTTTCACCATTACTCCACCAAAACTCAGTCATGACGCTGGTAAGCTTTGTGCACAGACCTTTGGGAAGTCTGAAAACGGACATTGCATAAACCGGTAAGGCAAGACCCACTGACTTGATAAGAATCTCTTTGCCTCCTTGTAAGAGGACCTTAGCATAATATCCGTGGAGTCGACCTTGTAGTTTTTCTTGAATAAAATTCAGCATTTTCCTCTTCGATCCACTAAAACATTCAGGAAGCCTAAGGTATGTGCCCTCTCCACCTTCTTTGACTATACCTAGAGTTTCTTTAACCTCCTCACGAATAAGAGCCGGGACTTTCTTACCAAATATTATGGAGGATTTGGTCGTGTTGATCATTTAACCAGAGGCATCCCCATACAGTTTGAGGCACCGGTTCAGTTCCCCTGCTTCCTCCTTCGAAGCCCTGCACATCAGAAGACTGTCGTCTGCAAAGAGGAGGTGGTGGACCGCCGGACCAGTAGCCGCCAATTTGATACCAGTAAGTGTACCCACAGCTTCAGAATGGTTTAGACAACTTACCAAGGCTTCAGCACACATAATGAAGAGGAAAGGAGAGAGAGGATCTCCCTGGCGGATACCTCTTTCTGGTTTAATGTAGCCATGAGAGCGGCCATTGAGGAGGACAGTGTATGTTACGGAGCTGACACAAGACATAATCCACCGGAACCATACCCTATCAAACCCAATTTTCTCCAATAGGACTTCTAAGAAACACCATTCCACACGGTCATATGCCTTCGACATATCAGTTTTAACCGCCATAAACTCATCAGAGACTCTGGGATTTGTGAGAAGGCCATGCACCATCTCATGTGCTATCATGATGTTGTCGGAGATCAGTCGGCCGGAGACAAAAGCCCCTTGTGTTTCGGAAATGATTGCCGGCAGAAACACCTTCAGACGATCGCATAATATTCGTGAAATGATCTTGTATTGCACCGAACACAGGCTGATTGGTCTCATGTTCTTCATAAGCGTGGGATTGGGGATCTTAGGGATGAGGCAAATCTGTGTATGGTTCCAGCCAGGAGGGAGGATAGCGGTGTTAAAGAAGCCTTGCACCTCTGCTATTACACTAGGTCCTACAATGTGCCAATATTTTGATAAAAGACACCTGTAAACCCATCTTCCCCGGGGGCGCTACTACTTTTCACACCAAAAGCTGCCTGTTTTATCTCTTCAACAGATATCGACGCAGTCAAGATAGCATTCATTTCCTGGGACACTCTCCCCTGAAACCCCTCAAATAAGGAATCCAAGTCATAGGGGTTCGAACTCATAAAGAGCTCCCTAAAGTATTCCACCGCAATATTACCTTTCGCTCCTTCAGAGAAGTTCTCAGAGCCTGCATCGTCCTTGAGCATCAGGATTCTGTTTTGGATTTTTTTTCCTTTCACACAATTATGAAAGTACTTAGTATTTCGGTCACCTGCCTTTAACCACTGCTCTCGACTCCTCTGTCTCCAGAAAATCTCTTCTTGTTTGTATGCTTCAGCTAAATCAAATTTAAGGTTTTTCATCAACGAGTAACTAGGCATGTGCTTTACAATCTCACATTCCAGGGCCTGTTTCAGCCTATGGATCTTACTACGGGAGTTAAGATCAGCTGTTCTCTTCCATTTAGCCACCTCACGTCGACAACTACTGATACGGTCGAGAAGATTACAGCTCAAACTTCCTGCATTCCAGCCTCTCAGGATAACCTCTTCAAAACCTTCCTTCTCAATCATTCTTTTATCAAAATAGAACCTCCCTCTGCTTGGATCTTCAGTTTCCAGAGCAAAGCTGACTCGGAGAGGTCTATGATCTGATGCCCACATATCCAAATACTCCACTTGCGAGCGCGGGAATAGCTGGAACCATTCATCGTTGCCAAAGCTCCTATCAAGTCGACATTGGATCCAAACTCTATCACGCCATCCAGCCCAAGAGAGCTTGTTACCAGAACTACGAAGCTCCTCGTAGTTTACAGTTAATCGCCATTGAGCGAAAGTCCCAGAATGAAGATTCACTCCGCAGGGGACCACCCATCTTCTCGGAATTGTTCATCAATTCATTGAAATCACCCACTAAGACCCATGCTTCATCACGGGCCAGACCAATACTTGCCAAATTCTCCCAAACTTCCCTCCTTCGTGCCTTGATTGGATCACCATAGACACAAGAGAGAAAAAAACTTAACGAACCCATCTTTATTCTCATATCAATGATTCTGTTATTCATCGATATGACTTCTACCTCAAAGTTATTTTTCCAAAAAACCGCCAGACCACCACTCAAACCCACAGGTTCCACAGTAATCATCTCATCGTACCCCAAACTCTTTCTCAAACCTTCAACATACGGCTGCTTCTGTTTAGTCTCCATCAAAAACAATAAATCCGGGAAGTAGTCTCTCCTAAGTTCCCGGAGACGTTGAACTGTCTCAAGGCTTCCAGCCCCTTGACAGTTCCAGCTGAGGATGCTCATTGGGATGGCAGCGGCTTCAAAGCGGAAGCCACCGTAGGTTTGGAGGGTTTTAGAGATTTGGAAGAATGATCTCCGGCATTCATAAGAGCTTTCCTTTTCAGGGCAGATTCACACCCAACGGTCGGATCACCTTGGTCCCCAGAGGAGGAAAGCAGAGGGATGGTAGTTGGTGCCGCAGGGATCAAAGGAGTAATGCTTGATCTGTTCCTTGCTTGCCTTTTCCACTTATGAGGTCTTCTCCTACTTTTAGCTCCACCATTCTTGACCCCGGTAGATGGATTATCCGAAGAGTAACCCATACGAAAAACCGTCGGGCCAAGTGGAGAGGACGAGGACGAACCTTCTTGGTCATTGGGAAGAGAACCCAGAGCCTTAACTGAGATGTTAGGAGAGGGGTCCGAGATGATTGATTTCCCGGAACCAGTATTTCCACGTCTAAGTGCCAAACTCTGCCGTTCAAAGCCAAAAACATGACCTTTGCCTTTGTCCATGTCGTGGGAGATTCTCGGCATCTTAGAGGAGGCTTCAAGGCGGTCTTGTTCAATAGATTGATTGACTCTCAGGATACGGGCCTGTCGTTCAGTAGCATCACTGTGGGATATGTATTGTAGCGCAGCTTGTCTCTCCACTAATGGCAACTCAGCGAAAGGGGGGGGGGGGGGGGGGGGGGAAGCCTGGAGGGACAGAGGGGCTATCCACTCGAGCCGGCACAATCTGGAGGCTTTGTTCAGGAATCTTGATCGGAGGCTCACGTTGCGGTTTAGCGGCACTTGATGGTGGGATTCTACTCCGCAGGAAAGGACACATCGGCCGCTCATGTGTTAGTCGGAGGCAATGAAAGCAATGTTTTCTCAATTCCTCATACTTGTACTCAATCACAACTTGACCGCCAGAGGGAAGATTGACCATCTTGGAGGCAATAGCCGGATTAGCAATATTAAGCCTCACCAAAGCTCTGATGAAGGTCTCCTTTTGTGACGCCTTGGGATCATAGGCTATCTCCAAGACCTTACCCACTCGTTCAGCCAGCCAGTTCATTGTATCTATCTTGTAATAATTCATAGGGATCCGGCTAATTCTCACCCATAGATCCACTGTAGTGAGAAAATCAGATGGTGGAGAGGGAATCCACCTATCGACGAGCATGGTCCAGTTGTTGTACGACCAAGGCCGATCCTTTAATACCGTCTCTAAGTCCTCCTCACGCTCAAAGATAAATTGGAACTTGTCACGAGATAGAGCAATCCCTCGAACACGATCATAGACCCTCCAGACCCGTGGCATATCCTCAATCATCTTGTCCATTGGTTGACAGTCCGGATTCAAGAGGCGGCCGAGGAGGCTGATTGCGTTTTCGTCGAAAACTCTGAAGCTAGGACTGTCGGGAAGATCAACTGGCTCGTCATCATGAAGAGACATAGAACTGATAGCTGCAAGGAGGTTCCTTGCCATTGAGAGTCGGACTGGAGAGGAGGCGGAGCGAAGACGATGATGAATTAGCGGAAGGCGGGGTAATAAATCAACCACCAAAAAGGAAAATTTCCGGTTAATGAGAGAATATTCTGAGATGATTTTGGCCGAAATCATGGCAAGAAAGGGATTGACACACACGGCAGGAGGAAGGAAAGGAAATGAGGATCAAAAGGAGAAGGAATTTTAGCGGGATAAGGCAAGTGAGAGAGATTACGGGGAAGAAAAAATCAGATCGAAATAAAGGCTAAGATCAATTAAGAGAAGATGTAGGGACGGAAAAGAGAAACAAAAGGACAGGGCAAAGCCTCTGAATGAAACCGAAGGACCTGTTTTGATTTGGTGAAGTACGTAAGTTTAAGCTATCGTCTTTTTATGGACTTCTTTGGACATTTTAACAACACACATAATGGTCTTCTTGGGACATATCGTTTTCGTTTACTCGGTCAAATGAATTTAATTGTTATGTATGTGGGGGAAATCTTTGTTCCTTTAGTCTTTTTATTTTTAGTTTACGAATTATAAAAAAATAATATTCATTTGAAATGCCTACTCACTAAACTATTAGCTCTCTTTTTTTTTGCAATTTGAGTTACTCTTGTAAGAAACCCACCGATAGAAAAGCTCTAATACATAACGAGTCGACACTTGACGAGATGATTGTCTTGGGGAAACGACGTTGCATTGGCAGAAGCTAATCCAAGGCGTACGTACGAGTGAGCGTGGGTCTGAATCTCACCACAGCTAATATTTTGAGTGTAAAGAAACCCAATTTGGTATTGACCTCGTTATTAATCAAGACTAAATAGGCCCGTTCCCTTACTCAATACCCAATAATATGTTATAGACAGCGGTCAAAAGCCAAACAAAAAGTACCATATGTACCTACGACCTAGGGAAAAAAGAATTAGATTAACATAACAAGTCATATCATTTCACGTGTACGTTGATTTTTCGGACTAATAAAAAATATCTCATGATGAAGGTCGAAAGCAAAACAAAAAATATCAGGAAAGAAAAGAAAAATTCAAACTTCAACCTTTTATTTGATTCTGCCTTCTTCCCTTTCACCTACCATCGATCAATCGCAATTCAAAATGAAGCCTAGACTAAACCGGAGCCTAATTCATGGACCAATCAAAATACTTATCGATCCAGAAAACGACACCAATTTATCAGCAGCCTTTAGTCTTTCTTTCCCCTCGTAGACCCTTGAACGTGCCGAGGACCGAGGAAGCTTCCATTTGAATAATTCAGCCTTTTGAAACAAAGAAAATTCTCCAAACGCAAACGATGCCTAACGACGCTAACGCAGAGCTGACCTCAGCTTTCTCCAAATCAAAGTCGCAAAAAAACATTTATCTTCTTTTAAAAATGTTTACAAATCAGCAGCTTCAACGGTTCTACTCTGTTTTAGCTTATTTTATGTCCTCTCGCTAATCTAAATCTCAACATTACAATTACTATGATGCGATTTTGCGTTTTAGGGGTTTTCTTGTTCTTCCTCGTCCCTTCTCTAGTCTCCGCGGGTTTCTACCCCAACTCCTCAGCTGTTCCGCCGGATCTCCGCCGTAGCGCCACCGGGAACGTCTGGAACTCGTTCTTAAATTTCACCGGCTGTCACGCCGGCATGAAAGTCGATGGCCTCTACAAGCTTAAAAAATACTTCCAACATTTTGGCTACATCCCCGAAACTCTCTCCGGAAACTTCACCGACGACTTCGACGATATCCTCAAAACCGCCGTCGAAATGTACCAGAGAAACTTCCAGCTAAACGTCACAGGAGAACTCGACGAGCTCACTCTCAACCACGTCGTGATCCCACGTTGCGGCGTCGCCGACGTTGTTAACGGCACGTCAACTATGCATAGCGGTAGAAGAGCCTACGAGGTCTCCTTCACCGGACGGGGTTCAAGATTTAACGCCGTCAAACTCTACTCGTTTTTCCCGGGAGAGCCGCGGTGGCCGGAGCGCCGCCGTGATTTGACCTACGCGTTCGAACCGCGGAACGCGTTGACCGAAGAGGTCAAGAGCGTGTTCTCACGCGCGTTCGTCCGTTGGGCGGAGGTGATTCCGCTGACGTTCACTCGCTCGGAGACGTTCTCGACCTCCGACATCAGCATCGGATTCTACTCCGGCGAACACGGCGACGGAGAACCTTTCGACGGCGAAATGGGAACGCTTGCGCACGCTTTCTCGCCGCCGAACGGACATTTCCACCTCGACCAAAACGAGAATTGGATCGTCTCCGGCGACGGAGGCGACGGGAGGTTTCTCTCGGAGACGTGGGCTATTGATCTGGAATCGGTGGCTGTACATGAGATCGGACATGTTCTAGGGTTAGGCCATTCGTCGGTTCAAGATTCGATCATGTATCCAACCATCACGACCGGGAGGCGTAAGGTTGATCTGACGAGCGATGACGTGGAAGGAGTCCAGTATTTGTACGGTGCGAATCCTAACTTCAACGGCTCGACATCTTCACCACCGTCCACTCAACAACGAGACACTGGCGATTCCGGTGCGGCTTTTAGAATCGACGGCTCTAGATCGGTTTTGACTAAACTATTGATGTCGACCGTTGGATTGTTTTTCTTGTATTCATTATAGATAACTAATCTCTTATTATTTCATTGAAGTAGTTAATCTCTTGTATTTATTTTTTTTAATTCTTCTCTCGCTGTTTCTATTTTTTTTTTTAGCCTATAGAATCCTTTTACCAGTTAATTAAGAATTTGAGATCAGGCTCTTTTCTTTTATACGGAGAACCACTCACAACTCACAAGCGACCATGTATTTATGTCAAAACAGAGTACTAATTCAAAGGCAAATACAACAATTACAAAAAGGTTAAGTTAGTAACCAAGATTTATATTCATTCTGTACAAAACACATCATCACGCTATCAAATTAACGACACACGTCACACACGGTCGAGGTCGAGTGTCGACTAACCTTTTCTTTAAATTATCTTTCACCTTTCTGTATAATTCTCCATTAACGCCCTTTTTAAGATGTTTTATCAGTTCAAATACTTACTCCTATTATAAACTCCTCAAAACTTCCCTACCTCAAATCATATCCACGATCATTCTCGACAACATGAAGACAAACAAACAGAAAATGGTTATTTAGCCTATGTATTTTAATCATATTAATTTTCCCTTGTAATTTTCTTATTTGCACCCAGGCTGAAGATCCAACGGTGGAAAGAAGGGAAGATGTAACCCTAAAATACACATTGAAACTATAAACAAAAAACAAAACAAATACCTAAACAAACCAAACAGTAATTTAAAAGTTGATAGCAATTTAAATGGTTAACACTTTTGATGGGGAACAAAATAAAAATCTAACTATTTAACAATGATGAAAATTTGACCGTGATGAATGATTTTTTTTTTGTCATAACTGTGTGGAAACGTCTGGTTTGATCTCTGAAGTGAAAATAGATAACAAATTATAACGCAAATACAATATCTGCAAAAGGTTAAGTTAGGAACGAAGATATGTTAAATTTAATACAGAACACATCATCACGCTATCACATTAACGACACATGGACCACATGGTCGACTAGTCCCCCCACCCTACTCTACCTTTTCTTTTAATATCTTTCACCTTTCTATACAATTTTCCATTAACACATTTTATAGAGATGTTTATGATTAAATCAAATACTAACCATATTATAAACACCCTCAAATCTTCCCTACCTCGTGATACGATACGACTCATCGTATAAAGCAGAGTATATTCATAAAATCACGATCATTCCCGACAACAACAAAACAAAAACAATCTCTCTATCTCTCGCTCAAGAACAATGGGTTTGCTCCCATGTTCTTGTCCTCTGCCTTGCAATAAAACCAGATCAGAATGTCAAACGAAATCTACACACCTCCAACCAGAACCCTCCACGTCATCGTCTCTGCTGTCTCAGCCAAGTCTCCCATTGGTCCCTTCACTGTCTTTTCTGCGGCGGAGCTCCAACGTTGACCACCAGTGCTTAGCCACACTCAAAGGTCACTCCTCGTACGTCTCTTCTCTCTCCTTCTCCAGGGAATCACTCTTCACCGGCTCTTCCAACGGCGAGATACGTGTATGGCCTCGTGAACCGCCGGAGAATTCCACCGGTAGCATTGTTGCCGCCGGAAACGGAGGGGTTAAATCGTTGGTGATTCTAGGGGACAAGCTCATAAGCGCTCATCACGACCACAAGATCCGTGTATGGAAGATCATCGACGAGAGTAGCCGCAGAGATCAAAAGTACAAATGCGTGGCGACTCTTCCGACGGTGAACGACCGTTTCACGAGTCTATTCAGTCGGAAAAGCTACGTCGAAGTCCGACGGCACAAGAAGTGCACGTGGGTGCATCACGTGGACGCCGTGTCGTCTCTGGCCTTGTCACTAGACGGCTCTCTGCTTTACTCTGCCTCGTGGGACCGGAGTTTCAAGATATGGACAACCTCCGACTTCAAATGCTTAGAGTCTATTGAAAAGGCACACGACGACGCGATTAACGCAATCGTGGTGTCTCGAGACGGGTTTGTCTACACGGGGTCGGCAGATAAGAAGATCAAAGTGTGGAACAAGAAGGACAACAAGAGACACTCTCTTGTCGCTACTCTTATGAAACACTTATCGGCAGTGAACGCTTTGGCAGTTAGTGAAGACGGGAAGATTCTTTACTCAGGAGCTTGCGATAGATCGATTCTTGTGTGGGAGAGAGTGCGCAACGGAGATGATGATGAGGAATTGCATATGTCTGTGGTGGGAGCTTTAAGGGGACACACGCAGGCGATTCTTTGTTTAGCGGTTGCGTCTGGTTTGGTTCTGAGTGGATCCGCAGATAAGAGCTTGAGGGTTTGGAAGAGAGGATTCTTGGAGAAAGAAGGTTATTCTTGTTTGGCGGTTTTGGAAGGACATACCAAGCCGGTTAAGTGTTTAGCAGTCTTAGTTTCTGATTCAGATTCTGATTCTAATTCCGGTTATTCTTCTTGTATGGTTTATAGTGGCAGTCTTGATCTTTCTGTTAAGGTTTGGAACTTAAGGGTCCCATCTGTGTAACTACTAATTGGCAGTCTTTGTCGTTACCATTGATTAATCTCTTTTAATACTATTTACTTATGAATGTGTTATATGATAATGGAGCTAGCTAGGATTAGTCATAGACCTACCACACTTGGTCTGAGACTTCACTTTGTTATCACAATTTACATGTTCTTTTTCTTCCTTTAAATACATGTATTATGTATATATGATATTTTTCAGTTTTGATCCTTGACTTTGTTATTAAAAGTTACATTTACGGTTTCACACGAACTTATGTATACACACTGATTTTAAAAGTAGGATCCCAAAGAATTATGAAGCTTATTTATACAACGTGGAACTTGATCAATCAAGACCATGTGGTATGGTGGTTTTGGGATTTGTGTGTTGGTGGAAGTTATCAATAATCTGGAATCGTGTGTGACGTCAATTGACAAAAAAAAAATAAACATTCATATATAAAAGAAGTGTTGAACTTTTTCATAACGAATCACGTAACTTTGTCTTCCACTAACTAAGGCTGGGTTTATATATGGGTTATGATAAATGTTTATTGTATTCATACACGTGAAGTATGGGGAAATAAAACTTTTATCCACTAAATAATAAATAATGTCCCCCACCTTACTCGGATGAAATTCACTTTTTTTTTTTTTTGTTAAAAGTTTTATTTCCCCATACTTTACTCGAAATATCTTCAAAACTAAGTTGAGCGATAAAAGGAGTTTTAAGAAATAACCAAGTTCACACTCGTTGTAAGAGCGCCCAAATGTGTGCATAGCAAGACTAGTTTATTACAACGGTGAAACCAGGATTTACAAATTTAACATCGGTGATGAGCAGAGCGAATAAACATGAGAAACTCGCTCACTTGAGCATTTCTTCATTTCGTTTTCTTTGAAGCTTTTTCATGCACAAGACAAGAGGTTTAACGTTTTGGGCCGTTTTGATTCAGTTATTGGGCTTACAGTTAGTATGATGACTACAAGTGAAAAATCCTAAGCAGATTATTTTGTTGTGACGACCGGGGTCCAGTTCCAATCATTTTCGTAGTAGGAATCCCAATATTTTGGTGATAATTTAATTTTATAACGTAGTACGTCTCGATCTCGTGAAATGAAGGAAATGTTTTGAAATCTGCATATATCTCTCGTTCTCCGATGTTGCAATCTGAGTAAAATAATCAAAAACTTGACCTACCCATTATATTAAAGCCATCCTCGATAAAGCCCAGCAAAAGATTTGGCAAAATCACTAGTTTTTTACAATATATGAACCCAACATGATGATGACCCTTTGATTGTGTTGAACTGTCCTCGTCGTTGTGTTTCATTGTTTCTTTTTAATATTCAATCATGTGGACCGTTTTATGAATATTTTTGAAACTTTGTACACTGATGCAAGCCAGCATCACAACCTATTTGTGAGGATAGGACAGAAAAAAAAACAAAAAAAAACTTTCAATTTAATATCATAAGAGATGGTCCTTCTTAATCCATCGGCTAATTAAACTCGGAAAATACCCAAACTTTGTTTCGAAATTCATGTATTATATATTGTTACAGTCAACAACACTATCCTCAATAGTAAATCCTTTTGTATTTTTATTTTTACAATATATTAATTATGCTTATAATAAACATTCCCCTATACTGCCACATCCTTTTTCTGGAAAGCAAATCTTAGCTGTTATTTAGTGCATACAGTACAGAAATGAGAAACGCATACAAAGTTTTCTATTTTTAAATTTACTATATAAGAAATAATTATTTTCATAAACAATTCCATATAAGTCACATCCATTCTAAGGAAAAATCTTACCTGTTGCTGAGTACATACAGAAACGTATACAAAGTACCTTTTATTTGTTTAGGAAAATAATTATCCTATATGGGAATGTTCTAGGAAAAATGAGCAACATATCTTTTGTTATGGTAATTGTTTTTACCTAAAAATTATGATGGTATTTGAGCTATTGTTTCTATCGAAGGCAAAGAAAAAGAATGATGTAAGCTGTAACTAAACCAACCCAAATAGAAACATACATTTGAGGAAAATGAAAAATAGTGGTCTAAATATAACTCATATGAGTTGGATTATAGTGTACTTAACAAATAAATGTTTCTATAATCAAATTTAAATTAATCTGGAAAACCTGCCGTGAACACTACGCGCCTCCCCAAAAAGATGCCGAAACAAGAAAAATAACAAATAACCTGCGGCCCTAAAAGCAAGCATTGCACGCGCCGATGTCACGCGCCGAGCTCATACTCTCTGTAGTGACCGAAATATCATCCAGAGAGATTTAAATTTCAATTTCTTCTTCTCTCAGCAAACTCTCAAAACCATTTCTCTCTCTCTCTCACCTCAAATTTCCCCTCCGATTTCTCCTTTGACAGCTCAGTCTTATCTCTCTAGAATCCGCCTCACACAGAGAGATAAGTCTTTTCCGGCGTTATCTAGGTTTCGTGGCTTCGTTCCAATTTGAATTTTCCGGGGAAGTATCGGAAAAATGAGGGGAAAATCGAGAAAATGAATCCCTCTCTGACCTTCCGGAGATTCTTTCGTTTGAAATAGGATTCTCAGGATTTCTGTTTGTGGATATCTGTTTTCGGTTTGAAAGAGGGAAGAAGAATGCCAGGTCATAGATCCAAGTCGGAGAAGAAGGATGCGGAGAAGCAGCTCCGCCGGGACCCGTACGAGGTTCTAGGCGTCTTAAGAAACTCTACGGATCAGGAAATTAAGAGCGCGTACCGGAAAATGGCTCTCAAGTAAGTTTCTTATTGGTTTTATCGTTGTCTCGTTTAAAGTTTCTGAACTTGGAAATTTGCAATTCGAGAAGCCGTCTCAATCCAGGGACTGTAAAGTCTCACGGCTATTGTGTGATTCGCGAGTTTAGTGGAGGCTTCTTTTAATTTCAGATAACAGTGGGAAGAATAAATCTCGGAACAATCTTAAGTAGAAGAAAGCTGTTTAGGGTTAAGCTGCTAAGAAGGACCTTGAATTGAATCAATTTAGGCTACAGAGAAGACTCTTGAACTGAATCTATCAATTCGTTAATGGCTACTTTGTTAATCTGTAATTTACTCTGAATTATGGTCTGGTCTAGGCTAATTCTCTTTGGAGATTACATTAGACATTCTCTGCACAAACATTTTCGTATCGTCTTTCTATCTCTATGTTAAGCTCTGTTCCCAAATGAATGTTTTTGGTGTTTCAGGTACCATCCTGATAAGACTGCAAATGACCCCATTGCAGCCGACATGTTTAAGGAGGTCACGTTTTCCTACAACATCTTGTCTGATCCGGAGAAACGCCGTCAGTTTGACTCAGCAGGTTTTGAGGTGAGATTCGTTTGCATTGTGGTATTGGAGATTTACACTGTCCTCTACGTGATGCATGAGTCGAATTTGTTGGTCTTCTGTGTATTATTAGATAATCATGTTCTTAATTGAGGTTAAGATGGGGTTCAGGCTTGAATTTAAGCATTTATAGGATCCTTGTCTTTAGAAACTCTGTTAAGATGAGGTTCTGGTGTGTGCCATAATCAAATTTCAGACTTTGCTAATTGCAATTCGCTTTTCTTTCACAGGCTGTTGAAGCAGAGAGCCAAGATCTGGAGCTGGATCTCTCAAGTTTAGGAGCTGTGAATACTGTGTTTGCAGCTTTGTTTAGGTTGGTTTATCTGTGGCCCTTGACATATACTTATCAGTTATCAAATTTAAGCTGAGTATGTATGTGTTCTGATTTTTTTTCCATCGATATAGCAAACTTGGTGTGCCGATAAAAACATCCGTCTCTGCAACTATCTTGGAAGAGGCGCTTAACGGCAGAGTTTCAGTTGATCCTCTTTTACTGGGACAAGCTGTAACTAAAAAGGTGAGCTGTTGTTGCCGATGCCTCGCTATGATCTCTTTTTCATTTGTTAACAAGTGGCTTATCTCCATGTAAATCTCACATGTGCTATGGTTCTAACAGGTTGAAAAGCAATGTGCACACTTTTATGCTGTCAGAATAACAGAAGAGGAAGTGAGCTCTGGGTTGGTCTGCAGAGTAGAATCATCTAGCAAAAGCAAGTTCAAGGTTTGGCTCTTCGACGAGAATCTTTCCCATCAAACTGATATGGAATTTACCATAGTATCGATAAACTAATGTGTGCATCTGCTTTTGCAGTTACTGTATTTTGATCAAGAAGCCAATAGCGGATTGAGCTTAGCCCTGCAGGTAATTGGTCTTTCATGTATCGATGGAACGAATATGGTGTTACATGTATTTGAATGTTTTGGTTTTCTTGTACGTACGCTGAATCACTTCGTGGATACAGGAGGACAGCAAAAAGACTGGCAAGATAACATCTGCTGGAATGTACTTTCTCGGTTTCCCTGTCTACCGGTTGGACCACACAAATAATTCGGTAGGTTCACTTCGCAATCTTCTAGATCATCATCATCATCAACCCCTTTTTTCACAACGTGACTTGATTTTGATTGCTCTAGATGGCTCAAGCAAAGGATCCAGAAACTGCCTTCTTCAAAAAGCTTGATGGGTTTCAGCAATGTGAAGTTACCGAGCTCAAAGCCGGTACTCATGTCTTTGCTGTCTATGGTCAGTTTTCCTGACTTTGTAATCTGATTACAAAATTCACTTGTCTTCTCCTTTTCTTTGATCCAACTTTGGTGGTCATGTTCCTATTTTTCAGGTGATAATTTTTTCAAAAACGTGAACTACACAATCCAAGTCCTTTGTGCTGCCTCTTTTAAGCAAGAGAAAGAAGATCTCAGGTCTGTAGAAGCTCAGATCCTCACTAAAAGAGCAGAACTGTCAAAGTTTGAGACAGAGTACAGGGAAGTTCTCGTGCAATTCACCGATATGACCAGTAGATACGCTCAGGAAATGGAATCGGTTAGTCTTTTTATTCATTGTAAAGATTTTAAGATGTGCCACATGACTGAGTTAAGTAGACCAAAGTTTGATTATTTTTTATTTTTACAGATCGATGAGCTCTTGAAGCAGAGAAATGAGATTCACTCAGCGTACACAACGGCTCCAGTGATGAAGAGGAGCTCGAGCAAGAGCAGGCTGAGAAAGAGCTTCAAGAAGGCGGCGGCGAAAGCGCCTGCACCAACTGAGCAGGAAGACGAAGAAGAGGAAGAGGAAGCGGAGGAAGTAGAAGAAAGCAGCAGGCAGAGGAACAAGAAACCAAGTGCTTGTGAAAAGTCTGACTCGCTTAAGAAGAAAAGCAAATGGTACAATTTACATTTGAAATTGGACAAGAAAAAACCTTGTTAGTTTTCTTTTCTTTAACCTCTTTGTTTTCTTTTCTTATACATTATTTTTCTTCCCTTACCTTTAGGGATCGGTGTATCTGTAAATCTCCGATATTTTTCTCTCCTTCAACTTTATCATTAGTATTAAATCAAACATTTTATTTTTGAGAATTATTCTTTGAGAAAGGTTTGAGGATTGATAGAAAAAACATAGGAAACACATGTTCATTGGCACAAAAAGTTTCAAGAAAGAATTTGTTTACCACGTTGATCCGTGATTGATACAAGTCTCATCTCAATCAATACACGTTTAGCAACTCAAACAATATCAGACCAATAATGTCAAAATGTGAAAAAATCACACTACCAATAATTTGACAAATTGTGTAAAAGAGGTAAAAAATCCTAAATTACCCCTTGTAGTCATTATATTGATCGCACCGCCTTCGAACGTCGCCAAGCTTCTCCGTCTGCACATTACGCTCGCTAAATTTCACCATCGCCTTCGCAAACGCGTCGAAGAACGCCGTTTCGTTAGCCGCGTAGAGATCAACAAACGTCCGCGTCCTGTCATCAACCGCGATCGCTTGGTCCGACGCAAGCAACCCGTACCCGTGCTTGAGGTTCTAGTAATACATGTTGTCAAATTTCCCAGGGGTAAAAACGTCATTAAACGCAGACATCTCTTCGTCCTTGGTGTAGTTCGCGCATAGCTTCCTCAGCTCCGCCGCGTATTTCGGATTCATCCCTTCCGGAGGAGAAGAAGCAGCATCATCATTGTCATTGAAGATGCGACTCGCGAACTCTTTGCAATGAGAGAAACCGATCGTGTGCGATCCAACGAGAGCGACCATCTCTTGAACGGTTAAACCAGCCGACTCGAAGATGGTGATGATGTGATCCATCGTCATGTTGGGACGAGCTAGCTTTCCTTCGACGCGATCCATGTCCGAGACGAGACTGTCTTTCCGACCGTATTTCACGTTGATTTGAGGACCTCCGACCATGCTGACGAGGGTATGTGTTGCTCCGACGAGGATGTCGGAGCAGGAAACGACGTTGGGGCATTTAAGCTCGACGGCGGTTTTGATACGAGTGATTAGGTCGAATGCGTCTCCAGGGAGAGAGCGGTTGATGTCGGCGTCGCGTTCTGAGGTTTTACGGGGAGTAGAAGCGACGAGAATCGAGGCGTCGCAGCCGTCGACCATGCAGTCGTGGAAAAAGAGGCGGAGTGTTCCGGCGGCTGTCGTGGGAGCAACGATTTGTTTGTCGGTTACGATTTGGACAAGTGTTTGGTCGAAGTCAGGACATGTTTTGCTGTAATAATCAGGCGAGAGATTGGCTTGAAGGAGATATGGAAGAGACAGAAGTATGAACAGATAACGTAACCCACAAGATTTCATTGATAGTGTTTATTTTGTTTTTGTAATTTTTCCGCCTGATTTCAAAATATCTTTTTTTTTTTTTTTTTTTTTTTTGTCGACAGCCTCTGCTTCTAAGCCAACTCGGAAATCCAAGTCGGAGGAACAGAGTTTACATAAAACACATCAGTAGGTAGAACTCTAGCACTCCGTGCTAACTTGTCCGCCTTCGTGTTCTTTATTCTTGGGATATGCACTATGGAGAAGGAGGTGAACTCCATCCTACATCTGCAGAATTCTTCTAGTATTGCTGCAAAAGCTGGCCACTCCTCGGGTTTAGACACCATCTTTACCACATCGGAACAGTCCGTTTCAAACACTATTGTTAACTTCCTATGTCGTAACATGCACTGCATAGCCCACACCAGCGCTTCAAGCTCTGCTTGGAGTGGTGATATACCCCGTCTTAAGTTACACGTACCCATAAGCTTTTCGCCTGTTTCCGTATTGAAATTATACCAGCCTAGACCCGCTCGGGAATCTGTGGCTTTCCATGATCCATCAATCTGACAGATTTCACCTCTGGCAGATAACTCAGCCGGATTCCCCTCCAGACCAGTGTGACCTCTTGTCGTTCTTGTGCCGTCCTCCACGCTACCGCTTCACTTGCCGCGTGATTAATGATATCATTAGGATCTGAGTCATCATTGGAGAAAACCTTATCGTTTCGGGCTTTCCAAATAAACCAAAGCAACCAGGGATACATACCCATTCTTTCATCATTTGGTAGGTTCCAGAATAGGTGAGCAATGTTTGTAAACAAGCCTCCTGTTGGGAAATGGTCCAAAGCTGTAGGAATTGGGGATAAAGCCCACACCTGTAACGCTGGTGGACATTCAAATAACATATGATTAACCGTTTCCGGAGCCATACCGCACCGCACGCACTGTGGGTCGATTTGAAGGCCGCGACTCTGTAGCCGTGCCCCTACAGAAACACACCCGTTAACACTTGCCAAATAAAGTGTTGTAGCTTCTGCGTACATTTCACTTTCCATGTGTATGCTTGTAATGGACTTATATCCGGACCATACTTGATCGGATTAGCCTCGTCAAGAATTTGTTGCGCCAAAACGTACCCTGATTTTACCGTATAACGGCCCGACTTTGTAAAAAACCATCCCATCGAGTCCGGCTTACCGGTGCGAGATGTCGGAATCCCTAAGATGATGGGAACATCCTCGCTATCAAAAAGCTGATTTAATAGTGGTAAATTCCACGTTGAGTGCCGGGTGTCATCAATTCACTCACCCGAAGATGAGGGTAGAAATAGCCCCGTGTCCTGTGGCTGGCCTCGGGCAAGAAGCTGGAATCCATGGATCTTCCCAAACCGAGATAGAATTCCCTGAACCAACTCTTTTAATAAGCCCTTTATTTACCAGAGGTCGAGCCGAGACCATACTCTGCCATCCATAAGACGGGGAGTATGACCTAATGGGCTCTAAAGGATCTGAATTCCGATAATACCGTCCTTTGAAAACCCGTGACTTCAAAATATCTTATCTGTTGATTTTCTCTGTCTTTGTTTTCTTTATTTTTTCTTGCGGGCGTGTGTGTTGTTTTTTATAGCTGCTTGTGTTGATGTTAATTTTGAAACGAAGGGTTTTGTTTGGTAAAATTGAAGGAAGAGAGAGTTTCAAGGAGAAACAGAAAACAAATTTTCACCAAATTGTAAAACCCTTATTTTAGTCTCCACAGTTATTAGAAAAATGAAGAAGACTTTAAAAGCTAAGTGTGGATCAAACAAGGTTATTATTGTATTATGCTTTATGCATACGATGTTAGATAGAGGAAACCAAAATACTTGTACTAATAAAAAATAGGCTCTCATACATGTATTTTTTTGCATGTGTTGGTTCACTAACTACTAATTAAAGACGAACATTTCACAGGAGATATGATGAAAGAAGAGGAATATTATCAATCAAAGATTAATAAAAAATAAATTACAATTACTTTTTGACGACCTTGAACAGCTTAGAAATGCTTTCTCTGGCCAAGACGAAAGAGTGAACCAATGACTTGAACTTAAAACTCAAGCTCAAGCTTTCTGTTTCAGTTTTTATTTGATTCTATTTTCTTAAAGATGAAACAAACCCAAGAAGCATTCATCAACAAAGAGCATTCATTAGTCATCCTGTTTGTGTTCAATCAACGAGATTGCATAACAAAACACGATATCCAAGCATCCGTTAAACGTCACGGAAAACAAAAAAAAAACAGATCAAGTAGCAAAAAAAATGACACTACAATTATAAATCGATTGAATTAGATGAAATAGAAGAAAAACATCACAATTAAGCTTATAGGTGAACTTGAAACAAAGCTGGAACAATCGACAAGGCCAAGTGGCAAAACCCGGGCTGGTACAGGAAGCTCGAAGGAACCATGACTGTCGGTCTTTCACTCATGTGGAAAACAATGACCGTGACCGTGCGGAATGCAATGTGGAGTATGAGAAGACCCGCGATGACATCGAGGACCCAATATCCATCATGGACACTTTTGTCGAGTTCTTGAAGGAGTTGTATGAGTTTCTTCTGGAATAACCTAAACAGGATTATCTAAAGATTTATACAAAGTGAAACACCGTATATATAGCTATATATAGACCTACGCTCATTGTTGTATAAGGACGTATTTTCTCTTAAAGCTTTCAAAACATAGTAATATCTAAAGATGGAGAGTGATGAGATTGAGACCCAAGCTTATAAAACTTGGTATACAATCATATAAATCTATATATGATCCAACACGACATGCTTTATGAATTGGAGGTAAATATAACCTTGATTATAGAAAATATTAACAACTTTAAAGCATATGATCGTTAACCAAGAGAGGCTAAAACATACAAGTGGCTTGGCGTCTCCATTGGATGTTGGCATAAACCACATGAAGGATTGATGCTTGCGTTTAAAGAGTGCATTCTATCACCGGTGGTCAAGTGATTGTGGATCGCCAACCATGCGAGGAAAGAGAATCGAGGTGTGGAGTGTGTAAACCAGATGGACCACTAGTGTTGTTTCCACATTCCAACGGCAAAACACATCTTGATTATATAGATAAATGAATAGGCACATACGTATTGTCAAATCCATTATGAAATCCACAACACAATCGAAAAGGATTTACAGCTACAGAAAGAAGCAGAGAGATTTATGCGTATATCATATGTGATGATTTTTACACAGACACCATTCCCACCATCTTAGCTGCAGCATCCTCCTCCTTGAGATGCCGATCCGTCTCTTCCACCTGATGGCCCCGGAATCCCTCCATATCCAACTTTTATTCCATACGACTCATTTGACACATCAAACACTCCATCTTGAATCTTCTTGTATATTGTTGCCGCTGTCTTGATGAATGCCTAGCAAACATTCCAACCAAATCATCATGTGTAAATTAAATAAACAAATAACCCTAACCTACTGCTGTGTTCCTGTCTCTCTCTCTCTCCCGCCTCCTAAATCTAATTATGGTTTCTATGTTAATAATCTAACATACTTGATCCTCCTTGTACACAAGAAATAAAGGCACACTAGAGAAAGCATGTGAATTATAAAAACGGTCTACGCTTAAGCCTAAAGAGTCACGCATGAGGGTTTAGCTTACCTCCTCGACATTCTGAGCAGTCTTGGCAGAGGCTTCCATGAAGATAAGACCGTGCTCCTTTGCAAACTGCTCTCCTTCCTCTGTGCTCACTGCTCTTCTGTGGGCAAGATCACACTTGTTCCCAATGAGCATTATCGTCATATTTGCATTTGCATGCTGCCTTGCATCCTCTAGCCAGCTCGCTAGGTGGTTAAATGTCTCCCTCCTACAAACAATGAACAAACAACAATATTGTAAAGATGATGCTCAGCTTCTACTTACAACTAGACAGAAACAAGATTCCTTTCATGATCATTCTCAACTTCAAAACAAACCAAAGAGCCAATGCTTTTACCTTGTGATATCATAGACAAGCAATGCCCCTGCAGCACCTCTATAGTAGGACCTTGTGATAGACCTAAACGATTCTTGACCAGCCTGCCATGCAATTATCACATACAAGGATCCGACTTTCTTTAAAATCAAATCAAAGCATAACAGATGATGGGGCAAGAATCAACATGAAAACGAGATAGAGAGAGAGAGAGAGAGAGAGAGACCGTATCCCAGATCTGGAGTTTGATGGGTTTGTTTTCGATGGTGATCATCCTCGCCCCAAATTCAACACCAATCGTCAAGTCATGCACCGGCTGAAACCTCTTGTCCGTGAACTGAAGCAGCAGGCATGATTTCCCAACTCCTGAAATCACAATTTCCATACACAAATCACAAATCAACCATCACAATCCCTGAATGTTTGTTTGTTCATATCAATTCTAAGGAACACCAATCGCTTTTTTTTCTTCTCTTTCAGCAACGAGACATATACAGGACATGATGATCTGATTCATCTCAATTTCTTAATGGAATCAAAAGAAACAAACGACGAAGAAGCACAAGGAGTTACCAGTATCGCCGATGATGATATACTTGAAAAGATACGCGTAAGACATTGAAGTCGAAGAAAATCGGAAATCCGCGCAGGTTCAGGCGAGAAGAGACGAGAGAAGAAGAGAGAATCTCTTTCTTCTATAAAGACGGGGACGGTTGATTTCCAGCAAATCCAGCGATGCATCAACCTGTATTATTGTCTGACGTTTACCTAAATTAAAACAGCACGCAGTCTCTATTTTCTTTCTTAAAATAAAATATCTCAAACCTGTATTTGTCGCTCTATGGAGACTTTCTGGCGTTTCGATATCTGATAACAGCACTGCGTGACGTTTTACTTCAATAAAACACAGCACGCAGTCTCCTCAAGACAAAATAGCTGAAACCTTTGAAAATTTTCCAATCGCGATGTATCGAAGAGCACTGGGTTCTTCGTTACTCGTCGTCTCCGGATTCTCTTCCAGCCATTTTCTTCTCTTGGCACTCTTCCAAAATCACAAGTTAAACACATTAGAACCGGTCTACACTAAACCATTGGTTATTGGATAATAGAAACAAATCGGGAAATTCGAGGATCTAACCAGCAACGATTACAGAATCCCAATCGGTTTTTCCAAGTTCCGTTAACCCATTTCGCATCCTCGAATTTGATAAGCGTCTCCGTCGTCTTCATCTCTTCTCCAACTTGTACGGTGGTGGTGATTTCTTCTTTCTTCACTGCCTGTGTTTATGGCGGAGCTTCTTTGACTACCACCGCCACAGGATCGGTTATCCCACTGTTAGAGGAAACGGAGGAGTTAGCTCGATTCACGGAGAGGAGAGAGAAGCGGTTCGTGGAGAGGAGAGAGAGAATGAGAACTTTGGGATTAAACTGGGATTATGAAGAGATGAAGAAGAGATTGGCGGGAGAACAACGACGCCATTGTTAGAGACTTACAGTTTTCCTCTTTAGCTCTCAGCTCTCACTTCACTGTGAAATTTCAACAAGAGTTGATTTGGAGACACGTGTTATCGTCAAATGGTTCGATCACATGTAATCGTTTCTTTCTCTGAAATAGAAACTGCGTAACGTTTTTTCACTACGCACGATTGGGAAAAAAAACAAAACTAAAAAGAGAAACCGTTCAGGGGCTCGTTTTAAAAAGCCCATCCTGGCATTTTGAAGTGTTCTGAGAAATTTTTATCCTGCTCCAAAATTCCTCTTCTATCATTACTACTACTCTATGCAACTTCATCGACAAACATAATAAATCTTACAAAAATACTAGGTCTTTCACCCGTACTGTATTTTAAATCGGTTTAATATTTATTTTTAAAAGCTACAAAAATCAACAATTAAAATTTATCAATCTTTCAATACCAAATTCTCTGGAAAACAAAATTTTTACATATACCAATATTCTGTTGAAATAAAATCTTGTCATACAAAAATGTTATTTAGATCGAATCCCGGCAACAAAAAATGTTTTCGTTTGTCTAATTACCAAAACTATTGGCATACAAAAATGTTGTTTAGATCAAATCCCGGTAACGAAAAATGTTTTCGTCTGTCTAATTACCAAAAGTTATTCAAATCATTATGATAGGGTCAAACTTTATCACTCATTATATATACTAGGGATTAAAGCCCGCGCAAGCGCGGGGTTGTTTGCGATAATTTTTCTGTTTGATTTTATTTATATTCATTGATTTGAAATTTTGAATTATGATGGTTATATGTTAACTTCCATGTTTTGGTTATATTTTGAGTTAACCCAACAATTAACACTAACAATATGATCAATTTTTTTATTAAGATATTAACACCTTACTTCATCTCGAGTTTTCTATTTCTAAAATTTAATATGCATTTGACTCAACGTTAAAATTTGTAAACATGGTGTAGAATCGCAATTGCACTCAAAATATGATGAAAAACAAAAACATGTATAACTTCTTACATATATGCTTTGTTGTGGTAGCATATGACAATTGATTATTTTCTATTATGTTAGTTTTGTAAATATAAATTGTATTTTTGAAACAAACATGTCACCATTCTTAAAATTTTCATACTTTTCGTTGCAATGAAATTTAAATAATAACTCGACTTCTATTTTTTAATAAAACAAACTCTAACTCTAATTTTTTATTAGCTTTTTACTATGTTAAATAATTTATACTTGTAACATTATAACATTTTTAAATAGGATAAATCCTTTGAGTTAAAACCTAACTATATACTATTTCAAGTTAAATATTTCTTTATTTCATCTCCATTTTATATTACAACTTTCTTTTAACTTTTAACATCAAGATATCACATACTTTATATTAATCAATTAAATTGTTTGTGTATTTTTCTTAGTTTTGTTTATGTGTAAAATAGGAATATATATAAAGAAATATTAATACACATATATTAAATATCTTAAATACAATTAATGATTTTTTTGCTGATGTGGATAGCCTAAGGAGAGAGCAACTCTCCTATTATATATAAGATGTTTTGTAAAATGTATTGTTAATTATGACCTATTGTGACGTGTTAGTCATTTTCTAAATAGAAATATTTTTTTTTTCAAAATATGTATAGTGTAAATTTTAAAATTAGATGTCAACAGTATTTGAGTATTTGTATGTAACAGGATGTTTATTTAAAATAACTTCAATTCTTTATGTTATAACTTAAAATCCTATAAACAACATGATTTCTTTTTCAGTACATTTAACTTACACATCATGTTTTTAGTTTATAAACTTTTATCCTAGTAGTATATATTTAGCTTTTATATAATAGAAATTATTTATGCTCTTTTTTATGGCCTAAAGAAAATCTTAATGTTCGTTCAATATTGATATTTTTTTTTGCTAATAATTTTATCACATTTTTATGCATATGGTATACATTTCCTTTTAGAAGTAGTTTTATATTAATGGTTACTTGAATATTTCCGCCTTAAATCTGTTTAGAAATACATTCTTCGAAATTTTTGTTAGTTACATATTTGTTTAGAAATTGTAAAATTCAGTTAGTGTTTATTTAATTGCAAAAATTGTTATTAACTCACCTCATATCATGTTAATTACGTCAAGTCACATCAAGTAAACATATTTTGAAAGTTTATACTACACCAAAAATGAAATATTTTGTCTTGAACTTGATGGCAAAACCTTTCCCTTGGCCGATCAAGCTCTGATTGCTTATGGAATTGATACACTTCGTGCAATCATTGTGATCATCAAAGAGACAGTCTCCATATCTTTTTGATATGTCCTTCTATGAGTTTAGGATCCAGCCCTGCTTCTCAATAAACTTATGGGAAACTCACACCTTTTTCAGGAACTATTTGAAGATGTAGGAAAACTGATTATTCTACCCCTAATAGGTTTATCGTCTATACCTCTGTATCCTTATATATTTTGATATTTTTGGAAGGCTCGTGATGGAGATGAAATCTTGTCTTATTTGATTATCACTATTTATATGAATTAAAGGATGTGAAAGATGCTCATGCATGAAATGATATCTAAAGCTCAGCTAAGACATCAATCTCTTCTCTCCGTCCATGTGTCACCTCCATTATCCTCCTGAATACGAACTCTTATTTTGTTGATGTAAGGTGGAACGATTTCTCGAAAATCTGTAGTATGGGTTGCACTATTAAATCTCCTTTGAATTCTTCTGCTTCATAGTAATCTAAACAAACTATTTACTTTTCCTGCCATTTTTTTTTAAACTACGATGAAGAAAATGTTATTTAGTATGCTTTGTTTTCTTGATTTTTTGTTTTAACTCTCCAAGTTTTATCTCTCTCATCACCTAAAAAAACTGTAAATGAACTCATGTCTTCTACACTATATTATGCATTTTTGTTATTATGGTTGACTTTGTTTGCCTAGAACAATTCTTCAGTTATTATGGTGTAACCTACTCTTTATTTATAAAACCTTAAGTTTGGTCAAAGAGAATTGACCTTAAGGTTTATGTAATTCTTTGTAACTAATATTGTAGTTATACAAATGTTTTTTATATAATTTTTTAAAATTTAGTAAATTATATTTTTTTTAACAAAAGATTTTAAAAATCTTAATTTAATTACTTTGAACTTGTGGAGTTTCTAATTTAAACTGGTTATATTAATTAATTTTCTTGCAACATAAAGAAATTAACTAATTTTAGATGATGGTATAGATTAATACAATTGGTTATTTTTTATTAAAAAAAAAATTATTTAGATGATGATATTAATTAATACTTTTAGTAATTATATATATTTTTTCAGTTTTAAAAATCTTAATTTAATTACTTTGAACTTGTGTAGTTTCTAATTTAAACCGGTTATATTAATTAATTTGCTTATATAAAATAAATTAACTAATTTTAAAAATATTGCTAATTTAGATGATGATATAGATTAATACTATTGGTTGTTTAAAATTTGAATAATAAAAAATTTAGATGATGATATAGATATACTATTGATTGTTTAAAATTTGAATAATAAAAAATTTAGATGATGATATAGATTAATACTATTAGTTGTTTAGAAATAAGAAAACTTCTTTATTATGTAAATGGTTATGTAGATCAATAAGGAATTTAAGAAATGTGTCATCAACAAAGAGTATAAATCATCGCGTTCGTGTTCAATTAAACGAGAATGCATAACTAAAAATCTCCAAGCCTCCAAGCATCCATTACATGTCAAGAAGAAAAAAAACAGATCAAGTAGCAAACAAAATTACATTGATTATAAATGGATTGAATTATATAGGGCCGGCCCATACTGTTTTGGCGCCTAGAGCCAAATTTGTTTTTTAAGCCACTAAAAATCGGTATTTTTTAAAAAGCAAGAAAAGTGTGGGCACCGAGCTTCGAAGACAATCCCTGATCATAATGGAGAGTCATAACCACTACACTACCACAGACTCTCTGTAATTTGGCGCCCCAAATTGTATATAATCTCGTGGCGCCTAAAGCATCTGCTTTACTGGCCTTAGGTCAGGGACGGTCCTGTCAATTATATGAAATAGAAGAAAAGCATCACAATTAAGCTTATAGATTAACTTGAAACAAAGCTGGAACAATCGACAAGGCGACGTGGCAAAACCCTGGCTGGTACAGGAAGCTCGAAGGAACCATGACTGTCACTCATGTGGAAGACAATGACCGTGACCGTGCGGCATGCACCATGGAGTATGAGAAGACCGGCCCTGATATCGAGGACCCAAAATCCATCATGGACACTTTTGTCGAGTTCTTTACGGAGTTGTATGAGTTTCTTCTGGGATAATCTAAATAGAATGATCTAAAGATTTATACAAACTGGACCACCGTATATTATATATAGTTATAGACCTACGCTTATTGATGTATAAGGGACGTATAACAAAGTGGACCACCGTATATACTTTCATAATATTAAAAGTATTTTCATAAAATGAAAAGTCGATTAGATGTTTATTCTGCTAAGTTCGGATGGGAAGGTTTTTAAGGTTTTGATGGTTTTTTTTTTGGAGATTTTTAGCTACGTTTTAAATGATAGATGGTAATATTATTTTATCATCAATAGGAGAGCACCCGCGCAACTCGCGGGATTATATAGTTATAGTTGTTTAAAATATTATTTTATTTTTAATAAAAACATGAAAATATAGGAAAGTAGCTGCGCGGATTTTTGTCTTCTACAATATTTATGTTAATACTTTCATTTATGTTCATTTTGCATATTTTCCATTATTATTTTACTTGCATGTTGTGTTTCTTTAGAATCATTTCACAAATTTGTACAATATTTATAATTTAGAAAACACTTAAAATACTGTCTATAAGGTTTAGTCTGAAAGTTTCCTCTCTCTGAGCTGCAGGTTGTCTTGCTTTGATGATGTTTCACACCACTTGTTTGTATCTTATTGCCATCAGTAGTCACCTGACCTCCACAGCTGGCGATTGCTTCCACCTGAGACAAACAATATTTCTTGCCGTAGTCATTCATCTAAAAATTCTTTAGCAGGACTCTTGCAAAGCAGAATAAACCAGATGCTAAGGTTCTTTGACATGCAATGATCAAAGAAAAGGAAAAAAATTGAAAGTTAATAAATTCAAGATATGGTTGATTCCACTATGTTTCTGTTAACTCAAGAACTTGGAGGCATTTTGCTTAAAAAACCACACACAACAATGATATATACCAAAATCACAAAGATGGAAACTCCTTTACCTTGACCAAGAATGCCAAATATGAGATTTCTATTCAGATGTAGATAGATTTGATTTACTACCCAAAACTCATCGCAACCAACAAAATGTCCACTATAGTTTAGCAAGAACTGAGTAGTTTTTCAACATTGGAGTTACATATCTATAGATTTTTGGGAAATGTAAGCAACACACTGAACAACACATATTACATGAATCTTAAAAAGACACATGCTCCACTTTCCGACCGAAGCAAAAAAAAGACTAAAAAAGAAAAATCGAAACTTCAAAGAAATATTGCAAAAAAATCCAAACTTTTATAACTTCCAAGAGTAACATTCTGCATTTCAACAACGACTTCATCTTCACATCTTTTATCCAACTCAGTCTCCATGTGTTTGATCGACCTTCGCAGCTTCCCACAAGCTCCCGAAAACGCGTCTGAAGAACTCTGCAAACGCTCAACTTCAGCCTCGAACTCATCAACATTCCCCTCTATTACCTCCACCGCTTGCTTCATCTTACTAATCTCCTGCGGCGGATAAACGCAAGCTCCAAGCTCGTCGATATGCGCTCCTGTTCCTTGACACTGCTTCAAAAGCTTCTCAAGCGAGTCCACAAACCCGCTCTCGTCCTTTGCATTCTCCATCTTCATCATCCCAGGCGGTGATAACTCGGATGAGCTCTTTAATCAGAGAGATCGTGTCAGAGACAATCTCAGCAACCATTTTCGCTGCTTCCATTTCTTCACGAGACAAATCATCACCAAAATCATCGTCCTCATCCTCATCACCATCATCTGAGTTGTGATCATCACCAGCTGGCTTGACTTCGATCATCTCCCTAGAACATCCTTCATCGAAACAACCTGCGTGATCCCTCTACCAATCTCTGTTTGTTCCAGGGACTTTCTTGAAACTGGAACATGCTTCCCAAACTGCTCCTGAAATCTTCGGAATTGACGGCTTCTTCCCCTTCTCATATGATCCTTCTGCAGACAGAGAGCATAGAACAGTTCCATCTAAAGATTTTAGATATGAACTAAGAAGAAAGCGTAGAAACGTTAGTTAGTATGGATTAACGTATAAGGAGACGGAGCCGCGCAACAATCTGAAGCTGGAATCGACGATTTGCTTGACAGAAGAATGTATGGTTGAAGAAAGAGTAGGACCGGCACCAATTGTGCTTCCATGGCAACAGAGCAAGAAGCCTTGAGGAGCGTTTAAGTAAGACTCCATTGCTCTTTAAGTGATTCAGCTTTTGGAGCTTCTTCAGTCCATAGCATTCCCACTATTTTAGAGTTTTAAGAAGAAAGACAAATCGAGAAATTAAACAAACGCAACTAAAAGGAATTTTTTTTAAACCTATGGTGGCCTGTTTAGAGAGATGATCAGTCTATCTGACGAACATCGCTCCAGTTTACTTTCTCCTCTGTAGGAGACGCTTTCCGATCGAACAACTGCGAGAATTTAAGTAGAATCCGTTTCTAATTACGATTCTAATTCGTCGAAATTGAAGGAGGGTGACAGATCCAGCGTGAACCATGGTGGGAGGACGGTCCGTGTGAATGAGTGATTGAACGGTGACCTTTGGGTGTGAATCGTGGAAAAAATAATGGGAGATCGGATGAAGGTGGATCGTCAAAACGACCGCGTCGACGGAGAGAAGAGGTCGGCGAGACGAGAGGTTATTGGGTTGAATTAATTTTTTCTTAATAATTTGTTTTTTTATTGCAGGTAGAAACGACCTCGTTTTGGTGTTACACGAAAAAAAAAAATTACAACGCAAGAAAAAAAAAAAAAAGTGCCACGTGTTCCCGAATTGGAGATGTCCAAGCCTTATTAGTTATGTAGATTTAGCTGAATAGTAATTAATTCATATTTCAAGAATTGTTTTTTTAATATAGAGATACTATAATTATAATTACACGGCTAGGGGTAATGAATTAAAGAAGAAATGAACATTATTTTGGATGAGAAGTCTCATGCATACAATGCGACTTTCCATTGATCTAAAGGAACTTGATCAAGATCACCCAGAGGAGGTTTTTGTCCTTCAGGTCTCATGTCGGCAGCTGCAAGACCAAGCGTCCAAAACTTTGTATTTAGCCGATCAACGTGCGAAATATTGATAGAAGAAATCTTCCCCCATCTCGCACTCGGAATTTCCCCCTTAAGACACCATGTTTCTACATCTGAAAATAGCACCACGTTGGATAGACACAAACGGTCTTTCATACTCCACAAATACGCACCACGGTAGTAATTGATTTCCAAACTTGGAAACGGAACATCATGAAATTTTTCTGTGTGAAGATCGATGGCTACTAGATTTTTGGGACGTTGTGAATGAAAATGCAAATCAAACGGCCTTATCAACCAGAAAAGTGATCCTTTTGCAAAAACAGATGTTTGGGTACTGGAAAATTTTTCGAAATGAAGAGGGAAAGAATTTGCAGTGCATCTCCGCTCGTTGTTGTCAAGGGTTAAGACCTCAGACTTGGTAATAATACTACGCCATGAATTGTCGAAGCGATAGATCAAGATCAATTTGTATTTTCCAGTGATAATGTCTCTCCCAAATCCTACGGTTACTGGCATTTCTACAAAGATAAAAACCAAACGTTTTATATATTTTAAAAAGAAATATGTTTCAAAAGTATATGTTTACATAATATATCTAATTAGCATATGTCCGGGTTTATAAAAAATATGAACACATTTAGATTAGAGCAATTTAACAAAACTAGATAAATAATTATAAAATATTACAAGTGAAAGAAAATTAGCAATGATCATATCCAAATATCAACTGATAGCCTACCATAACCCGATTGGGCTGGGAACCGTTGCAACAATGCTGAAGAGATTATGTTGTACGCTTTTGTCACCGGATTGATTAGATAAACACTGTTAAGATCATAGATGCATACTAAACCGTTGCAACATCCTACGATCTTAATATCTTGTCGAGGTTTGTTGATGGGATAAGGAAAAGTGTAAGAATATGAAGATCGAGAGATTTTATTTTCATCGTTTTTTGAAAAAGTCTCCAAACGAAAAGTGACTGAGTTCTCATCTGCAGAAGTTGATGGTCGAAGAACAAGGAGTTTTGGATCCGGAAAATACTCTATAATCTCTTCTTCTAGTATATCATTGGTTACGACATTGCTAGACATTAGGTCTGTTATGTTTTCTTGTGTTCTATTTTTTAACGATGAAATGGGTGTTATCATTGCTTATTCCACATCGTAGTATATATGCATATATATATAACACATTTTGTTGTAATTATTCTGTGGAGATTGTCCCTTCATTTTTTCTTTAGATAATAAGGAGCATACATAGTAAAGTGCTTTCCTGTAATGCAGTTTATACACGTGTTCTAAATTAATATCTTTATATTTATACTACAATATACCAGCTTGCTAAGTAATTGATCTGATTAGACTGTTTTAGAAAGTAAGAAATTAAATAAAATATAAAATGGAATACTTAAACATTATAATTTTTAAATATAACATAAATATTAACATTTATTACATTTTCTTATGTATATCTTATTTATTATTTCCTTCAAATTTACATCAAAATCCTGTATTCAATGTATATGGTTTTTCTAAAAATTAATGAGTGATAGTATTTTATATTGAATTGGTATGATTAGATCTAATTTTAATTATTATCTCATGTAACATATATCTTAATTTATATTGGGGTAAAAACTAAGAACTCAGATGATAACTAATTTTAATTATTAAATTTTCTAATATTTTTAGTTGAATATATGATTTTGGTTATATAAATGATTATTTTATAATAGATATTCCTGTATTTCAAAATTATTAAATTCGTTTCTTTATTAAAGAGATTTTTTTTGTGATAATCACTTATATATAACATTTTTGTAATTATTTGTGAAGATTACCACTTTATTTTAAAAATTTGGACTAATATTATCTAAAGTAATCATATTTTAAAAACTAACTCCTTTTTATAGTGTTGGAAAACTAATCTTTCTAATATTCAAAATTACTAAAATACCCTCAACTTTTTTAGATATTAAAATTGTTTTAAAACTCGTTTATCTTATTTAAAAATTATTTAAATGTAAAAAAATATGTTATTCTAAAGATAATTCTAAACAATTATTTTTATTTTATATAACAAAAAAAAATAGAAGAAAAAAATTTTAGTGTGAGATATTCCCATAAAATCTGAATAAAACCTACGACAAGAAAACAAAAAGATATTTAGAAGATCTTATTTGAAATTTAACATCTCATAAATATAGAACGTGAGTTAACTTTAACACATTCCATCATAATTTTTTTTAAGAATGTGAGTTTTTCTTTGTTCTAAAATGATATTTATATGTATCTATTTACAGAGTTTGATTCTTATTTATGATAAATATGAATATATTTTTAAAATATCATGTGTTTATTTAAATATTTATTAAAAATATCTAAACTAATTTTCGAAAATATCTTATATATATCTAAGTACAATATATATCTTAACTAAATATTTTTTTTTCTCATTATTAATAGCAAATGATAATGGTTTTATTGTCTTTTCACTTATTAAAAAAGTTAATTTTCAAAATTTAAAAACCAGGGTTAATTTTCAAATTATGAATAATTTTAATAATATTAAACCAACTCACCCAAAAAACAATTTTCTAAAATGGTATTATGTTTAGGAATTTATTAGTCTAATGGGACATGAGTTTAGTGCACATATAAAATAAAGTTGTTTTGTTTACTGATCAGGACCATAGTGAACTGAAGACTACTCTTGTTTGATCCAACCAGATTAGTTAAGAGCATCTCCAACCCTTCATGCCATATATTTATTGCAAAAGGCAAAAATATAACAACATCATTATATTTCTCTTCAACGGCTTATGCTATTATTTCTTTTCCAACTTATTATTAATTGATAAAACTACTTGATTTCTTCAAATTTTACAAAGTGAATCATCTGTTTTTCTTTCTTGCAAAAACATTCAGAATTATAATATTTTTATTTTTATTATTATAATATTAAAACAAAATACAACACATTACATAAAAAAATATAAAAATCAAAGATTTTAAATTAACTATCCACATTTGAATATTTTCCCCATAAATGATCAATTAAGGCATCTTGAAGTAAAATATTAGCGTTTTTATCTTTGATTTTTCCAAAACGAGCAAGAAATTTTTCGAACTCAATGTTATCGTCTCTAACTTTGTCGACTTCTGGAAGTGTAGCGTCTCGTTCAACTTCAATTGGTACACTGAGATCGCGCTCATTTTTTATTATCATGTTGTGTAGAATTATACATGTACTCATAATATCATGCAACACATTCTTCTTCCAGAAACGAACCGATCCTTTCACGATAGCAAAACGTGATTAGAGAACTCCGAACGCACGTTCAACATCTTTTCTACATGCTTCTTGTCGGCAGCAAAATATTTTTTCTTTGCATCCATTGGCTTGTGAATAGTTTGCATTATTATGGACTATTTTGGATATATACCATCTGCCAAATAATAACCCATATTATATTATTTTTCTTGTATTGTATAATGAACAGGAGGAGTAATACATTGGGCAAGGTTGGATAAAAGATGGGAAGATTCCAACACATTGATGTCATTATTGGTGCCCGGCATTCCAAAATAAGCATGACATATCCAAAGATCATAATCTGCCACAGCTTCGAGAATTATCGTTGGTGATCCACTACGACTAGCATATTGTCCAGCCCAAGCAGTGGGACAATTTTTCCACTTCCAATGCATGCAATCTAAGCTACCCAACATTTCCGGTAAACTCCGTTTTTCACCAATGCAAAGAAGTCTTGTGACATTGTTTTATGTTGGTGACCGTAAGTTTTGCTCTGAAAATATACTTACTATGGCTCGGCAAAAAAATTTCAAACATTCGATTGCCGTTGATTGCACTACTAGCATTCGAAACACAGATATCACTTTCTGAAGAGACGATAATCCGATTCTACCAGCGTTATCCCTTCCTTGTACAAAGTAGTCATTATAACGTTCAACTGCATTCATAATACGAAGAAACAGGGAACGAGACATCCAGTATCTTCTCCGAAATGTAACATCATTGTAGACAGGACTCTCCAAGAAGTAATTGTTGAACGATCTCAGTGTGCACTTTTTCGGTCTTTGTGGATGAAAGATCGTCCACGAACGGAGCCACCATGAGTTACTTGATTGGTTTCTTGGCCGAGAAGATATTGGATGGTCGCATTATTATTAGCGATAGCAAGATTTAAAGCTTCTTTTTCACGGTATAGAATATCGATCATTTCAATATTTCATCATCATCTTCAGATGATGAAGAATGAAGAAACGGACTATTGAAATTAGAACTCATTTTGATAGAAAAATGAAAGATGTAAGTGGATTGTGGTACCGAACATACAAGTGATATTTATAAGAATGTGAATTACATTTAAAAAAATATTTTTCCCTAGCTAGAAATTCTCGACCGTTTAATTTCTTGGAAATGGTTTGATTAGTTTTTGGAAAAATGAGAGGAAATTGTGTTTACACCATTAACGTGGTGACGTTATTAGTTTTTGTATGTGGTAACATTATATTTTTCTTCGCATGAGGTCACGTTATATTTTTTTTTGCATGTGGTCATGTTTGTGTAAAGACAAGTAATTTATTATCCTCTTGAACTCGTTGTAACCCATATGTGGTCGACAATTTTTTTTGCATGTTGGTCTTTGCATTGGTCTTTGCATATTCAAACGCAATGGTCCTCACATATTCAAAATAATTAAATTTTGCATGGTCAAATTCATTAGATTTTGCATGGTCAAATCTAGTAAAATGAGGCATGGTCAAATTCATTAGATTTTGCATGGTCAAATCTAGTAAAATGCGATATGGTCAAAATGGTATTTGCATGATCAACTTTGGTAAACAACGATATTGAAAGGTGTTTTTTTGTCGGTAAAGTTTCATGCAAACCATTTCATAAGTTTTATATTCAAGTAGACAAAATGTCTACTCGTACTTCTAATTATTCTCAAGAGTAAGATAAATTTCTCACTCAAATTTACATGCAAATTTCTCAAGATCCAGTCACAGGTGTTTATCAATCATCCAATCAGTTTTGGTCTCATGTTGCAGAAGCTTACAACAATGACAAACATGCAAATTGGAGTGAACGTTCAACAAGCTCTTTGACCACTCGAATGCAACTAATTGTGAGATCAACCAAGAAGTTCCATGCATGCATTAGACAATGGGAAAATAGATGTACAAGTGTTGCTTCAAATGAAGATATTGTGAGTTATAAAATTTTAAATCTTTGTTATATTAGTATATTTATTTTTTAATTTGAATAATAATTTCTTTTAATTCTGATGGTGAAGAATTTGATTGAACCAAGAACATGTGGTTATGGCAAAATAGAGTTGAAGAGCTGTTTTTTCTAGGCAGGTATTGGCTGATTCTAGCCATCGCCATGGGGTATCTCTAGCTGACTAATGGTGTTAGGCCCAAAGGTTATACATTGGAAACAATTTTGCTTTTTCTTTTGGTATACAATCATATAAATCTATG